TCGCTATTACCTACTAGGCAGGCAAGCGAAACCTAGCCGACGGTCCGTCGCGACGTAGCGATTACGTATACGAGTCGTATAAGGTAACTAACCTCCTCCCTACCCTACAAACTAAGCTATAGCTATAGGACGGACGTATATTAGAAGTAGATAGCCCGAAGGTATTACGTATCCGTATTACCGGCGATCGTTTATACCGTAGCGTTGAGAGAGGTACTAACGCTAACCTATAGTAGTACTATACGTCGCCTATCCGCGTTGCCTAAGTTATGTCTAAGGACGAACAGCCGTACGCAAACGTCTCCGACTTGATTCTAATATATACCTACGTACTCGTCTAGGTAGAGCCTAACGTACGCGTAGTATACGAGTAGGCGATAAGCAACTAGGGCGTATTCGAGGATTATATCGCCTAAGAAGGCAATCTATAGGTCGGCGACGCGCTGTATATACCTAAGGACTACGTACTTAGGGCATAGCTAATACGTATATACTACGACGACCCGTTAGTAGGGTACTTCGGAAAGGACAAGACAACGGCCTTAATCCGGAGAAAGTACTCGTAGCCGGGAATAGCTACCGAGGTAGTAGAATACGTCGCTACCTATAACGCCTATCAAAAGTCGAAAGCGCGACGCTACCGTCTATACGGCGAACTAGCTACGCTACTAATACTAGAAAGGCCGTTCTAAGAATTAACCTAGGACTTTATTACGGACCTGCCGCTAAGTAAGCGCGGCGACCGTATCTATGATACGATCCTCGTAATCGTCGACAGGTATACTAAAATAGTAACCTTCGTACTAACTACAAAGAAATATACTAGCGCAGACCTAGTAGATATCCTAGTAAACGAAATCGTACGACGGTTCGGTATACCTATAGGCATCGTAAGCGATAGAGGCTCGGTATTTACGAGCTAGTTCTAGTTAGACTTCTACTATAAGGCGTAGGTAAAACGTAGGCTTAGTATAGCGTTCTACGCGCAAACCGACGGTTAAACCGAACGGATAAACTAGGTAATCGAGACGTACCTATATATCTACTGCTTAGAGCAGTAGGACGATTAGGCTAGTATACTTATACAAGCGGAATTCGCGTATAATAACAGCGATTACGCTGTCCTAAAGATGTTACTATTTAAGGTACTATATAGTTTCAATCCGGAGCTAGCGACAAGTACGCGTAACGCTCGGAACGAGCTCGTAGAGAGGGAGGTACCGGCCGTAGTAGACGCTATAGAGAGACTGAAACGGAACTACGAAACTCTAAGTAAGCGCTAGCAATACGCTAGTAAAGCGTAGGCGAAGTACTTTAACGCGAAGTATACTATAATAGGGTTTAAGATAGAGGATATAGTACTGCTATCTACTAAGAACCTAAGATTAAAGGTACCTACGAAAAAGTTTATAGATAAGTTCGTAGGGCTATTTAAGGTAATCGATATTATAGGGAAGCAGGCGTACCGCCTAGCCCTACTAGCAGGATCGTAGATCTACAACGTCTTCTATATCTTATATCTCGAGCCCTATAAGAGCCGCGTAGGTAACGCGTAGGAGAGAACCCTCCTACTCGCCGATAAAGAAGGACTCTACAAGGTAGAAAAGATCTTAGATACGCGTCTAAGGAAGGGCATCCGATAGTACTTAGTACGCTAGCGTAGCTAGCCCGAGGAATTTAATTAATAGGAACCTAAAGAGTATATTAGTAAGTATACCGCCCTCGACGAGTTCGAAGCGTAGCGGAAACATAGTAGTATAGTACGAGCGAGACGTAGGTAGAGAGATTAAGAATCAATTTGCTTTTGACCGGCTAAGCTAGGAACACTATATATAAAAACAAAAACACTAAAACCTACGTACAGCGTACTAGAAACGTAGGCTAACCGAACGCGACGAGAGGGCTAGGTACCTACGGTACTACCGGTACTAGTAGTACTAGAAGAAGGAGTAGTAGGAGTAGGGCTAATAGGAGGAATAGTAGGACTAGTACCGTTACCGGTACCGTTACCGGTACCGTTACCGGCGTCGTCGTCGTCGTCGTCGTCGTTACTATCGCTAGGTAGGCTTATCTCCTCCTCGCCGTCCGATAGGTACAGCTCCTAGCTACTGTAATCGGGATACGCGGTCGCTACCGCGCTATCTAAGGCAGTACTAGCAGCGCCGGCCAAGCGAGCTATCTACGACAGACGTTAGCGACGCCTACGAGTAGAGTACGAAGCGACAGAACTTACCTCGTACTATAGCTTAAAGATACTCTAAAGGGTAGAGGTAGCTTTCGCTATCTCTAGGTAGTCGGCTACGGCTAGGGCGCTCGACGCCGGCGCGCTAGCTATACTACTACTACTACCCTTCTTCGGCGTCTCGTAGACGCCGACGGCCTTGCCCTTGTTAGAGGTAAGTACCTTCTTGCTCTCTAGAATCTTATCCCCTAGCCGCTATAAGCGCCGTATTACCTATACCGAGCGTATACCGGCTATATAAGAACGAAGCGCCGCGTATAGGACGCGTAGGTAGCGCGCCTACCGAAGCAGGTCTAGGTCTACTATACGTTCGTACGCGTAGCGCCCTTTCGCGTACCTCTAGTACTTCTTCTTACGGCTAGGAGCTATTACGCCGTTGTAGGCGCGCTCGGCGACGCCGTTCGTATCTACTACTATTAGATTAGGTTAGCAAAGAAATATAGGTAAGGCGTACGCAACGCGTAGGTCTCGACGTACCCTTGAATATATACTCTATATAGCGGAGGCAAATATTGTACGCTCTAGCCGCGGCGCGACTACGACGCGGATCGCGCTCTAGGACGGGCTTCTCGGGCGCCTTTGCGGCTATCGCGCGCTTCGGAGGTATGTCTCGTATATATAGGTTACGAGGATAGTACGAAGAGCTTAGAGTTTTTCCTAAAAAAATAGTTTAGAGAAGAACTAAGGAACGAAGAAAAGACGTAGTATAGAGGACGAAATATACTTACTCGTTGCTACTACCTGTTGCTAGGCGGGCTTTCTTCTATCGTATTCTACGTTCTATTAACTTCCTTACATTCTACTATATAGAATACCCTAGAGTAACTACTAGGATTCCTAGTATAACGACTAGCCTCTATATAGAATGCGAGCATCTCCGTATACGCTCTATATATACTCCGTATACGATACGTAGAATATATCGCTAGGGATAGCTCTATTAGGGAGAGGAGATAGTTGTAATAGCTAGGCCTAGAGGTATATAGCTCTAGAGGGCGGTTAGGTATTTAAGCCTAAGGTACGTTAGCCTAAGATAGGACAGGCTATAGAAGTAGTATAATCCGAGTCGTCGGGCGATCAGCTATCGGGCGACCGCCCGCGCGGCGTAGCGCCTGCGTATACTTAGCGTAGGGGTATATTATACGACGCCGCCCTCTCCTTTCCAAAGAACAAGAATTAGTTTGTTCCTTTTCCTACGTAGTAGGAAGGACGCTCTATATATTACTATATATACCTTACTCTTATACCTAAATTGAGTTACTAGCCGACGACGACCCCTAACTATACTATTACTATAGTCCCTCTACCGGACGCGGAGTTATAACGATATCGTTAAATCGACTATTAAATTAACTATAGAATTGACCGTAGAATTGACTATAGAATTGACTATAGAATTGGCCGTTAGATAGAAGTAATAGATAGAAGTAATAGATAGAAGTAATAGACATACTACCTACAAACAACTATATACTACTACTATTATATATATACGTACGTACGTACGTATACTATACTATACGAACTATACGAATTCCTCTTATTTACTATACGATCAATCGTATTTAATATTAACTAATACTTAGCTATATATAGTATACTAGATATAATATATCTATATACCTATATACCTATATATACCTATATACCTATACGGCCGTATGTACGGCACTAGCCGTTTAATAGACTAGTATTATACATCGGCCTATCGGTGCAATCGATAGTTACTATATTAGAATAGTAGTAGTTATTCGGGGTAGTGCCTAGAGGCGTTTCAAACTACCGGAATACCTTAGTATTCCTTAGTAATTCCTCTGCTTCCGAGATACCCTACAAAGCGCTATTTAGATAGCTATTAGTATAGATATTAACTAGTGTCCGAGATACCGAGCTATTCAATATATAGAAATGAGCGGCACGGATAGACTATCGAACGGCGGTAGAAGGACTGTGTACCTTAGGTACATGTAGACAGGTATATAGAAATACGAATCCAATACGAATGTGCGAAGGCTCCTATCTCTCTGTCTCTCTCCGTCTCTTTCTCTCGGCATCAACAAATACCTTTTGAACAGGCCTATCCTTCTTGGGCCAGAACTAGTTCAGTAGTCCAGGCTGTTTTTTTGTTCTCTTTTTTTTTCCAATCTGTGCAGTGCTTCAATAATGCAGCCAAGAATGGTTAGAATTTAGGCACCCATGCATGCATAGATCGGGCCCGGAATGCGATGAAAGCCGCGTTATACCCTATCAGATGACGACGTCAAGAGGATGATGATGATGATGTCCTTGGGGGGACGGGGGACAAGGCAACATGCAGTATACCAAAACCGACAAGCTTACCTTATAGTGTACATGTACAGTGCATAAGGTACATACAGGTAGGAGGTAGTTTGTACTTGTAGAAAAAAAAACATTGGCATAGGGCGTGGAAGAATGTCGCGCCGTGGCTCCCGTCTCTACCAGGTTACTTTCAGTTTGCTTGTGATGCTGAAGTTCGGCCGAAGGATACGGTATGTTATGTGCGAGTGCGGTAGTGACGTGATGGATGGTCCACTTGGAGTGGAACTAGTGTCTAGTTTCCGTGCTCGACCGATCCAATGTACATTCATCACTGGATTGATTCTGTCGGTACGTGTAGTGAACTAGTAGACTAGTAGGAGGTACGGCAAAGGTACATGATGAGAGAGCTGTAGTACATGTAGGAGGTAGCTTCCTTTCCATCGTCACATCATCATCACAGAGCATCACTACCTACCACCTCACCTTTAACCTGCTCCACCCCCGCAAGCAAGTGGGAAATGGGAGGAGACTAACAACAACATCAACAACAATAATACCTATCGTCAACAACAACAACACCACCACCACCACCACCACCACCACCATCTCTTGCCACAGAAACTCCCTCCACTCTTCCTTCCGTATCACGAAACTGCCCTTCCCACCGGCCTCACAGCCGCATCATCCGACGGACCACCCACTTCGCCTGCCCGTTATCGAACTGCACCATCATCCTCTTCTCACCTCCCTCTTCCCTCCTCCCTCCTCGACCACTTCCTGTCCCATCTCTCCGCGTGCTTGTCGGGTGTTGTTGCCACAATCGCTCCGGCAAGAACGTTGAGGTCAGACGACGACGTCGACGACGACGACAGCACGTCGGCTCAGCCTGGAGCTTATTCGTCACCCTTGCCGTCTGAAGGACCCGCAATCCGAGACGAGAGTTTGACTGGGCCACCCTGCACTCTGACCAACAAACTCCCACCCAGCCATGTCGCTCAAGAAGGCCCTGAGCAGCTTTCGCTCCGGAGGGAGTGGCTCGACTTCCGCAGCAACCAGTGATACTGAGACTGCCGACAAGACCGAGAACCTCAACCGTCGTTCCACGAGCGGCCTGGCAGCTTTGACGAGCGCTCGCCCATTTGCCAGACACTCTACCGACGTCGCCCGAGCCTCCACCGATCATGTGCGTTCTCCCGCCTCGGCCTCCCCCAGTCGCCAATCCCGCGACCACCATCGAGCCTCGCATAGTCCGCTGGGCTTCCTGCGCCGCAAGATTCGGGCGAGCTCCGAGGACTCGCACTCCTCCACCGAGGACTACTTGGCTGTGAATCGTGACGGCGATACCTTGAGCAAAAACCAACAGCGCAAACATGAGCGCGCCGCGGAAAAGGAAGCCCATCGCAAGGAGGCGGAAGAGCGTACGCAAGCCGATCGCCAACGCAAGGAAGACATGCGACGTCGTGCAGAATTGGGGGAAACGGAAGAACAAAAGTCCAAGTACGGTGTTCTGCCTATCAATTACTATGCAGGTCAGCAGAAGCATCAGGACCGCATTGATATCCGCGAGCTGAAGCCGGAGCACATTGGCAAGATGGTCTGCTTCCGGGCACGTATCCACAACATGAGGAAGCTGAGTGCGCATCTCGTCTTCGTGGAGCTGCGCCAGCAAACCGCCACCATTCAGGGCATTCTGCATGAGCACGGCAGCGTGTCACCTCACTTTGTCTATTGGGCGGAGCACCTCCACGTCGAGACCGTGGTTCTGATCAAAGGTGTGATCCAGGAGCCCAAGTCCAAACAGGGCGAAATCATTGGCGTGTCGATACACAACTTGGAGGTGCATATCCACGAAATGCACGTCGAGGCCACTCCCAGCGAGCCACTCGCATTCACGGTGCATGAGGCTGAGGTGAACAAGGCGGACACGCAAAAGGAGGGAGATACACGCCACCGCGTGTCCGACCGTGCCCGGCAGAATAACCGGATAATTGATCTGCGTTCGACAGCTTCGCAAGGCATCTTCCGCGTACAGTCGGGCATATGTCAAGCGTTCCGCGCACATCTCCACTCTCTGGGCTTCATGGAAATTCATACGCCGAAGCTGCAAGGCGCCGCGTCCGAGTCCGGAGCCAGCGTGTTCAAAGTCGACTACTTTGGTCGACCTGCCTTCCTGGCACAGTCTCCTCAATTGGGTAAGCAGATGTGCATTGCTGCAGACTTCCGCAGAGTGTTTGAAATTGGGCCCGTATTCAGAGCGGAGAACAGCAACACCCACAGACATTTGACAGAATTCACCGGCTTGGATTTGGAAATGGCTATCGACGAGCACTATCACGAGGTTCTCCGCGTACTGGACAGCACGTTCAAGGCGATTTTCACGTACGTGTATGAGAACTACAAGGACGAGATTGAGGTGGTGAAACGCCAGTTCCCCCACGAGGACCTCGTATGGCTCGAACAGACGCCGGTCATTCCCTTTGCAGAAGCGATTCGCATGCTCAACGACTCGGGATATCGTAACGAAGACGGAAACCCTCTGCCCGAGGACGAGGACATGGGAACCCGTGATGAGATTGCGCTGGGTGCGGTCGTCAAGGAGAAGTACAAGACCGACTACTACGTGATTGACAAGTTTCCGGCATCCGCACGCCCCTTCTATGCGATGCCAGACCCTGAAAACGAGAACATCACCAACTCCTTCGATATCTTCTTGCGTGGTCAGGAGATCCTGTCTGGTGGCCAGCGTATTCACGATGCGCCCATGCTCATCAAGAAGATGGAGGCTCTGAAAATGGACCCCAGCACGTTGGAAGAGTACATGACAGGTTTCGAATGGGGCGCGCCGCCTCATGGAGGTGGTGGCATTGGTATGGAGCGCATACTGATGCTGCTTCTCCAGCTGGGTGATATTCGAAATGCCACCCTGTTCACCAGAGATCCGAGATCGCTGCCGTACCACCCACCTGTCAAGCAGCTCAGACATCCTGATGCCAGCACGCTGCATCCTCCTTGGTCCGGCCAAGATCGTGTTGCGGCACACATGGACTTCCAGCCTTTGCCAAAACTCATTGCCAATTACGGCGATGCTTCCAACACTTCGTGGCTGGAGCCGAAGTTTGAGGTCTGGCGTGACCCTAACACTGGTGCCGCCGTGGGCTTCGTACCGCACGAGGGCTTCAGCATCACCATTGGAGATCCACTGTGCCACCCCAGTCAGTATGCCAAGACCATTGGTGGGTTCCTGCGATACATTAAGAAGGAACGGCGACTCAAGCCATTGTGGCTGCTGTGTGGCGCAGCTCCAGAAGAGGTGCTAGCAACGAAATTCGACTGGCGAACCTTGTCAGTTGCAGCTGAGCAGCGACTGGATCCGGGAAATAACCCTGCAGCGCAGGATCCGGATATCCAGCGCAAGTGCCGCCATGCCGAGAAAGAGGGTGTCAAGGTGCATGATATCAATCTAGGGACTCCAGTGCCTGAAGATATCAAGCAGAAGGTCGAGAAGCGCATTCAGGATTGGCTCAAGAACCGCAAGGGCAAGCAAGTGCATTTGACCGATGTGCATCCATGGCAGGATGTGGAGCACAGACAATACCATTACTCCACCACCAAGGAGGGGGAGATTGCTGGTCTGGTCATTTTAGCACAGCTGTCGCCCGATCACGGTTGGCAGGTGAAGTTTGCTTTGGATTTCCCGGGTGCGCCGTCCGGTGCCATCGAGTTGCTCGTGCTACACGCGCTCAAGGCTGCCGCAGCGACTGGCGCAACCTCCGTCACCTTTGGTGGCGGAGCTTCCGCCAAGCTCACCCCAGGACACAACTTGAAGGGCACCAGGGTCAAGGTCTTGGCCAAGGCGTACCACGCCATCGCAACCGAGCTGAAATTGACGAACAAGAGCGAATTCCGAGAGAAGCTCGGCGCTCAAGATGATCCCGTGTACGGTAAGTGGCACTTTGATATTTGGTCACGATGACATGTGGATGCTGACATTTGACACAGTGTGCTACCCACCTCATGGTCTAGGACCTGCCGGTGTTCGAGCTATTCTGAGCTTTTTTGAGGACGACGAGGACGATAAAAACAAGGTTTAGCAGTCCCAGGAAGAGCGTGCATCGTTGGTGTTTCCCCAGAAGTTTTCGCGAGTGTTTACTGCGTCCAAGTCTGTCGTACATTGGCGGAGAGTGTCGACCAGGATTGATGTTGAGATGGAGTGAGATGGGGCGTGTGCACAGATGTGCTGTTGCCTGTTCTCCCAATATATAACGATACACCTAGAAACCAATAGCTGATTGATCTTTTTGCACACTGTGTTGTTGTGGTCTTTTCTTTTTCTTTTTCTTTTTCTTTTCTTCCTGTGTCGTTTCTCCCAGGTGTCACATGGAATGATGGTAACGGTAGAACATGGTCGTCATGCTGTCGGTGCGCTCTCTCAAGACTGTCCAGCCTTTGAACAGCTCTATATCTTACCTCAATAGTAGGTAAGGTACCTAAGATAGGTAGGTAGGTAGGTAGGTAGGTAGGCTTGAATGACACCATTATGACCGGTGAGATAAGAGGTATATACACATGTTCATAAGGTACCTTACCATACATGGCACGTACAAATCCATCCGGTTGAGAAATCTGCATTGTCGGGTGCATTTGTTGCAATGTTGCATTGGACTCGGGCAACAGCCCACTTTCTCATTCCCTCTCCCTCTCCCCGTCCTCTCTTATTTTTTGACAAACGTCCCGCGGGCGGGGGGGTTGTAAGTTTGGGTCGGCTTTCACTTTCCGTTCGGAGGCGCAATTTGAAGAGGGGGCGAATTAATCGGGAATTTGGAAAGAAATTCGTCGGCTACCTTATGCTTCGAGTGAGCGAGTGCTCTCAGGGTCCTACTCATTTTTTTCTTTCTGCTTGCGTTCCATAGGAGGAGGAGGCTGTCAGCATAGGTACGTTTTTTGGGGGGGGGAAAGGTCGGCAGTTAGTGTGATGTGTTTTAAAGCGACTTGAGTATTCGACACATCATATATGCTCCAATCCGTATCATAGTCGGACTCCTCCTTTCGCATAGACACATCAAAGTGTCACATGCGATCGTATCCCCTCGTCGTCATCCTCCTGCCCCCACCCATGTATCCCCTCTTCCAGTGCTACTCTGTCTTTGGGATATAATTCTGCTGTTGGAACAGATATCCCTTCACCTTCGAATGCTTCAATTGCTCCAGATATCGTTCTACAGTTTTTTTTTACTGTCAGCTTCGTATATCACCTATATCCATCACTGGCCCTCTTCGGATCTGTTTCGCTCTCACCTCTCAAATGCCCACACTTCTCCAAATGGTTTACGCCCTCCTTGTAGTAGCATTTGCCCATTTCCTCCCGGATCAGCCGCGCCATCATGCTCTGCACCCATTGCTCCCGGATGATGGCATCTTGTGCAGCTTTCAGCGCCTTGTTGTCATCGTAGTCCACGCCGTCAAATGTTGGCGCGACTTTGGGCTTGGATGCTTTGAACGATTCGGATTCTGGGGTGGGCATTGTGGTGGTGGTAGTGGTAGTAGTGGCCGAGCGCAGCCCTGCGTCGTGTGTGGCAGTCGGATACGTTTGAATATATCTTCGCTGTCGCAATGGAGGTCGCTGGGCTTGTCAATGGCGTGCGAGAGGTTGCGTGTATGTTGAGCTGTTTCATGCACGGTACAGAGCTTCGAGGTGCGGTGTCGACGTCTCGGGTGCTGCCGTCTCCAAATGCTGACTACAGATACCTACGTAGGTAGGTGCAGATCACTGAGACTTTCACACCTCTTCTTCGTCGACATCTCTCATCGGGCTCAATTTGGCACTCTTCCTCTTCGACTTTCTCCAACTGAATCTTTTGGTCAAACTTGGCTTTCTTCGCGGCGACTGTGGTGTGGGTGGTGGCTCAATCTTCTTCCTGTCCTCCTCCTCACGCTCTTCCGCCTTCTTGGTCCAGTAATCTTTACCGCCACTCGGCATGCCATAAGAAACTTTCCACTGCCATTCGTCAAACTTCACGGACTGCTTCGTATTGATCTCCAGGAGCAACCGCTCTCGTGTCGAGCTGCAAGACGGACACAGTCGATCGAGCCGCAAGCTTTTGTACGGATGTGCCGCGATCTCGCAGCCCGTGGACCACGGAACCGAAGGATCGAATGAAGCATCGCGACATTCCAAGAGAGGCCGTGGGCAGAATGAGCTGTGTCCGCACGTCGAGTATATCACGCGACTGTGGCAGCACATTGCGATTGACGACTGTTTGACTTCATTTACAGGAGCGGCAGCACATTGGCAACGAAAGGCCGCAGACATCTCATAGTCTGCCGGTTTTGGCGACCTTTGTTCTCACTCGGGACAATATGTGACTATATTCTCCGAGTACATGCACCGCGCGTATTCTTTGTCAAAATCATTGACTCTATGTCTGCTTTTCGTGAATCTCGACTCAAAGCACACCAAATAGACGTTAACCAGGAAAACGATCTGACTCGTGTCAGCCCTATCTATTGCCGCCTCTCGTCGTTCTCAAAGGTGCCTACCTTACAACTAATATATCGGATCTGCGGTACAGTAGCGTGCAAAGCCACTGCGCAATAGCAATATAGTGGTTGATATCTAGCTCGCCAGCCGAAAGCCAATGTGTTCGAGAAGGTCGCGCAGGTATCTTCCGGCGTAAAGTTGTCCATCTCAGGCCAAGACCAGATCATATTACACACTTATGCGTTCTGTAAGCCAGGGGTGAACATCCAAGGCATGCCGTCACTGTCCAAAAGTCGCTAGGTTACATCAGTATCGAAGCCGGACATTTATACACGATTGAATTAGCGAAGTGGGAGTGGTGATGCTCGCTGGACACTTGAAGTTGGCGTGCAGAGAGCTCTACAGCAGTACGACAGGCCCTCCGCATTAGTTTTATGCAGAGCTTACATGTACGTAGTTGACCAAGAACGTCCAGGCCAGCGCGACTCTAGCTGATCTGAACTACGTATACGGCCGGGCGGAAGGTAATTGTACAACATGAAGCGGTGGAAGCCACTTGTACATATGTACAATTGAAAGATTGTTCCAATGGCAGTAGGTGTAGGTAGTGAAAGTGAACACTGTACTTCACGCGGCGCGAACTGGCGGAGTAGCGGGGGTGCCAATTATTACGACTTTAATCCTTGCAACGCTAAGATGGTTAGTTCTAGGGGTTTTGTTGCTGTCACATGTTTGGAAGCTTGTCGTGTCCTTTGAGATACCACTCCGTCCGTGTAGACAACGTCCATCCCATTCGAATTTCTTGCAGATCCAAGAACCTTGAAGTGCTTTCCATTGTCGACGACAGCGACGGGAACCAAACACCGCATTCTATCAGTCTCTCGTCATAAACCAAGCATGGCCTCCCTGCAAGTGCCCGTGAGAGGGAAAGCTGGAGGTGCTCCTGTCACAAAAGCTGTGATTCTGGTATACATACGTCCTGCAAGCTCAACATATGGGACTGCGAGCTGAGAGGTATTCTAGGTTGGGGGCCCATCCCGAGGAACACGTTTCAGACCACTTTCTCTCGACCTGCCGAAGGTGAGTAACCACAACCTCCGTCAATGGCTCAGCATGCTGCCATGTGAGCATATGTTGATTCCCCATAGCCACTTTTCGAAGTCGCCGGCCATCCCATCATCGAACACTGCTTCCAGGCAGTCTCACGCGTCCCTGAGATTCACGAAGTCTTCATCGTCGGCTACTACGACGAGTCAGTGTTCCGCGACTTCATCAAGGATTGCTCGCGCACACACCCCAAGATCAGCGTCAAGTATCTTCGCGAATATCAAGCTCTCGGTACAGCCGGCGGTCTTTATCACTTCCGCGATGCCATCCTGAAGGGCAGACCCGATCGCTTCTTCGTCCTCAACGCCGATGTGTGCTGCTCGTTCCCACTGGAGCAGATGTTGCGCTTATTCGACGAGAAAGATGCGGAAGCTGTAATTTTGGGCACAAGGGTCCCGAACGATGCAGCCACCAATTTTGGTTGCATCGTCAGCGATTCGCATAGCAAGAGAGTGCTTCATTACGTGGAAAAGCCGGAATCACACATCTCGAACCTGATCAACTGCGGTGTCTATCTCTTCGCGACGGAAGCTATCTTCCCTAGCATCAAGAGCGCTATCAAGCGCCGCACAGATCGCCCACGGCTGTTGTCATACCCGTCCTCGGATGCGCTGGACGCGCAGTACGTCCCACCCGGAGACGAGGATGGCGAGAAGAACGAAGTCATTCGACTGGAGCAGGACATACTCGCAGATCTTGCAGACAGCAGGCAGTTCTATGTCCTGGAGACCAAGGACTTCTGGCGGCAGATCAAGACCGCTGGCTCAGCAGTACCTGCGAACGCTCTCTATCTCACCAAGGCGTTCCAGCTGCAATCAGAAGAGCTTGCGAAACCATCAGCCAACATTTTGCCGCCTGTGTTTATCCACCCCAGCGCACAGGTCGATCCGACCGCTAAGCTGGGGCCCAACGTGTCGATTGGACCTCGCGCAGTGGTCGGCGCAGGCGCGAGAATCAAGGAGTCCATCGTGCTCGAGGACGCCGAGGTCCGTCACGATGCGTGCGTGCTATATTCCATCATTGGCTGGGGCAGCAGAGTCGGCGCCTGGGCACGCGTAGAGGGCACACCGACACCAGCGCGAGAGCACAGCACGAGCGTGGTCAAGAATGGAGTGAAAGTACAAAGCATTACTATCCTGGGTAAGGAATGCGCCGTTGCGGACGAGGTCCGCGTACAGAACTGCGTCTGCTTGCCATACAAAGAGCTGAAGCGCGACGTGGCCAACGAGGTCATTATGTAAGTCGAGTCGCAGAGGCGTGTAGAAAAAGCGCGGCGCCGCACAGCAGCGACGTTGACCAAAAGATGCATTACCCAAACATCGACAGGGCGTCGGGGGGAGGAGCAGCCATGGGAGGGCAGTGGAGCTCAGCAGACACGTGCATACCGTATGGAGGTAGTCTGGGCGATCGACACACTATACACCCACCCTGCTGACTACATGGTACTACTTGTGTTGCAATGACTGACGCCGATCGATCTGTGAAGAACGACTGATGACCTGTTGTGGTGGGCAATCTTGGGGGGAGTCAGCGAGATGTTGGTAGCACGTCCTCAGTACATGTAGCTGACATGGTCGTATACGATACTGCAAGCACTTTTAGAGGCACATCCGACGGTACCTGTACCTACATGTACCTACCTTGTATTGAAGACGATATATGTGATCGGGCGATGAAAAGTGAAGCTGATGAGCTGATGGTATGCTGCGGCTGACTCAATGCCAGGCCCCGCTGGCTCGAAGCCTAGAACTAACTAGACCTTTGTCACTGTTTGGCGTAGGAGGTAGTATCCTTGTCGTTGCATTCAACTAGGCTCCCAAACCTTGCGAGGCTTGTACATGCATACACACCTTACCACCACTACCTGACTACGGCTGCTGCTGTACCCACCGCATCGACTGCATCTCCCGCGAAACAGAAAGATTCCGCCCAGGCGCAATTGCTGGCGAGACATACATCCTACCGTACCTACCAAACTGCACTTCACGTCGAGCGATAGCTGTCAAGAACTCTGACGTATTTCTTCTCCGCCCGCCAGCCGGCCGCTCTTGCTCTGGCTCTTGCGCTTCGCACTGCTCTTGCACGATCGCTTCCTCCAAACAGACCATCACCACCACCACCACCACCACCACCACCACCGACCTGCGTCCCAGCAGCCGCACACCTCATCATAATCCTCTCCCTCCGTCTGCGAAGCCCACAACGCCCGTCCAACCCCGCGCGCCCTCTTCGCTATCACTTTGCGACCAGACTCCCGCCAGCACTCTGGCCGCCCGGCGTCACTACGATCACCTTGGCCACGCGAGCCACGATACCTTCCCCGCCAAAGGCCACAACAGCTTCCATGCGAAGGCATTAGGCACCGCTTCCGCCGAAATACACTGTCTGGCCTACTTGGCGAGACTCTTCCGGCCTCCATAACGACCTCGGATCGCATCACACTGCCACTTATCACCACTCTCGCTGCTCTTATCTCCTTCGCCGCGCATCAGGCCACCCATTCACTCATTCATTCACGAGCAAGACCATCTGCAGAGCTGCGACTGATTCTCCATCATGGGTAATCAGCCGTCCAAAGAGAAGGATGGCAAAAGTAGCGGCTCTCAAACCCCCACGGGCTCAGGCCCAGAGCTAGGCTCATATCCATCTTTCAGCAAGTCCGACACAAAGGAGTCATCGCGCTCGTTTCGGACTGCCTTGCGCACCAAGATACCCGGCAAGTCATCCGCTGACAGTCCGCGTGCCAGTACCAGCAACCTCAGTGGTGACAACTCGACGACGAGTCTGGACAAGACGGATTCGCAGTCAGTCAAGTCAGCTACTAGTGGTAGGTCTGGCAGGCACTCTCGGGGCGCATCAGGATCCATTGCGGACACGTCACGTAGAGGCAGTCTCGCGGGCGATGAGACCGAGGACCAACCGCCTCCTTCGCCGACCATGTCTTCGTCGGTCTTGAGTGGACACCACTTTAGCGAGATTGAGGAGGCGCAACGAAGCGGCGAAGTAGACGCTGTATCGGATGCCCCTCCGCAGGGCAATATCCACCAGACACTCAACAAGGAGCCCACAGAATCCATCCTCATGAAGAGGCCACAACGAGAAACAAATGGCCAAGGCGCAGCTGCAGCCCTTGCCATCGCCGAGGGACCAGAATCTCGTTCACCTTCTACGTCGGGCGACATGGCCATAGGAGCGTTGAAGCCTGCTGACCTCGACGACATGATCAAACGTCTCGTGGATGCTGGTTATGCTGGCAAAGTCACCAAGACCGTCTGCCTCAAGAACGCCGAGATCACTGCAATCTGCAACGCTGCGCGAGAGCTATTCCTGTCGCAACCTGCGCTTCTGGAGCTATCTACACCTTGTAAGATCGTTGGCGACGTGCATGGTCAATACACGGATCTGATCCGCATGTTCGAAATGTGCGGCTTTCCACCCAATAGCAACTTTCTCTTCCTAGGCGATTATGTGGATCGCGGAAAGCAGAGTCTGGAGACCATACTGCTACTGTTGTGCTACAAACTACGATTTCCAGAAAACTTCTTCCTCCTCCGAGGCAATCATGAATGCGCAAATGTCACGCGGGTCTACGGCTTCTACGACGAATGCAAGCGAAGGTGCAATGTGAAGGTGTGGAAGACCTTTGTGGATACCTTCAACACGCTACCTATCGCTGCTATCGTAGCCGGCAAGATCTTCTGTGTTCATGGAGGACTTTCGCCATCGCTTTCTCACATGGACGATATCCGCAACATCGCCAGGCCAACAGACGTTCCGGACTATGGGCTCTTGAACGACCTGCTCTGGTCTGATCCAGCTGATATGGAAGCAGATTGGGAAGCTAACGAGAGAGGTGTCAGTTATTGCTTTGGCAAAAAGGTTATCATGGAATTTCTGCAGAAGCACGATTTCGATCTGGTATGCAGAGCGCACATGGTTGTTGAAGATGGTTATGAGTTCTTTAACGAGCGCATCCTGGTCACTGTGTTCTCCGCTCCAAATGTAAGTTCACGTTTGTGCGACCAGCTTGGGCGTGTTACTGACTTGACACGTAGTATTGTGGCGAATTTGACAACTGGGGAGCCGTGATGAGCGTCTCAGGCGAACTGCTCTGCTCGTTTGAGCTCCTCAAGCCGCTAGACTCGAGCGCACTGAAGACCCATATTAAGAAAGGCCGGGCTAAACGTAACAGCATGCTGAACAGTCCACCGGCTGCCCAGTTCCCACAAAGCTACTAAGGATCGTCACCGAGACGAAGGCCATCAGAATGGATAAGGGAAGCATTATTGAAAACCAGGAACCCCGGAATTTTCACAAGACGACAAAAATGATTCTCGGCAGTCAGAGGGAAGGAAGTCTCACTGCAGTTGAGCAAAGTAACAGACGATGGCAGCACATCGCAACCCAGCTTCGGGAACAATTTGTCATGGTCCTCGGAGGGACACACATCGACCATTAGCAAGCACCCAGCTGTACTTCGCAGCTGCGCTTCAGGCATGTTTCACTGCAACAATGGAAGGAAGAGTAGGGCGACCCTTGAAAATGTGTTATGGCAAGCTTTCAGTAATAGGCCAGGCGTTATGGGCTGGCTGTAAATCCCATCATGGACGGGTCGGCTTGGAAAGCAAAGACAGATTCATGGCGTTCAGGCAAGCTGTCGGAGATGTTTTCGACTTGCGACATATCACAGCGCTGACATGACATGCAGCGGGCGATGGGCGAAAGCATTGAAGTATCCTCAAGGCGGAGACGCTCAGGGGAACATCGGCTGGACGAAATCCCGCACTCTCGTACTATTGGCTATAGAAATATGGCTGTTGGTCGCATTGACTGAGGGGGTTTCGTTCCTACACGCTTGACGGCTTGTCCGAAGCTTGCCAACATGGGTCGGTCGCTTGGTAGACTGCACGGATTGTTATTTGTTATTACCTTATGGACTTCTCCACTTTACTTCCCCATATCTACAGGTTCGTGACGGCACTTGTGCAAAAGACTCTCACTTCGACTCTTTCACAATTGGCGTGTGGCAGGCGGCATAAAGCACTGTTCTCCTCCCACGATTCTTGACATAGCTACATAGCCACTTCTCCTACCTTACAGTAGCTACTAGGTACAGTGGCATCCACAAATCGTAAGAATCTTAGCACCCATAGCCTCAACACTACCAAGGTAGAATGGCTATGATAAGTACCTGCATCCGTACGGGATTCATACATGGTAGCTTCCAGCTGGGCATGACAGATGGGCTCCTGCTGGAGATGCGGTGGTAGGCACAGGTTCTACGTACATCATGTAGTATTACAGACTGGAAACATCGATACACATCTGCGCCACTCTTTCCACTTTCGCCCTGTTGTGTAATTGAGGTTATCGTACTAAGGTACATGTAGTGATGAGTGGAAGATACCTACCTACCTGACCTTAGGTACATGTACCTTACCTACCTCCTAGGTACCTAGCGTGATGTCGTGGCAACGACAGCACGTGATTGCAAGTCCGAGGCTGCAGGTGGATTCTGGTGGAATGATATGACCCCTGCTAGCGGCGGGCCGGAGCTAACCGATCCCAGACCCTGCCAACTGCCATCTCTGGGTAGAAGGTACATCCAATTCCGACCTCTAAGGCGCGTCTTCACGAATAACTTCATTCTCACATCAAAACCCCCAACATTGTCGCGCGACTCCAGACAGGCAAAGTCTCGCTCGAATATCACTGGCGCTCATACTTGACCACTGGCAACAGCTGTGACAATACAACCCAGCGCTTGAACGCACAGAGGAGCGGCAGCATGGATTACGATGCATTTGGCGCAAATGACGGCGAGGACGCTGGACCCAAGATCACCATTCGTGAGGTGAGTGCTGTCGAACAGCAGTGCTACTGATGATGCGCGCGAACAGGAGGCTGACGATGGTAGACGACGGACAAATCGATCCGATTCCGCCTGTCCAACACTTCTCTTGCCCTCGCCAATTCAGTACGACGTGTGATGCTCGCCGAAGTACCGACTATCGCCATTGACTTGTGTGAAATCGAAGCCAATACTTCAGTCCTCGCCGACGAATTCCTCGCTCATCGACTCGGTCTCATTCCTCTGAGCACAAAGGGTGTGGATGAGATGGTCGACTTTCGGGACTGCACATGCGACGAATATTGCGACAACTGCAGTGTTGTACTACGCTTGAATGCTGCCAACCGAAACAGCGATCAGAACCTCAAGGTGTTTGCGCGCGACCTTTTTGTTGAGTCCGGCGCACCGGGCGTGGCAACCTACAACCGCTCCAATGGAGTCAACGGGACTTCCTCAGATGACTTGCCTCCGCGTGGTGCCCCAATCATTGGCGACCCAGCAGGGCAGGGGCCTCTGATATGTCAGCTGCGCAGAGGGCAGGAGCTGAGGATAAAGTGCATAGCAAAGAAGGGCATTGCGAAAGAGCACGCGAAGTGGGCACCTACGGCAGCGATTGGATTCGAGTACGACCCTTGGAACAAATTAAAGCACACGACGTTGTGGTATGAGACGGATGCGAAAGCTGAGTGGCCTGAGCCCCAAAAGAATGGCGACTGGGAGGAGCCACCCCAAGAAGGCGAACCTTTTGACTATGCCGCTGAACCCACCAACTTTTACTTCGAGCTCGAAGGAACTGGAGTAATGCCTCCAGATCAGATTCTGCACTCAGGCATTCGAGTGCTACAGGCTAAACTGGCAGGCATAATAAGAGATCTTGGTACTGATGCACAGGTCGGTGATCAGAACGGTTTTGGAGGCTTCAGTCCCAATGATCCAATGGCGAATGGTGCGGCGAGCGCGTATGGCGGAGGGAATTATGGCGGTACGAGTGTCTACGGGGATGGTGGCGGCGCCGCCACAGCCTATGGCGGAGGCGCTGGCAGTGTCTATGGCATGGCGACGCCGTATGGACAACAACGGCAATACTGAGGTGCTCACATGCTTGCATCGACATGATAAGAGCGGGCGGAAGCGTGAAGGGAGTATTGGCGTATGCAACAAGACGTGAGCAGACTGCAGAGCGCTCTCGACGTCGCTGTGGAGCCACACGAGGATGAATGTGACAGTGGTCCTGGGTTGTCCTACTGCAGCTCAATGTCTCAGTGCGTTGCTTCGAGACGTCCACAAGAGTGCGGAATCGAAGATGCAGCTCAAGGCGGGCAGCTTCGTGCCAGCTCGTTGGGCAGGCACTGCATCTATAGCGTCCGCAAAGGTCTCGATTGAGGTGCGAGGGCTCACCTCATGCGCGTGTGCCTACAACATGAAGTAGAGCAGGCAGCATTAATCACGGATATACCTACGTTAGGTAAGGTATATTCATGTACCTCAGGTACACTAGGTAGTTGCGAGGCTATCGCTCCAAAGACACAGTTGAACGCTTAAGACGACATAAGTGCGCCAAGACCAAATCAGTTTCCTGTGCATATGATACCGCAAGTACCTCATGCATGTAAGGTACCTATGTAAGTGCAGACCACGTACAATGGGTCCCATCAACGTCAAAGTGCCGTGATCTACATGTACAGATGAATTCCACGTAGACCACAGTGGAAACCGAGAGACACAGAGTCTTGGCGTGTCCGTCGCTACCTCTACTTCCTCTTGCAATAATAAATCTCGAACAAGAGCGACCACAACCCGACGTACTATTTCCAAGTCGCATCCAAACATGTCGCGTCACTGGCGAGACAAGCGGAACCGCAAGAAGCGATCGCGCGACGATTACGAGCGCGACAATCAACTTGGTGTCAGTCACACTCTTGCGCTTCTGCAGGGCGAAACAGGTGCATCCAATGGTCACGTCGAAGGAACAGAACTCGACGCTCAAACCAAGGCAGAAGCTGGAGGCGTGCCGGATCAAGAGGGTGAAGAAGGCCACCCCATGAAAAAGCGCAAAAAAGCGCCCAAGAAGGAGAAGGATAAGTATCCTTCCATTTCGCACTCACCGAACATGCGTTTGAATACTTCTGTGAAGCTCAGTGACATTCAAGGCCTTGTGCTGTACCTCATCGCAGATGGCTTAGCTCCGCAGTGGCTATCCGTCAGGAACTCTGGAAGCATCAAAAAAGTGGTTATGTTGATGGTGCCAGGCTTGGAAGCAGGGATGTTCGATGGGAGGATACCTCTCGACCCGCCAGAGGCAGCACTTCCTAACAACGATGGGAGTGTGCCAGAAGAGCAAACTCCCAGCCAAGGTGGTGATGATGCTGAAGGCTGGACGGAAGTACGACATGGCAAAAGCAGAACTGCCCCAGACGACTACTACCCGAGTAAACTGGCAGGACCTCGCTTGCCGGAATCACTGAAGCCTCTTGAAGAGATCTTCGAACACGTGTGGCCTGTCAAGACTCCTGGAGATGAGAAGTATGCGAAAATGCACTCACCATTGTCCGCCATGCTGCAGACTCCAATTGTCAAAACGAAGGACGAGAAGAAGTCGCACGGACCTCAGGCACCAGCTGCTAGCAAAAATTGGCAGAATAAGCGCGTCGCTGTGACTGAGCTGCTTGCAACTACCGATCAATTGGCAGAGGAAGGGTATACTTTGCATCCAGCGCACTTTTCTGGAACATCGGCCGCCGACGATGCATCGGCACGTCGAGCCAGAAACAATACTACTGTCAGTGACGGTTGGTTGGACACTCCAGGCATACCCAATCTCGATGCCGGGAAGGCCAGTGAAGACGACATCCAGCAAGGCTCGACAACTGTGGGCAGGAAGGTCCTGGCCATTGACTGTGAAATGTGCATTACTTCACCAAAAGGCGTGACTCCACAGATCTTTAGTTTGACTCGAGTGTCAGTGGTTGACTGGGATGGCCAAGTTGTACTCGATGAGCTTGTCAAGCCCGCTCAGCCTATCTCAGATTACCTGACTGCGTATTCGGGAATCACTCCGGCTATGCTAGAGAGCGTCACTACCACTCTTGGCGATGTGCAACAAAGGCTGCTATCATTAATCACTCCGCAGACAATTCTCATCGGCCACTCTCTTGTCAGCGATATGAACGCTTTACAGCTCACTCACCCTTTCATTATCGATACCACACTCTTATTTCCTCACCCGCGAGGACCGCCGTTGAAGTCATCTCTCAAATGGCTAGCACAAAAGTATCTCTCACGCGAAATCCAGAAGGGACACGGTACGACAGGTCACAGCAGTGTCGAGGACGCTCGTGCTTGTCTGGATCTGGTCAAGCAGAAATGCGAGCGTGGTCTAGCCTGGGGCACTTCTGAAGCAAGCTTCGAAAGCTTGTTCAAACGCTTGTCGCGCTCGAATCGGCCCATGAAGCAGAAGATGAACGCAGTCGGTGAAGATGAGCCTAGGCGTTCCGCGGTAGTGGACTGGGGCGATCCGTCCCGCGGATATGGTGGGCAAGCAGATGTGGTGATCGGCTGTGACAGTGATGCCGACGTTGTCGCTGGCGTCACGCGAGCCATCAACGGTGACCCGGACGACACAACACTTCCAGCCGGTGGTTGTGACTTCGTATGGGCTCGCCTTCGCGAGCTTGAAGCTGCTCGAGGGTGGTTGGATCGGTCGAATCTTGATGCCGAGTCTCTTCGCGCCTCGACTGTCGCCAATGGCCAGGAGGGCTCACTGCACTCCACAGCTAAGCAGACTGCCGATTCCATTCGCCACATCTGGGCAAGCTTACCTGCATGCACAGCCTTGATCGTGTATAGCGGCTCTGCAGATCCGCGTGAAATGCGTGAAATGCAAGCTCTTCAGCAGAAATTCAAAGAAGAGTACAAAGTGAAGAAGTGGGATCAGCTCAGCGTTCAGTGGACAGATGTGGAAGAACAGCGGCTGAGAAAAGCTTGCCTGGAGGCGAGGAAGGGCCTTGGGCTGATCACTGTCAAGTGAACAAAGAAAGTTGAACATCTTTTCAGAAGCATGCAACGACACATGCGAATTACAATTGGGAGAGTGTGTTGTTCTATGCATGGCCGCCGAGACTGTAAGTAACACACAGTCCCGCTTTCGCAGACGTCTAGCATTATACAGCAGCCGGCCTCTATACCTTGCGGATCCCTTGGATCTTGCGGAGTCTACCTATGTACATTGCCTCGCTGAAGCACGAAACGTACAGGTATCCAACATTACGCAGTAATCGCTTGCTCTTCTGCAGTAGTCGAAACAGGATGCTCCTGAGTGAAAGCTGTAAAGTGGCTTTTGGCGTCCTCAACTTGCGACCCGGAATTCTGCATTACCACATCCGCCATCTGAGCATCGTCCTCCTTCTTTTCTAGACCGCTTCTGCTCCCGCTTTCACTTTGCGGCGGTACAGACCGAGGGAACTCGTTCGTCGCGGGATATCTCTCATTTGCGTTGGTATCCTCCTGGTGAGAGAATACCCGAGTGATCAGCTCGCGGTGCCGTTCTTGCGTCTCGCTGCCGGGGTCATCAGACGCGTCGTCTCCAGCAGCAGCGCTGGTTGGAGTACCGGAGCGGGTGAGCGCATTGCCGTCTTCTACAGTCGCTCGTCAGTACACTAGTGAGCAGTTATTGACTGGAATCTGCTTACCATCAACATCTGCTCGTTCGGCCTCTTTCTTTGCGTGCACTTTGCGGAGATTGTTCGCACTGCTGACGCTTCGCATATCCGGCCGGCCATCCTTTCTGATCAAGATACCCTCCGCGTTTCTGATTGGCTTCGTTCGCGTCTTCTTGCCAGAACCTCCAGATGTAGGATCTTGCAGCATCGAGTGCGAATCATGCGGAGAACCGGGATTCGCTGGCGTCGCAGGGTATTCACTCGGTCTTTCAGGCGGTAGGCCTCCCATAAAGCTGCCCACACGGCCGCCAGACGTGCTTCTATACGCAGACCGCGGCGAGTGAGGTTGAGGATAGAGCGGCTGATGGCCGCTGCTGGGCGACGAAAAGCTGGTCAGGGTCCCGGGCCGCTCCCAGTCAGATACGCTATGCTCTTGCCCTTCGTGGCCACTACCGTGTCTCTCAGCTCCAAATCGGCCTCGTCCGCGTCCACGACCTCGACCGGTACCCCGACGTCCTCCGCCTATTGAATGTGCATGTTGTGTTAGACCCGCCATGTCGGGTCGGTACATTTCGGGCGGCCCATCCACTTGCTGCGCAGAAGTGATGAAACGAAAGCTGTGCTGGCCTGAAGAGGGTCCAGGTGTCGCTGCCGAGTGCTGTTGCGTACCATCTGATGGAGCTCGGCTCCGAGGGTGGAATGGCACTTCGGCTGCACCTGAAGCCATGGACTGAAAGCCAGAGTGAGCAGTACCGTAGGGTTCTGCGCCCTGTGTGCTCCTTAGCACCGACCCTGGCATCAGTGGTGCCAGCCTGGGTCGCTTTGACCCGTCCAGAGATGGCGATTGATACGGAGAGGCTCTGTCTTCTGGGGGCCTTTTAACGGCCGCATTACCATCCGCCGACGTCCACCCAGACGTCTGGCTTGAGTGCATAGAATGGACGTCTGGTTCCCTTGGTGTCGACCGTGCGCTTGGAGGAGCATTTGGGGATGAGATTGCGGGCAATCCATGGTGGTCTGCTGGCCGCCAGCCAGAGAGAGTCGAAGGTGGCGGCAATGTCTCCCCAGGCCTAAGCTGTGGACCAGATGAAGGCTGCCCGGAATTCTGCTCTGCAGAGAAGGGTCTTGACTCAGACGAAGGACGCAGGGAATGAGTACTTTGCGATGCCAGTGTAGAAGCTGCCGGAAAATAGGGCGGCCGGCTGGCACTGGGTGATGACACTGAAGAGGTTCGCATTGGCGGGAGTGGAACATGCTGCGGTGGCGGCAGGGTTTGCTGTTGATGCTGATAGTGATGAGCTTCTTGCTGACGTTGCTGCTGGGGATACGTCGGTAATGCTGTATCTTGCGATGCTTGCTCTCTACTATATGCATCTGCGGATGGCTTATGTGGAGTCGAGGCCACTGTTGCACCGCCTTCCTCTAACCTCTTCACTCGGTTCTTCACAAGATCGAGCTGCATATTCAAGCCATCGATCTCATTGACGCGGTTCGTCAACCTCTGCAGCTGTCCAGCGAGCACCTCCAGGTCGCCCGAATCGTGCCGGGGGAGCTGCTCTCCAGCCAAGGGACGAGCACGCAGTGCGCGCTGCACATCGTCTACAGCATGCACGACTTCGCCCATCTGCTGACCGAGTCTTCCAATGGCCGACTCGATTTCAGTAAATTGGCGCCGATGCGACTCCAGCATTCCAGTGTTGTAAGACACCTGAGCCTGTAGCCGAGATATAGCACTAGTCCACACGTCGTTCGAGACGCGTTCCTGACAGGCGCTGTGCATGGATAGTCCGCGTGAGTGATCAATCGATCTATGCGGCATTGCTGGCGCGAGCTCGCGTGCTGCTGCTGCTGCTGTATCTTCACCCATTGAAGCGGTGCGCGTCTGTTGCACATACCCTGCAGGTTTCTCCATGAGGTGTCCTTTCATCCGCTATTACGGCGCAGCAAGCAATGGACTAGCCACCTAGTTCGATAGCATAGCAAGAGGTGCGGCAACAGAGGAGTGCCCGGGCTGCTGCTTGCTGTGATCGAAGAAAAGGCAAAAGATGGCGGTTCTGTGAGCTGTGGGTACTATCAATCAGTGAGTGAATGTACAAGCAGAACATCAAAAAGATGACGAAGAGTCAAAAGTACCAACGTGGTTAAATGGACGAAAGGTTTTGCATGCTGTAGCGCTAGTGACTATTGGCAGCGACCAGTGCCAGGCTGTACCGTGGGCAAGCGCAGACTTAATAGGTGCACAGGTTCATGTTTTGGGACAGCTTACTTAGCTAAGATAGTGGAGAACAATCATATAGGAGTTCATCTACCTCGAACAGAGTTCTACGGAGCTCCCAAATAGTCTTAGATTGTGCTTGTTCCAGAAGCTATCAGATGATTGCTAGAGCTAAAGGGCATTAGTGGCTCCCTACTTCAACATCGAGCAAGATGCAGCAAGCAGCAGTACGCGCACAGACAAATCTTCTAGACTTCCGACGTACCAAATTGGTGCTCCCGGCGATAAGATGGCCTGTGGGTTTTCTGCAGGAGATTTCGACAGCTCGGGTCATCCATCACTCATCAGCCGGCAAATTGCGTGCATTCCGAAGGAGAGAGCCTGGAGAAGGTAGAACTACCTTTGCCAGGCTCGGAGCAGCGCATCGGGTCATTCACATGTACAGAGGTCGTGTCCGGCTATTATTGATCTCCTAGAACCCAGGGTACCACGATCCACGCGAATGAGCGTCGAGCAGGCACTAGGTAGTAGTAGTAGTAGTAATACCTGTAGTAGCATAGTAGTACTTCCTGAGCCCATTGAGCCGGCCAATGGGTATGGCGCGCGCGCTATCGTGAAAGCATTTGCACAAGCAGACGACTTTTTTACCAGCAGATCCATATGTGCAATACGAGCCATGCGCCTTTAAGTTGGGCTGTCATCTCGCAACGTGTTCGTGAAGGACTGACTGCAATCACCGCGCGATGGAGGGGCGTGGGCATCCTGCACGCCGCTGTAGATGAAAGTCGACGTGTATCGTGCCATTGCCCACGCTCTTACAGTTGCGTCTTCAGGGTCAGCGACAAGGTACCGTCGTGTAATTCAACCAGTAGAGTGCACACGGCAATCTCTTCGATTTAGCCTGTCCCGGAATGTAGAGACGATGGGGCCGCTGGCTCGGGCCACGTCCGGCAAAGTACGTATTGCCATTGCAGCAGAAAGACGAGCGGCCATGCACAGACGGTGGTATGGGGCGCACGTCCATGTATGATGATGGCAATGATGATGATGATGATGATGGTGGTGGTGGTGGTGGTCGGGGTGGTGGTGCGAACTGCATTTTCATCTGCGAGTGAAAGAGAGTGCGTGCAGTTGTGGAGTGGTGGAGTGAATGAGAAGCGGCAATCTGACTAGAAATGCCACTACCGTAGTCTTTTCTAGTAGTTCCCTCTATAAACGTGTGGGGCTCACCTTTCCTTCCTTGCTCGGCTCGGCTAAGCTTTCCGGAGTTCTCTTCACGCTTGCTCTGGGCACCTTCCCTTGCACGTGTGCGACAGCCAGCCACTAGGTAAGGTACCTACTGTTCACTAGGAGGTACATTCCTGACCTACCTACCTTGCTTGCTACCTTAGGTACTATTGTGACCGGAATATCGCATTCGAACCTCAGCCTGGCACGGCGGCAACTTCACTCTCAAGCATCTCCGACAGCCTCACCGCGAGACCGCTCGACACTTCTGTCATGAGCGCCCTCGCTGATCACGTGCGGCCCTCAGCGGCGCAGTAACTTTTCTGGACGGATTTCACACCTCGACTTCCCTGGCGCCTTCCATCGCGGCGAACTTGCAAACAACGGCGCGACAATCGGCACGATGCCACACGCCATCGAGGATGAGGCCATGGGCGGAGTGGACGAGGATGCGGCTGTCGCGCAGTACCTGCGAGAACACGAGGAGGGCTTTGAGGCGGCCGATCTCCAGTTTGATCAGACAGACAAGGCCGACGATGCGGTCGATTATGAGGACTTTAGCGACGATGATCTACCAGAGGAGCAAGAGCCAGAGGGCAAGATAGAGGAGTCCACCGAGGACGGATATCTTCTCAGACAGCTGGGAGACTTCAATGCGCAGTCAGAACAGCCGGCAACGAGCGGTCTTCATGACCTGAGCGAGCATGATCTCTTCGGCGAGACCGATGAGAATAACGATCTCTTTGGCGAGCACCTGTCATCTCCAGAAGTGGAGCGTCATGCTCCACTCTCTACAGCCCAGCAGCAACCGAGCGGACTGGCTCTGCCCTCGAAGTCTGCCCTCGCGCTTCCCACGTATCAGCCAATGCGCAAGTCATCTCAAGCCAGCTCATCGTCCATCAGTCCTCCCCCATTTCCGGATCGCGGGTACGCTGCACTGTCCCCTACCAGCATGACGTCCGAGGATGAGGACCACGATCTCGACCCACAGGTAGTCCTTCAGCGGTCGCTATTCAAAGCCTCGAAGCTGCGGACTGCCGGAGACGATGAAGATCATTTATCACGCGAACCAGACTGGCATACCTTCTATTCACTCTATCCTGGGTATGAAAAATCTCAGGCGCCACGCTTCGTTGACCTTTTCCCGCCACGAGCCGTTGAATTCAAGGGAAAGGCACCGCTCAAGCCTCCTAGGGTCATTGTGCCTACCAAACTCTCTCTCGATTTGCTTCATGATCAAGAGCGAGGCTTCAAGGCACTGGCTGCTAGCAACAAGTCCAAACAAGACAGCACGTTCAATAATAGCCTGGTGCCGCTCGCAAACCGATATACCGCGGACAGTGAGAGCGATGACGAACTCACCTTCAGCGAGCTCGACGAGACTGAGCGTGTCGGTAACCTTACAATGCATGACCTGGCGCTAATCTGCCAAGACTGGGAGATTCCAAGTATCCACTCGGATGCTGAGTCTCAGGCAGACATCGATACGGACACCACACAAGGTGACTGGGACTTGAATGAACAGGCTCGTCCAAACAAGAGGCGACGAGTAGATGCTCTCAGACCAAGTGCATTGCGCGAGTTGCACTTTTCCTTCGAATATCCAGAACGCACCACGGCCAAGCTGGCGAAGTCCGTTGCCTTGGACCTCAACGATCCGCATTTACTCATCGACGAACATGCCCCTCAGACGAAACGTAAACTTCAGCGCGTGCCAGGTGACTCGAAGCGCGATAGCGCTGTCAATCGGGATCTTGCCAAGCGCTACAATATCAGCAACGATCAAGCCTACGATTTACTCAAGGAAAACCATCAACACAAGGTTCGCAGCACGCTGGGCAGTATGGCTGTCGAGCATAGCTATCCTGCAGCCAAACTCCAGTTTCCATTTTACAAAGTCAATCTCGATCCCAAAGCCAAACGTGCCTTTCATCGCCCTCACTTGGAGCTCAAGCAGCAGCCTGGAACACGCGAATATCGCTTCACCAAACCGAAACATATCAAGAGAAAGCACGTTCGTGGCCGAGAAGCCAAGGAAGTCTTTGCAAAGGCAGAAGACCTATCACTTGGCGATTCTGCCTCAATGCTGCTCCTCGAGTATGCCGAGGAAGCGCCTATGATGCTATCCAACTTCGGCATGGGCAATCGCTTGATCAACTACTACCGTAAACAGCACGCCGATGACCAGGAACGCGGAGAGAAGAAGGATATTGGTGAGGCTCAAGTCCTATTGACCCAAGACAAGAGCCCATTTTCCAACTTTGGCCATGTCGACAAAGGCGAGACTGTACCAACGCTGCAGAACGGGCTTTACCGCGCTCCTGTATTCAGTCATGCGCCTAAACAAACCGATTTCGTGATTGGTATTAGCAGTACTTATGAAGGTGGTGACCGGTTTTTCTTGCGCAACGTGGAAAACCTTCATGCAGTTGGCCAGCAGTTTCCATTTGCTGAAGTACCCGGACAGCACTCTCGAAGGGTTACTGATGCGGCAAAGAAACGCCTGCGCGCGCTTTCCTATCGCATTTATACGAAGTCACTGACCCGCAGGGACAAGGTCCTGGACAATGCTTCTCTGATGCCGCACTTGCCTGGACATGATATGCCGCAGACTCGTAGCAAGATGCGTGAGTTCATGAAATATGAGCGCGTAACGACCCGCGGAGACGGCTCAACGGGAGTGTGGGTACCCCAGCCTGGACATCCAGTCCCCGATGCGGAGACGCTGCGTGGCTGGATCCGTCCAGAAGATGTCTGCTTGCTGGACTCGATGCAAGTTGGTGTGCAACACTTGACGGATCTCGGAATCAGTGAAGGCGACAAGGGCGAGGAAGAAAAGGACATCGACGAAGGGGCGAACATCGAGTTGCAGCTAGCCCCATGGCGTGCCAGTAAGAACTTCCTTAATGCGTGCCAAGGAAAGGCAATGCTCAAGTTACATGGTGATGGCGATCCGACAGGTCAAGGCCTAGCCTTTAGCTTTGTCAAGACCAGCATGAAGGGTGGCTTCCAAGCTCAAGGCGAGAGCGTCGAAGACAAAATCGACAAGCAGAAGCGCAGGGACACTGGCGGTCATTCTTACAACGTGGCCAAGCAACAGAAGCAGTACGATGAATCTATCAGACGTATCTGGGAGTCGCAGCGAGCAAGCTTACAGAAACCGGAAGAGATCTCGGACGACGATATGGAGGACGAACCCGATCGCAGTGCCGAGTACAATTCTGGCCGTGTGCACACGCCACGCTCATCGGTGGGCACTCCTGCCGCTTTCTCTGGCCGGCACGATGACGACTACATGAGCCAGTTTAGTGGCCATAGTGCTAGTCGTGGGGACCGGGCTCTGGTCATCACCCGTAGTCAAGGCATTGACCAGTTCGGCCAACCACTGCCTGAGGTGACGGAGACCATCACTAATCCAGCAGTGATTCGAGAGTATCGTAAGAGAGCTTTGCAGAAGGAGTACGCCAATGCGGAGTAAGTCGTCATTGAGCTGGGTATCGTAAGTTAATGAAGCGCGAGTGCTAATCTGCATGTGTCAGTATGAATAAGATTGTTCCCACTGGCGACTCCGAAAGGGACGCATTCGCTCGCCGGGAGCTTGAGAAAGAGCTCGCGCGCGTCAAACGCAACCGTGAGAGAAGAGAGGCTCGTGATCGACTCAAAGCGAGACAGAGAGACCCTACGGCTGCCAACTCGCCGACCGCTGCAGCAGCATCGCCAGGACCATCCGACATGGACGGCCCAGCATCCACCATCGACGGCGTGGCCGAGACCAACACTCCACAGAGGGCCAAAGGCCGCAGCAAAGATGGCACAGCCAGAAAGTGCGCTAACTGCGGCCAAGTGGGCCACATCAAAACCAATCGAAAGTCAGTCGCATCTTTTTCATGTCCCTTTTGTTCCAAACGCAACACGATTGGCGCAGATGGAAATGGCACCGGCTTCTTAAAGCGCAAGCGTGATGGTACTACAAGTACTGGCGCTGGCGTTGACGGTAGGAGGGCCAATACATCCATCAGCACCTCCATGCCAGATATTCAATTCTGAGCATTGAGCGTTGCGTGGCGAGGAGAAGCTTCTAATCTGTTGCGAGAAAGAAGTTGCTTATTTACTTGTTTTTTTTTTCTTTTTGCTCTGTGCTTTTAAGATACCCAAAATGAACGATTGAAGCGATTTCTAGCTGACTTTAATGAAAAGGCTCTGCCCTATGCTTAATGGAACGATGAAATCCGAGGATGCTGGTCTGAACGGAGATAGTTCGTTTGGTGCTGTACCGGCTCCACTCACACTATAGCCTCTGTCTTCCTTAGGATCGATGCGAACGTCTGCCTCGCCAGGGATTGAAGACCGAACGATAGATAGTTCGAACTTGCTCAACGTGATGAGCCAATACCAGATGCGGAAATTCACAAAATGATAGGAATTATAGTAAAAAGACGGCAGAACGTGTACCGAGTCCCAACTTTCGTGTTTGTCAGAAACAGATCAGGCAGGTCATCGACGGGATGACCAGTGTTCGTCATAGAACGCTATGATAAAGATAGCACGCTTCCGAGCGAGACTGCAATCGAAACATATATGTACCCTGTCTGCTGCTCAACTGCTGAATGATGCACAACTACATGCTTTGTGATGCTGCTCGGCCTCCTCAATGAGCGAGCGGCTGAAGATGGTTAATGTGCCATAGCAGACGTCTGAGATGGAAAGCTGGGGCTATAACAGTGAACATTTCAGGGTCAAGTCTTTAAGCTGCATGCTCCGACATACTATGCCTCGCATTTGTGATGGTATATTACAGATTCTAGTGCTCTCTCTTCTGGCACAACTGAATATGATGCTCATGCCGTATCCATCTTATCATCATCTTTCTTGTCGTCCTTCTTCGCGCTGCCTGATCCACTCGGCTCACCGCTGCTGTCCAATAAAGGTTGCTCTTCCGGCACACTCTCGAGATTTGTCTTGCCCTCGGCTTCCTCTCGAGCCTTCTTGTCACGCTCTTGTCGCTCCTTCTCCTCCTCCATACTCATGCGCAACACAAGTGCCAGTTCCGGATCAAGGTTTGGATCAACACCAAATTCGTAATCGTTGCCACCTCCGGCATCACCGCCTGCTCCACCTGCATTTGCTGCAGCACCGCCACCCTCGCCTGCTAGAAGCGGCGATGCTACTATCGTGTCCGATAAAAGATTGGGTCCCGGGGGCACAATTTCCAGATGTGAGCCGTCGTTGGACTTGACCGCCTCATTGAATGCGCGTAGCTTATCAAGGTTCTCGTCTGTCAGGTCGCCAAAGGCAATAATGTCAACGCTGGTGTTATTCTTCTTCATGCGCTTCGCGAGTTTGGTCAAGGTGCTCGAGGAGTCGGCGATGGGCGAGCACGTGAAGACGATGATTCGTTGGCGCTGCGATTTGTTCTGACGATGTTTGAGGGCAAGCGAAGCAATCATGATTCCGGTGTAGAGGTGCGACTCGCCCTTCACGCGTGTCCGGTGCAGGCCATCGAGCACTTTGCCCGGGTTTGTGGTGAGGGTAGTGAGCACCTCAGGCCCATTGCCGCCCATGCTCATGAGACCGACTGACGATTCGGGATTCGCCTGTGTCTTGGAGTGGAAGATGAGGTTGGCGGCATCAACCTGCGCTTCCCACCGTGACGGCACATAGTCTCCGTTTCTGCTGCTCTCGCTGTTGTCGACGCTAGATGAGAAGTGTTAGTAGGTTTGAGGCGAGATGGGAACAGGGCTAGTGCAGCATTGCGTACACTATCATCGTCGCCTCGAGCACCATCGTTGCGGTTGTGTGGATGCGCGGCGGTGGATCGATGTCGTTCGTGATGTCAGGGGGAGGTTCAGTGGCGGGAGAGTGGTGGTCTGGTCTGGTCTGCCAAGTTGAGTGTTGATGTGAAGGCGGATGATGAGACGGGATGTAGTTGTCAGGTAGAGCTAAGGTAATGGATGCACTTCCAGCTTGCGTGACGCTGCTGCTTGTGACAGCCGCCTTTCCTTGGCGTGTTTACATGTCAGGTACGCCTTGACCTTGAGTTCGCTTTGTTCGCCATCCGACAACATCTTCCAAGTTCTTCACGACCAAACATATGCCTACCTGACCTGTACTCTTCACACGGCACCCAGCACCTCACAGTATGGACACCATGATGCGCACTCCTCAGCCAAGCCCGACGCGACGAGTCCCGTCCATTACACAAGCGCAAAAGCGAGCGCTCGTAGACAACCTCCAGCTCGAGAGTAGGCAATGCGTTCGTCCTTAAGCGACACCACTAGCACGCACTAATACGCGTGCCACAGTCACTGAAAGAGCGCTGAGACTGCGCACACAGTATGCAGCGCAAGCTCAAGGCCTTCGGGCGCGTTTGGATTTACGCGTAAATCGCATACCTCATGCACTGCGTAAACGAAACATGCAGGAACTGATGGACGAATACCACGCCAAATCCAAGCCTGCGCCTCCTCCGCCAGTGCCAGTGGTAGTGGCAGCAAAACAGCAAAAACCCGAAACTGCGCAGTCATCGCTTTCAAGAGCGAAGCCTGCATCGAAGCGGAAGAGGTACGTTCACTCGGCCGATTTGCCATTCAAGGCTTCATACTGATAGTCTACAGCGATGAGATCTCACTGGGCGACAACAAGGAAAATGCGCTGGCCCAATCATCACAGGACATTCCCAATCCGAAGAAAAGGACCAAGACCGTGGTGACTGCAAACTCCAAAGCCACACGTGCACGTAACGCGGGTCCAGCAGGAGTGCTATCGCCAAAGTCACACAATTCACGCACACTGCCACACTCGCCAATAAAACCGATGGATAAGATGTACCCACCCCGACCTCAGTCCTCCGCTCAGACCGATTCGGTCAAGCCGACGCGTGCGCCAAGTCGGCAGACCAAGCGACCTGGGGCGGCACCAGAGGCTGATGGCGGCAGAGCGAGTGAAGGTAGTAATACCAGTGCTGGAACGACAATCGTAACTAAACCTGGAACGCGAAAGGCTGCAAACACCAAAAAGACAGTCCCGGCGAGACCTGCGGCAACGAGCAGGAAGCCAGCAGCCGCAAAACTGGAGGCCGCTCCGCCTGCTGCAGGGACGAGAACTTTGAGGAAGAGGAACTAGGAGGTAGCAAAGTGTGAAGTGCAAGACGGTCCGTAGACATGACTTCGAAGAAGCGGTTTTGGCAACGGTATGGTGTGCAGCTCCACGATGCTCATTCATTTCGTTGTGCATTTTGGCTCTGCGGCAAATGGTTACGAAAAGCATTCAAGCGCCACGGGCATGACAGAACAAGCGTTCAATACACAGGCGCAACTCATGCCAGAACTTCGAGGGCCCCAGCAATCGCTGATGGTGCGACGTGTAAAGCACGGTAAACAAATATCCTGTCCGTATCTTTAGTGCTTTGGGCCAAGAGATAACGCGCGGGCAATAGATGCGATGCAGCCGGGCAAGATCCTTGCGCGCCATGTGAATAGTCGTAAGCGAATGCAGCAGTGACTCTTATACGCTGACGCTCTATCTAAGATGTCGGCTCACCAATCGCCGTATGCAGATCTATAGCCAAGAGAGTAGGCGCATCGTAGAGGTCGAAAAGGCGTCTGCGGGTATATATCTACGTATCTGAGACGCCATGAAAACCACACGAATGGCGAGGTCGGATCCACCGTTGCTCACGTTGCCGGCCAAACATCGCCTATCACGCTGCGTAGCATCTCTCAAGACGATTACCAGTAGAGTTGACTATTGCTCGCTGGACATTCATTTCGACTTGCTGTGCAGCACCAAATATCGAGGAAGCCTGCGATAATTCTTGATTGGTGATTTTCGACGCTCCCACTGTCTTCACCATGTCCTCGTCGCCGTCGACAGCCGACCACGAGAAGAAAGCCTATCATGACTCGTCTATGGTGGAACCGGAATTGGCCATCGGGCAGGTCGCAGACTATGGGGAAGACAATGAGGTCTTTCGCAAAGATGGAGAGGTCAACTTCCGTACAGTCGAATGGCAGTATGTTACCCTGTCATCATTCCGTCTTTTTCGAAATACAGCATTCATTGACTTGGTGTGTTTCCTTTTGCTATCACAGGAGGGCTTCGGTCATCTTCCTGAAAGTCATCTTCGCAACTGGTGTCTTGAGCATCCCGACTGCGATGGTCAGTCTCGGAGCAGTGGGCGGCGCCTTCAATGTGATAGGGTGGGGAGCTTTGAAGTGAGTGATTCTGCAAAACCGCCTGGTGATTGTGTGTCGGAGAGAGAAAGGGAGAGAGAGAGAAAGAGCACTATGTTCGCTGACAGGCTGAGAAAAGCACATACACAGCTATCATTCAAGGTGCGTAAATACTTGCCTTGATTGGCAATGTTCGAATCCAGTGGCTGACATATGGAATACAGGTGATTTCCGCAATAATCATAATAAATGTCATTCGATCGCCGATATGGCCCATGAGGTTGGCGGAGTCTGGCTCAGGGAACTCTGCGGGGCCCTCTTCATCATCGCATATGTCCTTTGCTCCGGTTCTGGAATCTTGGGCGTCTCGATCGGTCTCAACGCGCTTTCTACACATGCAACTTGCACGGTCGTGTTCTCATTCGCTGCCACTGTCGTGGTGATTGCGTGTGCATCTGTGAGGAAGTTCCATCAAATTGGCTGGTTGACCTGGGCTGGTTTTCTTTCCATCTTTGTTGCGGTCTTCATTATTGTGGTGGCTGTTACGCAGAGGGATCGACCTGCTGCAGCGCCTGCTACTGGAGATTTCGATTTGGGCTATTATGTTGTGCCGGAAGGTGTTACATTTGCCGCTGGGGTGGTGGCTAGCTGTACAATCTTTGTGAGCTCTGCTGGCGAGTTTATCTTGAGAGTCTTCGGCGGGGGAGAGAGAACTTGTGCTGACTGGTGGTGACAGGTACATCGGCGTTTCTTCCTGTTATCAGTGAGATGTGAGTTGGTCATTGTTCTCGAAAGGCCGAGTTTGAGGAAGGTCGCCTGCTGATAGTCGAAACAGGAAGAACCCAAGAGACTATCGCAAGGCTGTATATGTGTGCATGGGCCTCGTCACGGCCGCATATCTGTCATTCTCTCTAGTGGTGTATCGATGGTGCGGGCAGTGGGTTGCGAGTCCTTCTCTTGGCTCTGCTGGACAGACAGTAAGGTCACCTGTTCGGGCCTACCACGTCCATGGCTAACTATGTTCTACAGATCAAGATGGTTGGTACGACATGGAAACTTATACATTTCTTTCACACTGAGTCTCTGGGAGTACAGCTAACTTATAGTATAGCTTACGGGGTCGGTCTTATCGGCCTGATCGTGAGCGCATGCTTATATCTGCACGTAGCGTCGAAATATGTCTTCGTGCGCATCCTGCGCAACAGTCGGCATCTGCAGGCGAACACTCTGACACACTGGATAACCTGGCTTGGCTGCACCACTGGACTTGGCTTGTTATCATGGATCCTGGCTGAAGCGATTCCGATTTTCAACTACCTCATCGCGCTGACAGGCAGCTTGTGCTTTGCTCCCATCGCTGTGGCGCTGCCCGGCTGGCTTTGGTTGCACGACCATAAGCTGTGGTATAAGGGAACCGCTCGACAGAAGCTGGTAAGTAAATCCACGTGCGCAGACTTCAGCTGTGCTTGATGTCTCGATACACTTGAGCCAGTCACGGCGACAAGCTTGAAAAGGCTCTCTATATCTGGACGCTCGAAGTCATTTGCTGACCTTCTACTCCTCACTTCTAGGCATATGGATTCCATTGCTTCTTGATCCCGCTTGGTCTGTTCTTCTTGGTCGCAGGGACTTATGGAGTCATTGAGGAGATCGTGGCCGCGTATGCCGATGGATTGATTGGTTCGTTTATCCTGGAAAACTCTCATTATTTTTGCGTCTCTAATGATCGATCTAGGATCCGCATTCTCTTGTGCTGACAACAGTGGCTCTACATAATATGAACAGGGGAATTTGCGATGTAGTCCCGTCGATGGTCGGTAGCTATGCGAAATCATAAGGACTAACACCCTCTGACCGAGGGCAGACTCATAAACGATGCACTGCATGCTTGCTACTAGATAGATGTCTTGAGATCACCCAACTCATATACATGCCTCGAGGGCGCGTATTACGTTCGGTATGTTTTTCCATGAAAACTGCGCATGTTGCTGGCAACTTTCGGGCAGGCAATTTTGTAGGAATGGCGTGCAGTTCTGGTACTGCGGATGTGTCGCAAGTCGGTGCCGCAGTAGGTAGTTCTATAGCTCATTGGCGTCTAATGATCTGGTCTGGTCAACTGGTCTGGTGGAGCGGGACAAGCCCAGCTACGGAGATATCTCGGGAGTCAGTGGCCGACGCACCCATAGAACTCTACCTTACCTACCAGATCCTACCAGCCCTAAGGTACCCATCTAGCTTCACTTTCACCCATCGCCGCGCCACCTGACAAACGTGCAACAGCTTGTCACCAGCCTTCTGCCGCCAGTGCCATTCAGAATGGCGTCAACAGTCAAGTCCATGGCGCCAGCGATGGAAGCGCTCAAGCTGACACGGCCGAACCTCTCTCGCCGCTCGATGGCTGTCCTGCAAAACTCACGATACCCCGAACTCTTCGCAACGCAACGGAAATTCTCGACAACTCCACAACATGGATTGCCTCGAGGCACAGAGAGCATATTCGGTTCGTCTGCAAGCGCTGGGCCCAGCACGTACTTTCAGCGATCGAGCCTGCCCGCGAACACTGTCGTCAAGTTTGTGCCACAACAGACGGCGTGGATCGTAGAGCGGATGGGGAAATTCAGCCGCATACTCCAGCCTGGACTCGCCATCCTCGTACCAGTCATCGATCGCATAGCTTATGTCAAAAGCTTGAAAGAGAACGCTATGGAGATCCCGTCTCAGAGTGCCATCACCGCGGACAACGTCACATTGGGCATAGATGGTGTTCTATACACGCGAGTAATGGACCCATACAAGGCCAGCTACGGCGTGGAAGATGCCGACTATGCCATCTCGCAATTGGCGCAGACGACGATGCGAAGTGAGATTGGTCAACTTACGCTCGATCATGTCCTGAAGGAAAGAGCAGCATTGAACACGAACATCACACAGGCTATCAATGAGGCTGCGGCCGATTGGGGTGTGAGATGTCTGCGGTACGAGATTAGGGACATTCATGCACCTGGGCCTGTGGTGGAAGCAATGCACAGACAGGTGACAGCAGAACGTAGCAAGCGTGCCGAGATTCTTGAATCTGAAGGTCAAAGACAGTCCGCTATCAATATTGCCGAAGGACGAAAGCAAAGCGTTATTCTGGCGTCTGAAGCCATTCGAGCAGAACAAATCAACGCAGCGTCTGGTGAGGCTGAAGCTATCGAGCTCAAAGCTAATGCTACGGCACGTGGGATCGATGCTGTGGCGAAGAGCTTGACCGAGGGTAAGCAGGCTGCACAAGGAGCGGTGTCTCTTTCTGTGGCCGAGAAATACGTCGAAGCATTTGGGAAGCTGGCCAAGGAAGGCACGTCAGTGGTGGTGCCTGGGAACGTTGGCGATATTGGTGGAATGATTGCAACAGCAATGTCTGTATACGGAAATGTCAGTCAGGCACAAGCGAAAGTCCAAGCACAAAAGCTCATCACGGGAGATGATGCGGGCGATGCCACACAAGCTCAGCCTGAAGACAAGGACTCCATCCAGAAGAGTGTGCTCGAGAGCTTTGAGCGTGCACAAGAACGGCATTGATCGATCACTAGGTACTGTACTTCTTATGTCTGACAGATCGTTCAGATGATGTGGGAAGCGGCGGCAAATTTTTACATATAAAGCGAGAAAGGTAGCACGATTGGGCTCCAACTCAGTGGTATGGCCTACGCATTGTATATATAGTGTACAATCACAACTTTCAATACGAGTGGCCAACGGTCACTCCTCACTACTCTATACCAGGCTGCAGGATCGATCATGATTCATGAGTACGTCCCTGCTCTGAAGCAGACCTCTTGTGCTGTAGGCTTACATGCTCAGAGCATGGTTCCCATGAACCATCAACAAGGTAGTCGTCTAGCGTCCTCGAATCAAGCTGTAGGACTAGGACCATCATCAAACTATCGCATCGTATATCAGGCGGAGGTCGGCACTTGTGGTGCGGTGTGAAGTCAGGAGAGGAAAAACGCCGCCCAGGCCCATGCACAGAACTGACTGAGATATGCGAGCACGTGTGCTCGAATGTCGTGCTTTCTGAGCGGTAGCTACGGGTGATGACCAGGCCCCTGATTCCTGGTCTGGCTTTGTTGCTCCAGATAAATTGGTTGTCAACAGGGAGACGCTGAAGGTTGTGCCTCGAGGCTCGAGGCTCGAGCTGAGGACACTATATTATTGTGCGGGTCACACTGTCACACACAGACCAGGTACAGTAGGGTAGTGAAGGACGGGAGGTTCTCGCGGCACAGACGCTAGCTAGGTTCTAGCTACAGTACGCGCGCGTAGAACCGAACTGCGGCAGCGGCAGGCCGGGTGCAAGCCGCAATGGAAGTCAGGGTCGTTTCTCCTCCTCCTCTAGAACTACATGTACTCTTCTATTGTCATCATTGTCGACACCAGTGCACAGCTCCTTTTCGCCAACACAGTACTGCAACGCACCGTACACGCACCTTCACGCTCGCAATGCAGCACGTGGTCTGCAGGTTCTGTCGCTAACCGGATCCGCTACATTCTCAACGTCGCCGTTGCAACAGATACCCCTTGAGACGACTTTCTCACTTTCGAAACCTGCTCCCTACACCACAGTTCCACTACGAACTCACGACCGCGACACCGACTCGTCTGCTCTTCCATCCGGTCAATGCATGTGAACGCAATCTGGTCGTGACGGTTCCTTGCTAATACTTGTCCAGTGACCGCTGTGCACGTCTTCACCATGGCGTACAACCAGCAGCAACAGCAGCAGCAGCAACAGCCGCCGCAACAGCAGCAGCAGCAGCAGGCTGACAGCCGCAACACAAACCGTCTGCAACTCAACTTTGGCTTCACCAATCCGCCCAATTTCGCCGCTGAGCAAGGCCGTGCCTTCCCTACCACCCCGTCCACGTTCCCGCAACCGTTTCCCAATGCCGCGGGGCAGCAGGAGGTATGGGGCACTCAGCAGAGCACTAGTGGCATAAGCAGTCAGGGCTACTTCTATAACAATAACTCAAACGCGGCATATCAACAGTATCCTGCTGGTGTTTCACCAGGAGCAGGGTACCGCACGCCTGGAGGAGGCTTCAATGACGCCACAAATGGACTTGTCCATCAGTTTCAGCATCAGCACCTCGGAGGAGCAAACTCGCCTCGCTCTGCAAGTCCATACGGCAGACAGCCATCTCCTGCCAACCCTTCGCGGCCACGAACCGCAGGAGACCCCCGTGGCTATCAGAACAGCCACCTTAGCGCACAAATGCCAGCCATGCCGCAGCAGCCGAGTATTTACGACGATGAGCCACCGACAAAGAACCCCGACAAGTACTCGTCTGCTATCACGGAGAGGGTGAAGGTGCAGAAGCTGCTCACACAGGAGTTCTTCAAGGAGAATGTGGAGCGAGCACGCGCTCGCAACGAGCGGTATGTTATCCCCTCACCAATGTGCGAAACTCCTGGCTCGTCGCTAACATCATTGTAGATCCAAAGACCTCGAAATCATTCTGAACAACCCCGATCTTTCCGAGAGCCGCAAAGAGAGGGAGAAGAGCTCCATGCGAAAATCAGAAGCCAACTTTCTGAGATTCCTCCGAACTAGTGAGAAGCCACAAAACTACAACACCTTGAAGATTATTGGCAAGGGCGCTTTCGGTGAGGTCAGACTGGTGCAGAGAAAGCACGATGGAAAGGTCTATGCCCTCAAGTCCCTCATCAAGCAGGAGATGGTATGTCTGCTCTGCCCCTTTCATGCATGTATGCGCGACGAGATGGAACTGACAGAATTGATCTCTAGCACAAGAAAGATCAACTGGCCCACGTTCGCGCCGAGCGTGACATCCTTGCCAACGCAGACAGTCCATGGCTCGTGAAGCTCCACACTTCATTTCAGGACAAGACATTCCTGTACATGTTGATGGAGTTCTTACCAGGAGGAGACTTGATGACCATGCTGATCAAGTATGAGATTTTCTCTGAAGACATCACCCGGTTCTACATGGCCGAGATCGCATTGGCCATTGAGGCCGTACACAAGCTTGGATTCATCCATCGTGATATCAAACCAGACAATATCCTCCTCGACCGTGGCGGACATATCAAGCTCACAGACTTCGGACTCTCGACTGGCTTCTCCAAGGAACACTCGGCTTCATACTACCAGCAACTCATGTCGCAGAACAAGCCGAAATCCCTGGCCCAAAACCGCAATAGTGTTTCAATCGACCAGATCCAACTCACCGTTTCGAATCGCAATCAGATCAATACCTGGCGAAAATCGCGTAGGCAATTGGCTTACTCCACAGTTGGTACACCAGATTATATCGCGCCCGAAATCTTCACTGGAAAGGGTTACGACTTCGGATGCGATTGGTGGAGCGTCGGGACCATCATGTTCGAGTGCTTGGTTGGCTGGCCGCCATTCTGCGCCGAGACTGCTCCCGACACGTATCGAAAGATTGTGGACTGGCCACGCCACCTGCAGTTCCCACCAGATCAGCAACTCGGTCCAGAAGCAGAGCACTTCATTCGCAGTCTGATCTGTGACTCGCAAAACAGACTGGGACGTGTTCACGGCGCGCAGGAGCTCAAGGCCCACCCGTTCTTCCACGGAGTCAATTGGGATGGGTTGCGAAAGATCCGAGCTCCATTTGAGCCCAAGTTGCAAAGCAATATCGATACTCAGTACTTCCCGATTGACGAAATCCCACAGGTGGACAACTCTGCAACGCTGCATGCTCAGACAGCGGCGATGGGCGGCGACGACTCGACGCTGTCGCTGCCCTTCATCGGCTACACTTACAAGCGCTTTGACGCTTTCCGGGGCAGCTGAGAGACTTGTGACCAAATGGACGGCGACGAAGATACGAAATGTGGCATATCACGGCAGTAGTTTCATGCAGGCGGCATGTGTAACGTTCCTAGACGGATGAGGGCGCATTCCATTTTCATGAAAGAGGCATATGGCGAATGAGGCATTGCAAAATTCGTGCTACTGCGCCGGTCGCGTGCAAACACGTGGGTGGCGAGTCCAAGCGACTTTTCGGGCATAAGAGGGACGTTCAGGCTGCTAGACAAGCCTGTCAAGACGCACTGAGATGTTGACTTCTCTGCGCAAGCGAAGATAGCTCAATGCATTCAATGATCTTCCAGTATCCACCATTCACGATCCCTCTGGCGTGACGAACTCATCGTAGACTCTTACGGCGTTTGCCGTCACTGGTGTTGATGGGAAACATTATCAAGGATTTCCTGCCATCATTCAGGTGATATGATGCCCTCTTGTGACCAGAATATCCCAGTGCCACCCCAGTGCAAGTACGCCATGAGCGCAATCTTCCCGAACTTTTCCACAGCCAAGTTGTAGCTTCGAAGAACTTCGATAGCAAAAGTAAAGAGGCTTGTCTTGAATGCCTGTCTCCTCGCGCCTGCCACGACTGCGCTGCTTTCATTCATGTATACCTCATCGCGCCTCGAACTGAATCATTCTGTGTCGCAATCACATTAGTGAACATGCACTTTCTCCGTCATCATCATCACCATCTTTCTCATTTACCTATTCGTGCGCTCCTTGTACAGAACACGGTAGCCGCACTCTTTGCACCGAATGGGGTCGCCCTTCTTCAAGATGACCTTGGTATCGCAGTCACCGCAGAGGTAGTTGACGGGTTTCGAGGTATCTTCGAAGGTGCTGCCGCCTGTGATGTTGAAGCCGCCTTGAGAGGTGTTGGCGCCGGGGTTGGTGGTGTTTTGCTGGCCACTGAGGGCGGGCGGGGTGTACTGTTCGCGCGACATGGTGCGGTGAGGAGGAGGGGTGTTTGGCTTGTTGTTGGTGCTGTTGTTGATTGTGAGTGCCTGACAGTTAAAGCGAGAGCGAGTGCAAGCAAACTAGGGTCTTGGCTGTAGCATGTGATCGCTAGAAGCGAGAAGTGAGTGCTGCTGGAGGGGCAATCAAGAAAAGAAGAGACATCTCCGACGTCGGCAAGTGGCTTTGTCATTACATCCCGCGCGATTGGACGGGATGGTGGATTCTAGATTAGAAGTCTTCAGGTTGTACGTGATTTATTGATCAACCCTTCTGATATATCTCCCGCTCACTCGACTCCTGGTCTCCATCCTTCTTACCCTCACACATGTGTCCTAGCAGAGGCTGTGGAACATGTCGGCCATTCTCTCCGCCGACGACCTGAACGATTTCATCAACCCGGGAGTTGCGTGCATCAAGCCCGTCGAGACTCTTCCCAAGCAGCAGCCACCAGCAGACGACGCAAATGCCAACCCATACGAGGTCACCACCGAGGAGAAAGTCAACTCGGGCACCATTGCGCCGCCCGCGCAGATCTCGCTGACGGACTGCCTGGCGTGCTCGGGATGCGTTACCAGTGCAGAGGCGATTTTGGTATCGTTGCAGAGCCATGCTGAAGTCCTCGATACACTGGACAAGTATCATGAGATGAAAGTGCCAGGAGACGAGTCGAGCGCTCCATGTACACACACGAAGAATGTCGAGTCGGATACATGCTGTGGCAACGGCAAGATCTTTGTGGCAAGCATCAGCCCGCAGGCAAGAGCGAGTTTAGCTGCGACATACAACGTCTCGGAGAGGGATGCAGGTTACATGGTCAGTCAGCTTCTGAGTGGTCCTCATGGCGTGAAGAGTGCGGGAAAGCACAACTCTGGTTTCGCATGGGTGGTAGACACGAACGCAATGCGAGAGGCTAGTCTCGTAGCGGCTGCAGATGAGGTTGATCAGTTGCAAGATGGCCAGAAAAAACCCATCATCACATCTGCTTGTCCAGGATGGATTTGCTACGCGGAAAAGACACATTCACATATCCTGCCGCACCTGAGCAGGCTCAAATCGCCCCAGGCTTTGACTGGAGTACTGATCAAGTCTGTCCTCGCAAAGAAGTACGGCATTGATCCAAAGAATGTGTGGCATTTGGCGATTATGCCATGTTTCGACAAGAAGTTGGAGGCCTCTCGGAGCGAGCTTACTTCGCACACGTGGCATGGCGAGACTGGGGATGCAGTGCGCGATGTGGACTGCGTCATCACAGCACGAGAACTGCTCATGCTCGCCGAAAGTCGAGATATCAGCTTCCCTGGGCTGCCCAAGCACCCAGTGACGGATCTGGCTCCCTTCCCCGAGCCACGGGTGAACGAATTTCTGTTCGGGCGGTCAAGAGGACAGAAGAGGAAACGAGAGGACGCCACTTCTATCGGAACTTCTGGGGGATATCTCTGGCATGTGTTGAAGACTCAACAAACTCACCATCCCGGCTCGCACATCAAAGTGCAACGAGGACGTAATCAGGACGTTTCCGAGTACAGCGTCGTTAATGCTGACGGCCTTGCAGTGTTCAAAGCAGCTCGTTACTACGGCTTTCGTAATATACAAAATCTCGTTCGTAAACTCAAACCTGCCAAAGCAAGTCGAATGCCTGGTGCATCATCTACGGGACGTAGAGTTGGAGGCACCAGGCGTCCAGGAGGTGCCACCAAAGCTGGTGATGACTCGCAAGACTACGCATATGTGGAAGTCATGGCATGTCCTGGAGGATGTACGAATGGCGGAGGACAAATCAAAGTCGGAGACGTGGCCACATTGCGTCAGGTTGGCGGTGGCACAGGCATTGAAAATGGCGGTTCTCAAGAAATGATTCCTGCCCAGCGAGAATGGCTGGCCAAGGTTGACGAAGCCTATTGGAGCGGCGGAACCAGCGTCAGTGATTCGGATCACGAAGCTGATGATCAGCAATCACCGGCACGAGATTCTGTCATGTCTGGCGTTGACGATGACAATGACTGCGACGTAATTGATGGGATCAATCGTCGTCAGGTCCACGACATGATGGACCACTGGGCAGCAATCACTGGCGTGGAACTGGACACGCTTCTGACGACTACGTATAGAGTGGTAGAAAGTGATGTCGGGAAGGCCAAACCCGGAGGAGATGTGGAGCGTGTGAATGCTTTGGCTGCCGCGGCAGGAGGAGGATGGTAGAGTCCATTTACCTCAGGTACCTTATCTATCCTTCGCCAGCTCATAGTTGGTATCAACAAGTATTGCAGCATTCATCAGCGCGCAATCCAAAAAACCTATTCTTCAATCTCAACGCACGCTGTTTTCAGCGACATTCATGAAACTAATCATCCCCTTCTCATCTCATAGCAGTGCTGCCTAAGGGGCAGAATGTACTTTTATCCGTCTTCAAGGAAGAAGGTATTGCAACAGGTGCGAGTAAAAAGAAAGCATGATTCAAGACGCCATAGGGTACCTGTATCCCAATAGACCCGGCTTCAATGATCCGTGTTCTCGAATTGCTTGTTCTTCAAGTAGGTAGAACTTCAAACTTCAAACGCGCAGACGGAGAATATCTCCGAGGGGTTTGAATCTTGTTTAAAACTCAAACTTGGGGAGACTGATATCACTCTTTACCATCTCGCAGCCTTCTTTTCCAAAAATTGTGCTCCGAAATCTCCGCGATTCCAGCGTCTGATATCCTTTCCACAGGCTTCCCATAATTTGGAATTCAGCTCCCTTCGCTTTTGGACTTCCTGCGCACGGATCTGGGCGGCATTCGGACTTCTGGTTTTGAGTATTCCTCTCGCGGGAGGAGGAGTGCCGAAAGTTTGTGGATGGAAAAAGCTGTTCTCAGTGTCCATGAAGCTTGAATCTGGGTGCTGGTGCTGCTGAGGTTCAAGTCGTTTTGATATATCGAAGATGCCCCGACCGCCGCGATCGTGGGGTCTTTTCGGAGGAGACATGGTTGGAGTAGTGGCTAGTGGTTGCTGATTGAGATTAGGGGGTGTGACCATTGATGGCGTTCCGCTCGTTGCAGGAGGTAGAGCAGCAGCAGCATCGCGGCTGCTCTCGGCTCGATATCTTGGTGCTGGCCTGGATTGTGATTTGCTAGGACTCTTGGACGGACTTTTGCGTGGACTAGGTGGGTACTCGGGTTCCATTGCATCTTCGCCATCCATCTCGTCGGAAGAAGTATCGCCATCGTCTTGCTCGGGCATCGTCAGCTCTCCTAAAGGTACTGGGGCGCCGCGTGGACGACGGGGCGTCCGGGTTGCTACTACTGTGGTAGGTTTCGTGGGTGAACGAGCTGTATCATTCTCTTGGTCTGCATCCAACATCTCCGAATCGGCATCGTCGCTGTCGCTGTCGTGAGTTGGCCTGGGTATAGGTGGGGCTCTGCTCGTGCCAAACACATCGTCGTCGCCAACTTGACGCACAAATGGTTGGCTAGGAGGTGGTGCCATGACAGGAGCTGCCGTTGGGGGTTGCCGTGATCTCCGGACAGGTGCATTCCCTGGTGAGGTATCGGCTCTCCTTGTGCCTCGTACTTTTGCAATTGTCCGCCGACGTCTTGCAGGGAGCTCGAGACGGACCATGGAGTCATGCACTTCACTCTCTCCATCACTCCCAGCATTGTCTTCCTGTCCTCTGTTCTGCGCTTCTCTCACCGCTGCTGCCAGTGAGGCTGGTATCGCTGCGTGTATCCTTGTCATGAGCTCCGCTCTCTGTGCGAACAGTCCATAGTCTCGCTGAATCAGAGCTCCAGCCTCCGCGTTCAGCGCACTGTCCGGGTTGGGCTGGATAAGCAGACAGGATATGGTGACCAGCACATCGCGAAGGGTAAGTTTGCTGTCCCAGTCGCGCTTGATCGTCTCGACGCAGATTTGGCCATTGTCGGAGACATTGGGATGGAATATCTTGGTCCCTAGGATTGCATTGGGAGGAGACTGCGGATAGTTGTTTGGGATCGTGAGATGTAGCTTCCACACGCCAGCTGCGAACGGAGTGTGTGTCGGTCCAGCGAGGAGCACGTCGAGGCGTGTGAGATCGTCGGTGTGTGCAGCGGCGGGCGCGAAGAGGTAATTGACTGGCAGCGAGGTATGGAGCTCGGCGTGGTCGGCCGCCAGGCGGCGCAGTGTTTTGGAATTCATGTCGTGTGTTCTGATGCTGGTGCTGTCCCAATGCCTAAGGTATGGTTCTGTTGTGTGTAAGTTGATGCTCGCTGTATTTCACGCTGGCGCATTCCGGTGTGTAAAGCTGTTGTGGTCGTGGCAAGTGGGAGACGTGTAGCGTTGACGATCTTCGCGCGAACTTCGTGTTTCGCCAAAGAGAGAGACAGCGGAGTAAGGTAGCTGCAGTCTGGGGAACAACAAACAACAGCAGTCCATCAATGATTCATCAACAGCATGCTTCATTACTTCGTATACTTAATTAATTATGCTCTGAACAACCTCAGCTACCTTATGGTGACAATATCTGTCTCTTCCCGGCTGGTACCCGTGTTTATGCCGCTATTGTCGTCAAAGCCGCAAAGCGTTCATGCGGCCCCCGCCCAGACGCTGTCCTGCCTCGTAGAACTAACTACATGTACCTTACCCTCCACCCTCTGAACTCCATTGCCTTGCATCCAAAACCAAGCCCATGCCATGTCATGTCACATATCCACTCGCGCTTCGGAAAACTTGCTGCTCAAGAATCCACCTTGATCTCTGGTGCTTGAGTGCTCGCTGCCACTGACGCTTCGCTTTGTTGCGGCATTTGCGGCGCCGGCACTTGCTTTTCTGGCTCTGGCGTCTGCTCTCGTCGGGCTACCTCCGTTGCCTTTGGCATAGCTCCCAGCTCTGCGCCCCGTCCGCTATCTCCCCTCTTCCTACCTGTGAGAGTATGCCATGCGCCGCTCCTGGGAGGGTTCTCGAAGCTACCGTTGGGCCTGTTGGAATGGTCCCCTACACCGTCCACCATGCGCGCAAATATCCCGCGCTTCTTTTGAGGCTGCGGCTTGGGGTCGTCGATGTCCACGTCCTCAAATTTATCCTCCTCCTGTGTCTGCGGGACTTGCAATGGTCGGTGGAATGAGTTGGACATGCGCGGTGGTGGGAGAAAGGTCCTGCTATCGAGCGATGCGCGCGGCCTACTTTCCGCCTGTATGACGGGTGATCTTGCCGAGATATCCTGCGCGTGGGTTAGCTGCGATCCCTCTTCTACGCTCGCATGTTTAGGTACGCACGAATGATCTGCGATACGAGTCGAATGATTCCCGAGAGATGTTAAATTGCTCATTCTCGTTGAAGGCGCATTTGTGCAGCGACGATGACGTCGTCGATCTCGACGCTGTCGTTCCACCCCAGAACGACTTTTTCTCGGTCGGCGACGGGGGCATGAACACGCCGGAGTCGTTGATCTCTGCGACGTTGGTTAGCGGTTGAGATCCATAGACCGAAGCCACGCACAGCCAGACTCACCACTTAATTTGTACTCGACGGGTTTCTTGGTGTCCACATCGAATTGCTTGGTGCTGCTGCTGCTACTCGTGGGCTTGTCGTTGGCCAGCGGCGTGGGGGCCGGCCGCACATTTTCGTCCTGCTTGCGGAATGGATTCTTGATGATAGCCATGTTGTCGATCTGCCCGATATTGCCGATATGCTACAGTGGTAGTATGTCTTTTATTCTCACATGCGGGAGGGTGGATTGTAGAAGAGTAGAAGATGTGCGATCGAGAGGACTAATCATGTAGAGGTAGGTAGGTACATGTAGTTCTTCCTTGGACCCTGCGAGCCTGCACGAAGGGGACCTATAGTGGGAAGGGTAGTGGGTGTGGTATGCGGACGGGCAGTGCAACCGGGACACAACGTTCGTCTTTTGTGGGTAAAACTAAAAGTAGCAGGTCTCAAACAACGGGCACCACTCCTACCCTTCTACTATGTACCCTCCTACCTTCTTATGATGCAGCCCAACAGCCACCGATCGCACGGAAGCACGGGAATTGTGCATCTACTGATGAGTCTAGTACTGTGATACGTCGGTACAGCGAATGGTGGGCGACGGCCGTCCACTTCCGCGTTCCCGTCTTGCAACGGCTGTATGTCCGCTGTAGGTGGTACGCAGGGTGGTAGTGAGAGTGGTCAGTGTACATACCTAGGTAGTCATACTACATAAGGTACCTCCTACTAGGAGGTACCAGGTAGGAGGTACCGTTAGTACCTCTCAGGTATCAGGCTCTTACTCACTCGACACTCGAGACTCGAGAGAGAGAGGTGCGAGCCTTGCGAGGTGCAGGCGAGGGGCTGCTTATCGTAGCTAATCAGCCTCGGCACCCTGAACTTCCGCCGGGCAATGACATCAGCTGCACTCCACCCTGGATGCGTTACATGTACTGTACTGTGGAGGTACTGTACCTAAGGTACACAAGTCCAGTCGGGCAGTGCCATTATGATCCCATATTCCCATCTCAGCACTACACATATTTACTAGGAGGTGTAGTTATGTACCTACTACTACATGTAATTCTGTACTCTCCTCCCTGACACGTACATGTACCTCCCATTCATCGCCGCCATGCAGACCGTTGGAGGGGAGGTAGGAGGTAGAAGGTGCAGCCTGTGATATTTACCTCACCTTACTCATCAATTCTTGCCAGAACTGAGAAGACAATCAGTATCACGTCCGCCGAGCACGCACATGGATCGTGCAAGTACCTGTTTCAGAATTTGGCGCTAATGGTTGCAAGCGGCTTCCTATCGCCCAATTCGACTGTGTGCTGTATACTGTTCAACTAGCAATAGAGGTATCCATATCCACGGGAACCTCGTCGGACTCCATATTCTTCACCGGGACGTTGGTGCCTCAGGGATCACTTCTTCTTGCGAAGAAGCCAGTCAATCTCGCGCTTCCGCCTGCACCTCAGTCGCGGTCTCCTGTCCGACAACGCCACATGTGAGACCGTGAATTTGGCTGCTATGGCCACCCCAACCGTCCTGTCTGCAAAGGCTACTGCGCTGGACAGTTCGAAAAAGCACAAGCACGCCTCCGCTCGCGACGTAGGCTTCAACAGCGACAACAACACCACTGCAAACAGGCAGCTGCCGAGCAAGAACCACGTCCGACTGCAAGCGCAAGAGCCACTCTCCTCCTCGGTCGGAGCTGGCGCCCACGAGGGATCCGATGGAGAAGAAGACGCAGAGGAAGACGAAGAAGACGACGACGACGACGACGACGAAAAATCATTCTACGACGACATCTTAGATGGTGTTGACTTGGATCCTTATGTCAATGGTACTACACGCTTGCATGCTTCCACCTGCACTAACGAAACTGACCATATCCCAGATGGAAGCATGGACATAGACGAGCGCGAGATCACAGCCCTTCTCAGCTATCTGCGAGAAAAAGGCCCGAAAGCATTCTTTGAAGAAGCTCTTGGAGAGAGACAGTACCCTCCGCGACTCCTCGGTATTGCTTTCGGCATCAAACCAACCCTTCCCGTGAACGATGAGACCTTCCTTCGTCTACTGGGACATGCTGTGACTCGTGCGTTTTACAAGCGAAAGAAATTAACGCAATACAACACAGTGGACGACGCCGCCCGATTGATCAAGGAAAGTCACAAGATTATTGTGATTACTGGTGCAGGCATATCTACATCTCTGGGTATCCCCGACTTCAGGTCAAAAGGCACGGGCTTCTACGACAAGGTAGCAGCACGTGGCTACAGTGAGCCACAAGACGTGTTCGATATATACGAGTTCGACCGCGATCCAACCCTCTTCTACGACTTGGCCGGCGACATTCTTCCCGATCAAAAGTTGGGTGTGACCCCAACGCATGCCTTCATCAAGCTGTTGCAAGATAAAGGACAGCTTCGGAGAAACTATACTCAGAACATCGACGACCTTGAGAGTCTGGCAGGTATATCGAGAGACAAGACTATGTACGTTGCCTAGCCTCCATTAATTGAGTGTCTTGTATACGGAACTGACTCTGCTCAATGGCGAAGACAATGCCACGGTAGTTTTGCAACAGCAAGCTGCCGAAAGTGCAAAACCAAAGTAGACGGCAAAGCAATCTTTCCGGACATTCGCGCACAACGGGTAGCCCACTGCCAGAAATGTATTGCAGATCTGAAGAAGGCCAAACCTACTGCCAAACAACATCATCAACGAAGATTTGATAGCGACGACGAAGATGAAGACGACAGCATCCCCGAACCAGGTGTCATGAAACCAGACATCACCTTCTTCGGCGAACAGCTGCCAGATACTTTCTTCCATCGCTTTACCAAACATGACTCGAAAATCACAGACCTTGTGATTGTGATTGGAACATCGCTCAAAGTGGCGCCGGTTTCTGAGATGCCACATCATTTCAATCGCAACACACCGCACATTTACATCTCCATGGAACCGATCAAGCATGTTGAATTCGACATTCAACTCCTGGGGAAAAGTGATGATGTCGTCGTGGAATTATGCCGCCGAGCGGGCTGGAATTTGAAGCATGAGAAGGTGCCAAAGGATCTGCAGCTGGAGATTGTGCCAGAATCGGATGAGCACCCACGTGGGCACGTGTGGAAGGTACAACCAGCAGGGACATCTCGGCCAGTGACAGAGGAGGAGAAGCACCAGAAAGTGGTACCAAATGTGAAAGAGGTTGGGGTTGCTCATGCAGGTTCGAAGGAAGGAAAGAACAAGCAGCAGCAACATCCTCGCACCGAAGGATACGGCTCTGAGCACGTGAAGCTACAGAAGAAAAGACCTGCGTCTATGGTCATGGTGAGCGAGCGAAGCAAAAAGGTCAACGAGGTCATTGATTCGTCGGACTGAGGAGACCGGCGAGAGGAGATTGTACAGGGCAGACGACGGCAATCGGTATGAGATTACGAAGGGACGTGAAAGGATGAACAAAGTTGCATCGACTTGTAGCGTCGACCAATGCTTTTGGGTTGATACCTTAGATACCTTAATTGTGATATGTGTCTGCTTCGCAGCCAGACAGAGTTGCTCATGATTACCGTAGCAAAAGCTAGAGGTGTTCGGAATGCGAAGAGACTGAACTGATGAGCCATTCTGCGCATTGCAGCACGTACCGTACCTTACCTACCAGGTATACGTACTTGCCTCGTACCAATATTCGATGAGATCTGACATGGATAGAAATTCTGTAACTGTACATATAGCTAGCACTCTGTATCAGTAGATTCTACCTGTACATTCGTACATACTGACGTATAGGTATACATGCATACGGTATGTAGCACAAAAGAATAGATGTTATATGTATTCGCCTCTATGGGCTACTACTACTACTAGGGTTCCTCCTCATCTATAGGCACATCATAGTCATAACCAGAAAAAAAAACTACCAGCTACCTGGTACATGTAGACACATGGTAGGTACATAGCTGTCAAGAGCAAAAGGAAAGCACATTCAAGGTCCGCCTGGGGATCGAACCCAGAATCTCCTGATATGATTTGAAGGAATCGTAGTCAGACGCCTTACCATTGGGCCAACGGACCTATTGTTGTATGCTTTGATGAGTGGTGTTGTTCTGGGCTGTATATGATAGTTTGGTAAACTAGCAAGCTAGCTGAACCGGGAGCTGAATAGAGACTTGTTGCTTGCTTTTTTTTTCTTCTCGTGTGGGGCCGATTAGTGGGCCGAATTGGGACCGTGGCATGCAAGACCACCACGGCACCACGAACCCTTCAGCTCTCGTCCATGGATCATGTATGTCTGCTTGCTGCGTCATATTACTGACGGCGTGGTTACGAAGGGTCGATATTGGTATACTGTGCTATCCATGAGTCGGTCCGTCAGGCTGTCCATCCGTTGACCAGCTATGAAAATGGTTCGGAACGAACAGGACTAGCGACGATGAGATAGCCCAAAGAGGGTCCATAAACTGCGGCGAAGACTATGCTGGGTACTGCCTTGTGTGTATCTGAGTCGGATGGCGCCGCAGAGGAGAGTAGCCAGATCGTAATACTGTGAAAAGGTAGCTAGCTTGCTGTTTATGTTGAAGATATTGATGTTGCAGCCTTGTGTCCGGCGGCATCAATGCCAGGCTGTCACACAAGCAACCAATGACCAGTATTATATGCGAAGCATAGGCTAACGCTTTATTATCGTATGGTATCACGCTGCAACCATCACTTTCGAGCTGAGACGGCGCGACAGATACTCCAAGCCGTCTCGATGTTGCGTTCGCTTAGAGCATAAAATTCAAGCTTGCTCGAGCAGGCGAGCCTTGAACGTAGGGATCGGATGAGAAAGCGAGATTGCGATTTTCTCCCAGAAGGTCCAGTTCACGCATCTGTCTGAAGTGACAGAGGTGATGGCGATTCGAGCATGTCTTTCTGATGATTCAGACAAATGAGGAAGCACTTCAGGTAGTCCTGTCGCGAAAGATCTCAGATACATCAAGGAGGGCCATCCTTATACACGCCTGGCCAAGGTGGTAGAGGGCAGGTTCTGTCAACCTGAGAGGATGTGCTAGCCGCGCTGTTACTACGCACAGATAGCGAAGGTCCAGCTGGAAAAAAAATAGATGGATCGATCGCAGTCAGGAATGGTATCACCTCCACCCGCCAACCCGTCCATCATCCCACCTCGACTTCCTCTCCCTCCTCAAGAAGGCCACTTTCCTCGCATCTTTCGTCCTCTTGACAAACTCGGTCACTTCCCGCTCACTAGCCACACCATCCTCTTCGAGCCAACTCTCCTCCAAGCCCCTTAACAACAGCTCTTGTTCTTGCACACTGGCATTCAATCGCTGATATAGCGCCTGAGGACTAAAGTCCCTCAACGCAGCTTCCGTTTCTGAGATCTTGCTGCGATGCTGTTGTTCCATTGCACGGAGAGCTAGAAGACGGGATTGCGTGCGCTCGCGTAAGTCGGAGAGGCGGGATTCGGTGTCCAACAGCTTCGAGGCGGCGGCGAGATTGGCTTGGAGCAAGGGAGGGAGGTGTTGTTCGGCGAGAGGGATGGATGGATGCGTTGTATGGGGACTACTCAAGAGGGCAGCTTGGAAGCTCTGACTGTTGAGGATGTCTTGAAGGTCGTTGACACTGGCATGCGGCTCAGTATGGATTGGGCAGACTTGTCTCCCTCACACTACATACGACTTGTCCTTGAGCATCTCGGGCAGCCAGTGGTCTTCGACAGGCGGTATGGGAGGGTGCAATTGCTGCTGCTGCTCCTCCTGCTGCTGGTTCTGGTTCTGGTACTGGAATTGTGATTGTGGCTGTGACTGCGGGCGGTAGTTATGGCTACCATCGAGCTCCGATGGTTCATGATGGCCGGGGGGTGGGGGTGGAAGAGGCGGCGCTCCGCCTTGTCCCAACGGGGTGCCAGGTCCCGACTGCTGCTTGGGCGGCGGAGGCGGAGGTGTCGACGCGTAGTATGACATGCTTCCTCCTGTGTGCGTCAAGGAGAGCAGATGTACATGTATTCCAAAGATGGTTGCCGCTCAGATGGTAGAAGTAGACTAGTAGAACAAGCTCCAGGTGTCTGTCATGTGCTTGGCTTGTGCTCTCTCTTCACTTCCATTAATTGACCTCATCTCACTCTCTATGCATCGCAGGAATCACGACGATGAGTGCGCCGCCAAAGAAGGGCTGGGGCTCGCTGGCGGGCAACCTCCTCTCCAATCTCGAGAACCGTCTGGACACTCTGCTCGCCGATGAGCAGCAGGCTTCTGCCGCCCAGGAAGCACGCGCCGCCGCCCAGTCAAAGACAAACACGTCCTCTTCCGCCACCACCGCCGCCGCCGTCTCCACCAGCTCCAACAAGCTCGCTGCGAATGGCGCGGCTCCTCCATCGCGAGATGCTTCAAGAACGCGAGTCAACGACCGACTGGCAGAGCGATTAGCCAAAGCGACCGCGTTAAAGACATCGAGACCTGCAACACCTGCGAATGACAGTCCCAGGCCAAGTGAAGAATCGCGGCGTGCTGAAGACGTTCTCGGATCTGTGCCTGACATAGCAGTCCAAGCAGAGGGATCGGCGCTTCCGGAGGTTGTTGACAAGTCAGACAATGTACCCCTCAACAGCGAGGAAGTGACAGGTGGTGCTGTGGTGGATGACCAACCACTCTCTCTGGCAGCTTCCACACTACCCCTCAACCCTGCTCGATTGTCGGGTGATGGCTCGCGACCCTCTGTCGACTTGGCTTCCTCCAGGCCGTCGTTAGATGCTCCCAATGGCACTCACACCCCCAGCGATAGTGCGGCCGACCAGACGAAGGAGGAAATTCAGGCCTACATGGAACGGATCGATGCTCTACAAGCTAAGCTCACCTATCTAGCCAAGGAGACTGTGGCAGCCGCAAAGAAGGCGAATGCTGCTCCTAGTAGCACGAGCCTGGAGAAGCAGCTAGCTGAGAAGGACGAGAAGATTGCATTGCTGATGGAGGAGGGTGAAAAGCTGAGCAAGAACGAGCTGAAGCAGTTGCAGACTATCAAGAAGTTGCGGGCCAAAACTACAGAAGATGACAAGGCCACGGTGGACCTCAAGAAAAAGTTCGAACGTGCGGAGAGGTCTGAGTTGGAACTGAAAATGAGGCTACGGAAGGCAGAGAGTGCCGAACGACAGGCTGGCGAGAAGATGAAGCAGATGGCCATCATTGAATCTCAAGTCGATGAGTTGCGGGTAGATCGTGAGAACGCTGCCGAGCTGATACGAAGCCTTACGACGCAGCTGAAGGAAGCCAATGAAAGAGCTGCTGCTGCAGAGAAAAGCGCAGTGAACAAGGCATCAGAAGTTGACAAGCGAAAGATAGCTGATCTTCAGAACGAGCTGGAGGATGCACAAATCGAAAAGAAGCTAGCTTTGGACCGCGCTGCATCAGAGACCAAAAAGCTACGCGAGGAAGCCGAGCGGCAGCAGGAACGTTTCAGCGTGCGAGAGCTCGAGTTCAAGAGCGAAGTGTCGGGTCTGGAGTCGAGGCTGGAAGCCATGCGTGCAAGAGCGGAGGAAGCTAGCACGACCTCTGGAAGCAACGACGGTGAAGGCAGTATCAAGCTTGTGAGGCAAGTCGAGAGTTTGCAGCAGCAGTATGCGTTGGCCAAAGGCAATTGGGAGACCATTGAAGGATCTCTGAACGCCAGGGTCGCCGCTCTCGAAAGAGAAAGGGACGAGGCTACAAAGCGAGAGACCGATGTCAGGAAGAGAGCACGCGATGCGGGAGTGAAGTCAAGGAAAGCCGAAGAAGAGCTTGAAGGCGCCATGGACAAAATCCAAAGTCTCACGCAGGAAATCGCATCCCAGCAAAAACAGATCAGCGCCCTCCAAGATAAGCTGGAGCAAGCGGAAACAGCCCAAGCCGAGGCGAGGATTGATTTGGACCGCCAGCGCAATACATGGGAAGCTGAGCTTGCCTCGCGACTGGAGGAAGAAAGGCTCAAGCTACGAAAAGAATTGCAGAGCTCTTCACAGTACGGCGGAAGTGTGCAGTCCCCGACAGCGTCTCAATCGCGCAAAATGTCCGACATTACCAGTTTCCGTGGCAAGAATCTCTCCCGCATTGCCTCTCATGATCTCTCTACCCTGCACATTGATCAATACCAACGTCCATCGAGTGCCCATCGTCGATCCCCCATGACGCTTCAGCACTCCACTTCATATTCCGCGCGAAGTGGCGGCAATGGAATCGGGACTCCAACAGAAGCCTCGCCATCCATCAGTAGGCGTGAGTCCATGATGCTCTCGTCGTTCCAACCGCAGTCTGGTAACGACATGCCCCCTACACCCTCGATTGGGATTATCGACAGACTCAGTGAAGTAGGAGGAGTAGGCAACGATAGTAACTCACCCCAACACACCATGGCCGATCTCGTCTCGGATTCTACGGCTGGACCGGGTGCGGGACCTTCAGTACAACTAGTGGAAAGGATGAGTTCTCTGGTGAGAAAACTGGAAAGCGAGAAGGCGAGTTTCAAGGATGAGTTGGAGCGTTTGAAGCAACAAAGAGATGAAGCTCGGGATGAAGTTGTGGGGCTCATGAGGGAGGTGGAAAGTTCGAGGAAGCAGGAGGTGGACGGAGAGGAAATGAGTACCTTGAAGAAGAGATATGAGGCGAGTCTAGAGATGTTGGGGGAGAGGGAGGAAGAGGTGGAAGAGTTGAAGGGGGATGTGGTGGAGCTGAAGAGGATTTACAAGGAACTTGTTGAGACGAAGGTCGGTGGTTGATTGGTCATTCCGTTGATCTACACATATATATATACCTTATCTATCTTTCTGAATACGTGTGGAAGTTATGCTCTACCTCCCTTCTGCTTTTCTGCTCTTTGTGCATGGGTCTTGTATTGCTATTCTTCATGCAGCAGCTGCAAAAAAAAGGTATTGGTTCTGTTGCAAACAGTTCGCCCTCCACTTGGAATCTAGACGCAAGGTAAGTAAATGGATGCCTGGGGAAGAAGAATGAAAGATCACGAGCAGGAGGAGACATATAGTCAAGCAAAGCCACTGTCTATACCTGATTTTTCCCCTTCGAAATTGGAAAATACTAGGTAGGTAGGTACGGTACGGTATTGAAAGGGTATCTGACTGACTAGAATTTCATCTCCCACCTTAGTTGTCGTTTCATTGTTCCTACATACAGATACCTTATATCACGATTCCACTTTCGACTCAAGTCTACTCTGCTGAAAAAATGAGATGAGATGAGATGAAATAGGGCAGGTTCTTAGAGCCACATGCAATCAATCGGTAACCTTTGTTCCTCCTAAGTTAGGTAAGATAGGTAGCAACCTAGGTAAAGTCTTTGAATAAATATCTACCTCGTGTAGGTAAGGTACCTACCTACCTGGTAGGTAAGCAAAGGAGTTTCCGACGAGATTTCGAGTCCAAACAAGTGTAGTATCTGAAATACCTTTTGGAGCATAAGGTAGATACCTAGGTAGGTACCTTATGTGTAAGCTTGTATGAAGTAAAAAAGGACACGAGCTCTAACTTCGCTTATTAGATGGATACCTTGGGATATGAACACCATTTCTTTTTTACGAGCGTTAGAGATTGGGCACCTAGGTACATACTTGAGGTAGACTCGTATCATGTAGATGTAACACCTCCTGTACAGTAGGTACATGCAGTTTGAAAGAAGTCTAGGTTTCGTTCGAGAGGAGAGTAGACATTTGCCCAAATTGGGAGCTGTATCGTAAACAGTGCATGGTACCTAGTACTGGACGGAATACATGTACTTTGTCTGCATCTTGGGGGAAGATGTGATGTTTTTCCGAGAAGTGGCAAAGATTACTACTACCTACTAGGAGATACAGGAGATGCCACCTGCAGTTCGGATTCTTTAGGTCCCTCGATAGGGGCTTAGTACTACCTAAGGTATGCTGATGAAGTTCTCAATCAATAATCAATAGTGGCAGTAAGGTATGTAGGTACAGTACACCTCCTAGTATCGAAAAGCGAACGGGATAAACAGGCTGAAGAGAAGAAGCTGGAGTGCGTGAATCGTGTGATGAACATCGGGCACCACCCAAGTGGATTCATTACCTACATACACCTAATGTACCAGGTACATGTATTGCAGTCGCACCACCCAAGTCCAGCTCATCGGGAACCGTACTGTACCTACCTCCCCCTCCCGAGGAAGAGGTTACCCGCGCCCTGGACTCGGTTGCCAGGCAGGCAGGCACGATCACTCCCAAGCCTGCCCAGCCTACCATTTTGGTGTTTGGTATTTGGTGCTTTTTTAGCCCTTGTTCGAAACAAATGAAATGGATACCATACCTGACCTACCTAGCTATGTTACACTGTAACACAGACACACACTCAAGCACACAAGGGTCCTTGGGGGGAACCGTACCTGTACAGTACCTAGACGTCCTGTCGCACTGGGTAAGGTAGTCGGCGGCGGCGAAAAAAAAGGGAAAATAAAAAAGAGATGCTGCTGCTTGATCTTCGCGTGGTTAATGAGCCGGCAATTTAAATTATATCGGTAGAATTTCGACGCGACCCCGTGTCGGATTTGTGACGACTACTACTGTACCTTACCTTACATTTTTATGCAAGGAGTCCAGCCAACAAGGACGAGACGAGACGAACTATTGCTGGCGCAGCAGCGCTCGTGCTGGGCGTGTGGTGATCATGCCTACCAGTATGAGAACTACGGTACTCGGGAGTCTGGTTGGATCATCTGACTAGGAGGTACGGATGAAGTGGAGAGTGTGGGTAGGTACATGGCAACGAAAGCTGTGAATGTCTTCTTTTAATGGTCTTCGTCGAACGGATCGGATGATGGAGAGTACGGCTGAGGTGGTGATGGTCAGTCAGATGGCAGAACTCAGACATCCGATTTGTGATACGGTCGACGACAAAATCGCCGGGTACTTGCATTATCATTGCTCGGCGTAGCTATGCATGCTCTAACTCATCTGCACCTTATCGAATCTCCAGACTCCAGGAATTCCAGGTACCTAGGTCAGGTATGTATGCAAGCCGGGAAGCCCATTGCGCGTAGGCGTATCATCAGGTTTTTAGTTCTCCGGCACGTCTGCTGGCAAGCACAAGGCTACGTTAATCAGTGAACATCGTAGCAGCAGCAAGGCAGCTTGTTGGGAGCAAAAGACTTGCTGTCCTCGATCCCCGGCCGTTCGGAGCAATGATTGCACGCTATACAATAGTTCTTTCTGCTAGCCGAAAAAATGGTGGGCCGGGAAATAGGAGATGCATGGGGGGGAAGTTGAGTTGGTGACTCGGTAAACATCATCTATTATTAAGATTATTTTGCCACAGTTAGGCCAAAGCGAAGGCGATAAGATTCTAATGAAGAATGGGGAAGATCTCGCAAAGCACGGTGATGTTGAGAAAAAGTGAGTGAACGGTGATGAAGGCAGTCCAGGCGTGGTGGTCGAGACCGCGCAGGCAATCATGTACCTAGAGTTGGTGTAGAGGGGGGTTTATTAGTCCCTCATCTCGCTGTGGACTAGGCGCGTTCGGTGGCCGTGAGCGAGCGACACGAGAGCAGTTGCCCACAATCTCGGTACTTCTGCGTTTCAGCCTTGCAGGACTACGCAGTCGACGCGCATGTCTTGCCATGGTCAGACTCCAGATGGGAGGGAAGGAGGGAGGAGAGGGGCAGGCTCCCAGTCATGACCGACGGCAAATACGCAATGGATGACAATTGAGGAGGAAAAAACAAGAAAACAAGTCTCTCTACACAAAAAGCAATTCTCTGTCTCTCTCCCAGTCCCTCTCTCTGCAAAAGCAAAGGCGTGGGCGTCGATGTGTGTTTGGGGTGATGACTCTGTGAGAAAGCCAGGTGTTGCATTGCCGCTGGCCCGCTGGGTTCCTGTCGTGCAAAAGCGGCAGGACAGAAAAACCAAGGCACAGTCACACTGGTAGGAGGTACAGTGGTACTGGACACGCGCACACACACCAAAAAGCATGGCAGTCCGGTTCAGGTCTAAGTTTTGACCCGCTGAGCCGGGAATGGGTTGACTTTGGGCGATTTTCAGGGGGAGATGTCGGCAAAAAGCTACGTCTGCCGCCCGCTGATGACCTGAGTCAGTGCGCCACAGCGCCGTTTCGAAATCGAGGCTCCCAGAGAGGGTCACGAGAGTTTGGGAATGATGATGGCGATGCTTTGGCGACCAGACGCGAGATATGACCGCGGAAGTTAGCTGGGTGTAGGGTGTAGGCACTGTAGGGTATGAAGATGAAATTGAAGATGCACTTTTGCGTCGAATGGTCTCGTGGGATCTGTTGACGGAGGATAACAATACAGGTACCTTGCCTTTCATACATTTGTTCATCTATTATTACGATGATGAAACCAGAATAGTCGGTGCCTGGTCGCGTGTGTGTCGTGTTCACGAATCAAGTCGCAGGCAGCCATGAGCTTACCATTCTCATCAGAGCCTCTCAGAGGTACAGTACCTCTCACTGTACCTGTAGTCATCGCCTCACCAACCCCCGAACATGGGGATGAGCATGGCATGGCAGCAGCCTGTGGCCTGGTGAACGAGCCCACCCATCACCCGACGGCAACACCCATCACAACGGACGCGCGCCTTGCAAACGCGAAATTGACGCGATCGAATGCGGTGCTGTCAGGCCTGTCAGGCGCCGTCGGCGTCGGCGATCTGACACTGGACACTTCTCTACGACGACGTATACACTTGACAGTTCCCGGAGGCGTGTTCGATGTTGTTGCTGCTGCTGCCAACTGCTGCTGCTGCTGATGCAAGTGATGATGTGTTTGGCGTGTCCGAGAGCTATAAACAGGATCGGGCAGCGGCGGAGGGATGCTCCCGCGCGCCGGAGAGACAGGTTACTGCTGGATGTACCTACATGTACCTAAGGTACCGTAGCTTATTGATGCAGCTCAGCTCATCAAACGTGGCCTGTCATTTGAGGTGAGCTGGATTGCAAGCTGCTCAAGCGGCTGCAGTACCTCCTAGTACATACAGGTAGTTCTCACAGGCACCGTAAAAACGTGAGCAGCAAAACAACAAACAACAACAACAACAACATCCACATCCACCACGACATCGTGCAGGCAGCACTTTTTTCCCCGTCGCGCTGCTTGTTTTCCACTCGACCCCAGCAAGGCATCTGCACGTCGCACGTTTGTCCTATGGCCTGGCGAATCGGCGCCGCACTTTCTATAGACCGTGCACCTCGCGAGAAGAGTCGTCGACAAATCCCACGTCACGCCTCGGATTAGTGCACTTCCCAGGGGGGCGCTCAGGTTCCTCTTGAGTCCGGTCTCCTTCAGGCCTCTGGCTTCTTTCTGATGTGAGAGGCTGGCACGAGTTGTTCCTCGCGACGCTCACACAGGCTCACACACACACACCTGATTGCGTACACTCCGAGGACTGACAACCTCATCCTCCCTCTTCCGTCCTCTCCCTCCTCTCCCTCCAACTCCTCCTCCTCCTCCTCCTCTCCCTCCACCTCCTCCGGCTACTGATGCTGTTGCTGCTGCACTAGCTGCGCTGGCACGACGACCCCCGACTCGTTCTCTCTGGCGTGTCTTTTCCGTCGCCTGTGCACAAACCTTCTGGAATCGGGCACTGACCGTTCTCCCTCTCATATCTTTCAATTACGCCAACCCTGCACATTCTGTCTCACTCAATACACCGCGCTTGATTAACACAAGGCCCGGCTGCCTTGTCTCGCCAGCATCCCCTCGTCTGCTGCTCCTCGACAAAATAACACGCCCGTCGCCCGCACACACGAACGCGTCCACTCAGTCACACACACATACACTCGACACTAGGAGGTAGCCTCGACAAACGGACGCTTTCTTGGCTCTGCGCTTCTCCACGCGTGCTCCCCATCCATCATCATCATCATCTCAAATTCATCAAACTGCTCATCCGACTAGTTCGTACCCACGCCCCGTTCCGTCCGGCTCGAGGCACTACTCTACCATTCCCCCCCTCGACAATAACCGACCTCCTTTCTGCGCATCCTGCATCCTGATGCGAAAAAGCATCGACCTGTCTCATCATCATCAGCAGAGTCATCGCCTTCGAGAGGACCCACTGAGAATCCGAGCAGTAGTCAAGCCACACGCCTGCGCTATCCCGGCACTGCTTGTCCTGATCGTCTCTCCTAACGGGGCAACAACCTTCCGGGTGCCCCTTCCGCTCCCCGTTGCACTGGACCTCCCTTCTCTCGTGCACGATCACAACGACATCAACCTTTGAAAGGGCATCGCCGTCTATACACATTCCTTTACATCCCACTTGACGCTCGTCCCGGACCCTGAACACACTACCTCCAGTCCCTTGGTTGCTCTACCATCTCTATCCAACTCCACCTACTGCTACAGTCGACCTACCGATACAACCTAATCCCTAATCACTGGCCTTGACGGTCTGTAATCCACACAAACTGCTTCTGACTTGTCGTCTACCGATACTCCTCATCGAACCGTAAGTGCATCTGTACCACCACTCTTTACCGTCGGTGTAACGTATCACTGATCATGCTAACCTGTGTAGACTCCAAGAAACAACAGTGAAAGCTTGCATGCTACATGTTGCCATAGTCTTTCACAACTTCTTGAGCACTAGCCTCGATCATAGAGGCCATCAAGGCAATCATGACCGTCGCGTACGATATGTCGTCGTACCGCGGCTGGTCAAGCAGTTCGCAGACTGCCGTGTGCCTTGAAGACAAGTTCGAGATCTTGAAAGACATCGGCGACGGCAGCTTCGGCAGTGTCACCTTGGGCAGGACGAGAAGCGCAGGCGCACACATCGTCCGACGAGGCACTCTGGTAAGCTCGATGGCACGCGTGCTCCCCCAATGTGTGCCCACGTTAACATGTACAACAGGTGGCGATCAAGACGATGAAGAAGACTTTCGAGAACTTTGCACAATGCATGGAACTGCGAGAAGTCATCTTCCTGAGATCACTCCCCAATCACCCTCATCTGGTACCGGCTTACGACATCTTCCTGGATCCGTTGAGCAAAAAGCTTCACATTGCTATGGAATATATGGACGGCAACCTGTACCAGCTAATGAAGGCCAGAGATCACAAGCCACTGGACTGCAGTAGCGTAAAGAGCATACTGTTTCAGATTCTCGGTGGCCTGGAGCACATCCATGATCACAGTTTCTTTCACCGCGACATCAAACCCGAAAATATCTTGGTATCGACATCTGCTCCTGACTCGGGGAGTACGTTCAAACGCTATTCGTCCCTCGTGACACCACCGTCCACACCGCCAGCCTACTCTATCAAGATTGCAGACTTTGGCCTGGCGAGAGAAACTCACTCGCGCGTACCATATACGACTTACGTTTCGACTCGATGGTATCGGGCCCCTGAAGTGCTCCTCCGAGCGGGCGAGTACTCCGCACCGGTCGATATCTGGGCTGTGGGTGCCATGGCCGTCGAGATCGCGACACTGAAGCCTCTCTTCCCTGGCGGCAATGAAGTCGACCAGGTGTGGAGGGTATGCGAGATTATGGGAAGCCCCGGCAGCTGGGTGAATAAGCATGGACACAAAGTGGGAGGTGGCGAGTGGAAGGAAGGGATCAAGCTCGCCCAGAAGTTGGGTTTCTCCTTCCCAAAGATGGCACCTCACTCACTGGAGACGGTGCTTCCGGCTCCGCACTGGCCTGCGAGCCTCGCCCATTTCGTGACATGGTGCTTGATGTGGGATCCCAAGGTTCGACCGACATCGCGACAAGCGCTCGAGCACGTGTTTTTCCAGGACGCGCTCGACCCGTTACGACCCAAGAGCGCTGCTGCGCAGAAGGCTCTCGGACGAAAGAGCTCTACTCATCTGGGCGCCACCGACTCAACTGATAGCGTACCATCGCTGACCACCAAGACCTCGTCATGGTTCCGAAAGTCCCTTGGCCCTCGCGATTCGTCAGCACCACCCGTGCCTGAGTATCCCCAGGCGTCCAACAAAGAGTCACCACGGCCTACTCCATTGCAGGCCAACACATCGGATACCTCTGCCGCTGTGGAGAAGGGCCGCCCGAACCCCACGAAGCGTGCTACATGGGCAAACGGTGTGTCCAATGCGGCTCCAATACCAATCCTGCCCTCCATTCGGCCGATTTCCCCATTGCGCGACGAGTCTGTGGCGCAGGCCAATGTATCTCGCACAGAGCAGCCGGATGAGCGACCGGGCAAGAAGATTGGCAGGCAATTGTCTGTTAACTCTCAAGGCAACCACTACGCCGAGATCCATCGGCAAGAAGCTGAGCGTGCTTTGAACGGCAACAGTGGTCTCAAATCACCAACAGGCAGCCAAAGAGAAAGCTTCTTCTCTCATCTACGAAAACGTGCTCGACGTTTCTCTGGTAAACCCACCGGCCCGACATCACCCACGCCAGACGACATGGAGGCCAATGTCGGCTGCGCGCCGTGGACGACTAACAGGCAGTCCATGCAGCCAGAGCCCCAAGCAATTGCTCCCAATGCAGCGGATCCCTCCGTGGATCCGAACTTCGCTGAATTAGACCGCGCCCTGCAGAATGTGAGGTATAGCCTTGATGCCGCTGCAAGTGCGGCACCTTCACAACCCAAGCCCCCGGTCAGGATGGCCAGCAATCCGACCCTGAAGCGACATCACTCTCTGCCGTATGGCAAAGAAGAACAAACAGCCTCTGTGCGCTCTCGCCGACCTGTCAAGCCAGCACCTGGCAACGTCAGGTACGAGGCTCCTTGCGAAGAGGACGAGCTGCTCGACGAGGCGCTCGCTTCTGCTCATCGTGCCGTGACTCGGCTCGACCATGGCGTCGCACCATCCGCGCGTCCACTGCTGCCACACGTCACCTCTGAGCCCACGTACAACGTGCCTTACCTCACGCCCTCCCACTCGAAGGATCAGATGGCTGTGGATTATGTCACAAACGACTCCACGCCTTCGAAGCCCGTCAACATTCCTCCCATGCGACAACAGGAGAAGGCAGTCGTAAACCCACAATGGCCCACTCCGCCCTATGACGAGAACGACTGGGCATCAGGCGTAGCAGCAAGCATCTTCGCCACCCAAGCCTCTTTCCGGTAGACGGTTGATGAAGGCGTCTGGCAATGCAGTCACTGCCCACTTTTTTCCTATGTTTATATCTGCTTCTACGCATAGCACCGGCGCATGGTGTTATACTCGATTGGCTGGACCCAAGCACGGCATCAGCATCATCTCTTCGGTAATCTGGCGTTCCAGCATCTCTGAGTGGGTACAGGGCCAAGACGTGTCGGCGTACCAAAAGCGCAACACGAATTTTACATCACATTGCAACATCTGTACAGGATCTTGATTTGATCATGTTGCGTCAACATCTACTACGAGCTCGATCAGAGCGACATTCTTTCCTTTGCATCAGATATACACCTTCGTACCTCGATTGTCTTTGGAGAGACAGGGTAGCGAGCGAGTGTAAGAGGGAGGGGATTGTAACAAAATTTCCGGAGGCGTCTTTGTTTTGACTTTCGCTGCGTTACAAATTAGAGGACCGAGAATGGGTTTCTCTGCCGCACATGTTCGAGTGGACACTGCTGATACCCCCAAGAGTGAATGTCTAATCAGACCTGCTCGATAGTTTTTTGCAATTTCGCGCAAGGTCGCAAGGCTCATATGTTTAGAATAGCCCGAGAAATAGCATTGATATCGTGTGTATCTCACTCATGTGATTCTCACCCATGTGATTCTCTCCATCATGCGATGCTTCTCTCGTCGATTGATGAGCGGCCCGTACGCTTGTTTACTCTACTCGTACCGGGCAAGGCGTAGGAGGTAGTTTGCATTGGGTGGTGGTATTCGACACCTTGCACGTGCTGGCTGGAGATGCGACTACTACTTTTGACTGTCTGGGGAACTTCAGCTGCCACTTTCTCAATGTGACAATTCACTACACCACCACCCACCTCCACCTACATGTTTCTTGGTACTGGAGTCACGCGCATCACAGCCCTCAACTCAAGCTGGGCTAGGCGCATACTCGAGACATCAGCAAAACATTCTTCACTGCTTTCTACAGTACTGGAGTACACATCTTTCACTTTGCATTCGGTCGGGTCGCGCCCTACCTGCTAGCCAGCATCATGTCTCTGAACAGTTACCTGAACAGTAAGCTTCTCCATCCTCCTCTCGCTCTCCCCTTCAGCTGCTCACACTTTTCCTACCTACATCCTCACAGTCATTCATCAGCTAACACGTTCCTTCTTCTTCTTCTCCCCATAGAAAAAGTCTGTCTCATCCTCGTCGACGGCCGCTGCATGGTCGGCAAGCTCATCTCGTGCGACCAAGTCACCAATCTCGCGCTCGAAGGCTGCGTCGAGAGAATCATCCGAAGTCCGGACGATGACGAGGCGAGCGAAGAGGAAGCTCGAGGCTTGTTCATGGTGAGAGGAGATAATGTGGTGGTGTGCGGTTTGGTGGATGAAGAGCTTGACGCGTCGATCGATTGGACCAAAGTCAGAGGCGCGGAGATTGGGTCCACGAAACATGTGTGAGGGACGACGACGAGGATTGGAAAGGTGGCAGGTATGGATGGATGCCAACGGACAAAGGTCCCAAAAATGGGTTGTGAAAGTGTGGAAAGAGGTCTTCTGGCAGGCTGTTATGCTGGAGTGAAGGGCACACGAGGCTCCTGCGCCATTGGTAGCCAGTGAGCGACCATCGCATGACTGTCCTCCGGTACTGCGAACCGCTTCAGAACAGAAGCCGGCGACTGCCTCTCCAGTTCAGGTACCGGCACAAGGGAATGGGAAAGAAAGCCGGGAAGGATGTAGGGAGCGAGCGAGGCAGGCAAAGAGAGGACCAGGTTCGGAACAAGAAGAAAGCGGAAACAGTATGTATGCGAAATCACGTATCCCTTACGGGCTATGGTATTGACACAGCTCTCAAGACTATTGGAAAAAAATCGCCATCACCGACCACGGGATTTTCTCTGCCCTACCTCCTATGATCGAGCTGCGAATGAACCTCTTGTTTGACCCTTCCTTCTCTTTACGGAGGAGCCGCTGTCTCGGATGCAAAAAGAAAAGAACAGTGAAATTCTCGTTAATTTCCCTTAGGGGACTCTCTCTCTCACACACACACACACACGTAGACGACTTACGAGGTTACTAAGAATTGCGTCTAGATGGAGTAGAACTGCGGCCGTCGTCAAAGAAGTCTTCGCTCCCGAATCGCGTCCACTATCCCAGGGCTTCTCAACCCATCCCGACGACAGTCCTGCCACCTGCGTGCGTTATATGACCGAATCGATCGTCAGTCCACATCTCTCTCTCTCTCTCTCTCTCTCTCTCTCTCTCTCAACACTTTCATTTCTATCTTCATCCTTTTTCCCCTCTTCCACATCTCCCACAAAAGCTTGGACTGGATTTCCTCTTCCCTTCTTTTCCTTCCTTCTTTTGCGGGCTGTTCAATTTCAGTAGTCTCATTCGCATTCTCATCACTGTCGATGGTGCTGTTGAGGTTGCCTTTACCTCTTTACCTTTACCTCTTTACCTTGTCAAATCTGCACAAGCAGCTTATTTATTTATTATTATCATTCTTATTCATTCGCTTATTCATCTTCGACTCGAACAACTCGAATGGTTCGAATACTTCGGAAAGCCGAGTATGTTCTGTATAAGGTACCTTACTTATCTGCAACAGGAAAAAGGGAAAAAAACGAAGAATTGGGGAAGGTACCTAGGGTTGGAAAGAGGGATGAATTCTACAGCTACATCTATCTGGTTTATACGAAGAGGGAAGTACATGGTAATATAGGTAGGCTGAATAATACATTGCAGAAGAAGAGGAAGAAGATCAAGACGACGTATGATAGATAGATAGTACAGCCCGCTAAGAACCTCGAATTACATGGACCTCATAACACACTAACACACTACCAAAGTTGTACCATTGTTTGTTGTGTAAACCATTCTCATTCAAACTCAAGTCGGGACTCGCGAGCGAAAAAAGAAACAACATTAGTAGCGCTACGTGCTGCATGCACCGCCACAAGGATAAATATAACTTTTGTTTTTTTTTAGGAGGGCACGCTTCACTCCCTGGATGGATTTCTCGTATCGCCAACGCCTCTTGTGTCTCCCATCCAGCGCCTCGATGCGCCTTTTCAATGGGCACGTAAGACTTGTCTCTGCCAGACTGGAATTTCTTCGGATTGCCTCCACTGGACCACACCAGAACTTCACTGTTGTACGGGACGGGTAAGCTGCTCGGTCGGCAGCGTGCGCGACATCAGGCAAAGGTCTTGTTCTTTTTCTTGGCGTGGTCGCTCGTGAGTGAGCCATCTCTCATTTCCTTCTTGCCTCTGAGGTAAGTCCTTCGTTCCGGCACTTTCCTCCAGAATTTCTGGTTTTGCGGGCAATCTTCTCCAGTGACTTGCGCAAGGTTGTTTTCATTAGATCTGGACGTTCGTGGACTCTGAACGTGACTGACTGGACCCGATGTGAGGCCAACTGTCTGCTGGCGATCCATATATCGATACGAAGTGCACCAACGGTTGTTATACGAGACGGTTATGTTTGCGAGACTCGAACATCCACCACATGCTCTGAATGGGCTGAACAAGCATAAGAGCGACAGCCTTCCCCTGATCGGCACCATATCATGCTGTGTCCAGAGACCGCAGCAACATCATTTGTTTGCCGCATTGTTGACAGGGCGTGGGATTCTCGCGCCACAGGTGGAAGTTGTCATCGTGCTGTTGGACAATTTCGAGAAACTTGACGAGTGCTTGAATGAGCAGCTCTTCATCTTCGCGTACCGCTTTAACGAAATCGGTGAGAGACCATAGTTTATTGATCTTCCAGTCAGGACAGTGCGAACCCAGGAACTCTTCCATCCCGCACGAACAGCCTCCTGGAAGCTGAGCGAGCCTCTTCAGCTCCACAAAGCCGGTGGGCAGAAGAGCCAGGATAGTCTCGTCGGCGGCACATTCCCATTCGCCGGAGTCATTAAACCACCACGTCCAGTGTTTGAGGCGGATTTTCCTCGCGCCTGAAGCTTCGTCTCCCTTTTCTCTGATCCAACGACGAAGCAAGTTGCACCCTTTGTCGGATCGCAGGTCAAATTGAAACGTATTAGAGCGGTAGAAAGTCGGCAGCATGGCGTCCAGTTCTGGCTTCAGACCAGGGAACACTTCCTCCAATACGGGAAGGCCGGTGCTACTTGTTGTTTTGACTTGCCGTTCAGTCCGGCGAGGTTGATCACACGTGTCTAGGACTGGCGAGACGGGCTCTTGCGCAGAAGCAGTGTACTTGTAGATGGTATTTCGAATCTCGCGAGGCAGATCGAGAAAGGTATAGGGTCTGGTTCTAGCTTTCAACAGTGGAAACGGTGGCAATGACGAGCCAATTGGTGTCGTGGGTTCGCTGCGCAGCCGCTCTTCAAGAACACGTTGACTTGGGTGAGATTGAGGAAGATCTGCCAATGCTTTTTGCAGCCAGAAGGTCGTTTGGAGATTAGTTCGGTGCTCAGCGGAGGCAGGTTGCTCGAACGCTCGAATATCCTCCTTCTTGACAAGGGCAGGCCTGAAAGGGTGTTTGCGGTGGTCGCGCCGTTCCTGTATGCTAGTAGGCAATCTCCGCCTTTGACCTTGGCGCGAGATGAAGTTCTCCATGTTGCTTGGGGAAAATGTCTGTGAGAAGGATGTAGCATAGAATGCCATATACTTGTTTCTTACTGACCTGCAATCCGCAAGAATCGTGCGCTGTTGATCGTTGATGCTCCTGTACATGATCATATTAAATCAAAAGGTGTCGAATTGACTTTATCGACCGACATGCTGTTTGTAGTGTGTCTAACTAGGGAGCTAGGGTACCAGACAACCAGCCTGTCTTGTACTCCCATTCCTGTCTCTGCAGTCTGCAGGGCGCGTGGGACATCTCACGCCTATAGGCAGGCCAAAACATCCTGTATCCTGCCCAAGCAGTGCGGGCGGGGAGATTTGGCAATAGCTGTGAGGTCAGTTTTGGTCAATCATCGTGGCAGAGTTCAGGCACTTGGTGAGCATGTGCTCCTTGCAGGGCACTCCTGTGCTTCCTTGAGCGGAGTCAGCGGACTACTCCCTGCGATGACATCTGGAGTAGAATTGACATGGACCGGAAGTTGCGGACATGAGGTATGCAATTCTATACTGTTGTAGTGTGATGTGGTGCTTGATGAGTGCTGTGTGAGGAAACGAGATCGGGTTGGTGATGATGTACGAGAAGTGGTGGTGGCGGGAAGTTCTGGAGTGCAAGAACGAAAAGGTGTGTGAGTGTGAAGGCGATGCGAGTGCGGGAGAGCGGCATCTGCAAGGCTGCCGCAAACGCGAAGTACACACGACCCACGTCTCCCTGTAGTACTGTGCAAGAGTGCTTAATCAACGCAGCACACCAGTCGTCCCATCTCATCTGAAGTGCCACGTGCGACTGCATCTTCAGCTTCAAGTGAATCCGACTCTGCGTGTGACCGCGACCATGCCAGGACGAAAGTCGAACGTGTCGACGGCTTCGAATGGGCCAGAGGAGGTTTCCGAAGGCACTCCAGCTGCAGCAACCAAAGCCAGCAGCAGAGAAAAGGAAGGCTTCAGCGTGGAGGACTTGTCGCTGCCCAAGTCGATGGTTGCTCGATTAGTAGGTTGATGTTGAGCCTCATTCTCCCCTGCCCTACTTACACACTATGCTGACCACGGATGACTAGGCAAAGGGAGTTCTTCCGGCCAATACGCAAATACACAAAGATGCACTACTGGCACTGCATAAGAGCGCCACAGTGTTTGTGAATTTCATTGCCTCCAAGTATGTTGCGAGTCGAACTCCTCTGTCGTCGACATAGACCACAAACCATGCCGGCAAAGCTAACAGCTTCTAAGCTCGAATGATAATGCACAAGCTGCCGGCAAGAAGACAATAGCGCCGCAAGATGTTATGGCAGCTCTCAAAGATTCAGAATACGAGAGTTTTCTGCCACGCCTGGACGCCGAGCTGAAAAGTATGTATCCCAGCTGCAAGCACAGGATTCGCACATGATGGGGCACCTTGGCAAAAGAACAAGATATGCTGACAATAAACAGAATACAACGAGATGCAGTGTGACAAGCGCAACACGTATCGGCGAAAAGTCAAGGCGGACAAAGATGCTGCTGCGGAGAAGGAACCTGGCGAAGGCGACACCTCCGAAGTCGCCAAAGATGGCGAAGCACCCGCATCAGCAACAAATGGAAGTGCTGCCTCCAAATCTGCCAATGGCAATGACAATAACGTGGGCAGACCGACCAAGAAGCTCAAAGGCGAGAACGGCACAGCAGTACCGAAGGCCGATGCGGAGATGAGAGATGATGATGACGATGATAATGATGATGAGGACGACGACAACGACGAAGACGACGATGAGCAAGATGCTCACGAACAGGAAGAAGACGAAGGAGAGGATGGTGCGGAGGATGAGGATGTGGCGGACGAAGAAGAGTCGCAAGACGAGCAGATGGTGGATGCTTTGGAGGAGCAAGATGAAGACGCCAGCGGCATGCGAGATGAAGCGTTGGACGATCCCGACAGCGATTAGATGGTTCCTTTCGCCCTCCCTTCAAAAAGGATTTGCGAGATTCCTCTCCCTTTCTGTATTATAGAGGAGATGCATAGCCAGGCGTGTTTTCATCATATGGGGTTACGGTTCTCGTGGCGATATGCCAAGCTTCCTTCTCACATACCTTCCTTACCTGATCTTCACATTTACGCACAGCACCCAAACGAATTCCTGCCCGGTGGAGTCAACCTCCGTAGTAGCAAGGCAGGGTAAGGCACCATAGTATCGAGCTCAAAAGGAAAGGACTCCCCAGTCGCGTACATGTATACCGCTCAAGTATTAAATCCCTCCCCAGGTACCAAAATTGCACCATCTCAAAATTTCCCTCCCCCTACCCCACGCCCAGCTTGACTAGTCTTCATATTTTATTCAAAATCACTTCAACCAATCATATCACCACAATTGATGCGGTGAAAAAATCAAGCCCGTGAGTTACCCAAATCATCGCGCCACCACTGCTACGAACAAAATACTGACAGTATTTGCTTAGTGCTGGCGCAATGGTAGCGCGCGAGACTTCTAATCTCGAGGCTGTGGGTTCGAGTCCCACGTAGGGTGCATCTCTAGTGCGCTAGAATTGGTGCAATGTCTTCCTACGTATGTCCAGTCAACTGGATGTATGTTTGACTCGAAATTTTTTTCTTTTGTTTTTGTTTTTAATTATTTTTGGGGGATCTGGGGAGGGGAGGGAGGAACAAGGGTGTTGCTGTCTTTGTTGGGGGTTGGTCGATTGGTAGATAAGATGTACCTAGGTACCGGGCAGGTAGGTAGTTTTGTATTCTGAGCGTGGTGGATATATCTTTTTTCTTTGAGTGCCCGAGGCGCTACCTCCGTACCTCTAGGAGGTAGGTGGTGATCTGCCCGTAACATACAACAACAATGACAAACGACCTGTCTGCTAGATTGATTGCTTGCTTTCTTGCTTGCGGTTGAGGATGAAAAGATCCCATCGCCTCATTCGTTCTTCTTGGTAGCAGAGGTAAAAGAAAGAAACGTATTTTGTTATGCCAACCGACCCGTTTCATTCAATACATTCTGTAACGGTAGGTGGGTAGGTAGGTAGGTAGGTACATGTATGTAGCTAGGTACCTGATATATGAACTTCTTCCCATAGGGAAAGAGAGAGTCAGAGACAGAGATCTTACATCACACTCTACACAAACAAAAAAGACAATTTCCAGTCCGCAGTCTTCGCTCACACATACACACCGAAGAAAACGCCCAATCCATCCGGATTCTTCATGAAAAAAATACAACACAAATACAAACGATTAATCAAAAAACAAAAAGATATCATTTTCTCCCCACTTTTCGATCACTCAGATTCACCCTTGGCGCAGGTAATTCCTGCACATCCGACCCCGCCATTTCATAAATGGGCGTCTCGCCTCGCATTTCCGCAGGCACACCTTTACTCGGCGCGAAAAATTCCGTACCGGAGCTCTCCATTTCCGAGTAGCCGTGTTTGTTCGGATCCGCGACGTGGTAAGGGCTGTCCATTTCGGCGGGAGCTTCCTTGTGGGGGGCCGTCAATTCGTGGATTTCGCCGCCGCCCAGTTCGCCGCCGATGGGAGGCGAGATGAAGGGTTTGCCGTCTGTGTCGGTGGAGGTTTTGGTTTCGGGGGAATGGCCTCCTGCTGCTCCGCCTGCGGCACCGCCTGCTGCGCTTGCGGATTTGGAGTCGAGTTCGGCGAGGCGTTGACGTTCCGTCTTCTTTTTGCGGCGCACGAGGAAGAGAATGAGGCCGATGATTGCTACGAGGCCAACGACGCCGCCGACAACTCCACCTGCGATGGCGCCGGTGTTGGATGAGCCGCCATTGCCGCCATCGGCCAGGCTCGTTTCGTTGGCGCGGATGATGGACTTGATGCTCTGCGATGCGATTCGTGTCGCGTCCCACTCACAGGGGGCGATGGTGAAGTTTTGGCGGTCATAGTCGGCTATTAAATAAGCTTCCTGGAAGAATGTTCGGCCTAGTGTGTATTGTGTGGAGTTGCTTGCTCGTTTCAAAGGAAAGTAGTTGGATGTGTTCGGGTTCATGATATTTGGGAACTCGAGAGTAAGGTCAAAGGCGCCATATGGGAAGACAATATCCATGGTCTGGCCTCCCGAGGCAGCAGTGGCCAAGGTGAAGGTGACATTGGCATTCGTCGACAACAGAGACTCGTGGAGGGTGTCGTTGACCAGGTAGAAGTTGAAGTCGGAATCGTACGTCAGACCAAATGCCTCCTCGAATGCAGTGCAAGCAGACTCTGGTAGCCATAGTTGGGAGACGGTGGAGTCCAAGAAGATTTGAATATTGCCATCCGGGAGGAGGTTGGAGGGCGAGCCGGCATCAGTGGTGATTGCGCGCAGGTTCACGAGCAAGTCTCTGCTGATATCGCTCCCAAAGGGTATCGTCAGGTTCTTGGTGGGACTGTACCGGCTCTCATCGTATCCTCCCAGTGTAAGTGAGCCGAGGTTGTTGCCATCTAGTCGGTATTGGTTTCCAGCAGTGTACGCCCAGGACAAGGATGGAATGGACCTGTTGTTGACCAACTGCTGGAGGAAAGAGGGTTGTGGATCGTTGAAGGTCGTCGAACTCGAGCTCGTGGTGAAGTTGGTCGGGCGTGGGTTGAGTCCGAAGATGCCCAGCCAGAAGTTCGGGCTCTCCAGATTGAACACCACGTTACGCTGCACGCTGGCCTGTGTCGCACCCGGCCATCCTATCGTGACGCTATCGAATCCTGCCGATCCAGAGGTATCCAGTCCCAGATTCTGCTCAATGCCAACATCGTATATGCTATTCGGCACCCACGTCAAGGACTCATTGGTATTAAAGATCTGGCCGCGCGACGTCTCACAGTTGGATGGATAGAAGCTCGGGCAGCCGCCTGCTGCTACTGTCAAGACGGAGGTGACGGCCGTGCCAATCATGGCGCGCACCGTCTGCGGCTGCACACCAATCTGCAGCGGAAAAGAAGACCATGGCCCATCGTTCCCATCCCAATTCTGCGCCGCAGCAATGCTCAATGCCGCGGGGATGGTCGTGGTGTTCTCGGCTCTTTTCGCGACGCGTTCTAATCCTGCGACGCTGCGCGACAGCAGCGAGGGAATGTCGGACCAGGAGGAGATGGCGGCGGCGGCGAGGTGAGGCGAGGTCAGCAGAGTGGTAGTGAGCGCCGAGCGCATGGGCGCTGCAGTCTTCATTGTGCGCACAAGTGGGCTTCGTCCAAGAGGGTCCAGATGCCAGCCAGTGTCTCTGTCTCTCTCTCTCTGTGTGTCTCTCTCCCTCTTCTCTCTTTCTGCCAGTCAGGCTCTCCTCCTTCTTCTACACGACGTCGATGCAGCAATAATAATGGACCATATGGCGAGTGTACGGAGAGGTGGGAAGATGGAGCACCGACGGCGGCAAACACGCCGCAGAAGCAGACTGTAGCCACATCGTAAGTCTCGAACTAACAACCTACTAGCAGGCCGGCGCGGGCGGTCAGGATGAGGTGAGGTAGCGAGCGGCTGGCCCTTCCCTTGTCCTGCAGCTATTTTACCCTTTTTCTGCGCTGACTACTAGTTCTAACTTTGAATGTACTGCTACAGTGCTGCTAGGAGGTACTACGAGAAGGACTGCTGCCACTTCACTTGGGGTGCGAATGATGATCTCCTTATCACACATGAAAGTGCATGGCCACGCAGGGGAAAGTGGTTCTTCGCCTCACTTTGGGTTGATGGTTCATTCACCGTCCATCGATTATGATTATGATGATGATTATGATTATGATTATGATTGATGGCATACCGCATACCTACTACGGAGCTATTACTGATTGATCCTCCAGCAACGCCGATCCCGTCGATTGCCAGTATTGCCAGACATCCGCTTGCCACTGACCCTAGTGTCGATCTCGATGCTATTTAGGGCGATGCTCGGCTTGTTCGTATGGGTGGCCTTGGCGCGGGCAGGCCTTGAGTTGCCGACATTAAACATCTTGCGATCCGCTCCCCGCGTGAATGACGCCAGCGAGGCCAGGCAATGGAACTCTTTCTCATGTTATCATTCACTTACCACCCACCGATGCCGACAGACGTGATGGCTCATTCTATGCCGACTGTTTGAGTATGGTATGGTCACTATGGTGACTATGCCACTATGGTATGGCCTGGGATGGGCCGGTCGGAAGTGGAAATCACAGTGTCCCCCTTCCCGAGTGCGGTCCACAGTGCGCTGGCTTCACCCCTGGAAGCTGATGTGACGGCGGTATGGAAGTCTTCTGCGCAGAGTGGCTTCACACGTCGCGCAGCAGCTGCAAAACAAGTGCTGAGAGGCTAGTGCTGCTCTGACTCTACACGATTGAGTTCGCCCAGAAGCATTTTGACATCTTCAGCTACAAAGATCCATCATCCATACAAAGTGCTCTGCCACCTTGTTACGACTCTGCCACCTGACAGGCTGACTATTCACTACCTGACTCCACCGCTCTGCTCTGCCTCTGGTCTGGCACTTCTCTTCCTTCTCTTCACCACATCAAGCACACCACACATACGCTCTCTCTCTCTCACTCTCGTTGCTGCCACCATGCGAGTCGAGAGCCTTCGTGTCCTGTTCGTTGCGTCGTGATAACATACACTCACTCCATCAATACCTCCCCGTAGCAGGATGCTCTGGTGGACTCTCTGCGCTTTTCTCGCTCCGTCCACAGCTGTAGAAATCCTGCCCCGAGGTAAGCCTAGACATGTCTTGACTCTCTGCTCTACTACACTACATCATACATGTACCTCCTTCTACCTCCTACGAGCCACACACGTCAACCTCTCCCGCCAAGCTCCGCTATCGATACACACCCAACCCAGAACTGACCCTTCGCAGACGCAAACGCAACCGCACCCGCTCCCATTGCCGACCCAGCCTTGCCACCCGCTACAGACGCACGTGGTTTCAACACGTCCGCATATTGTGACCAGCAGTATTCACAATACCTGCGGACATACAATGGCGCCGGAAATTACATCACTACCACCATCACCGCCTACATCGGATTGGACGACACGGGCTCCCAGACCGGCAAAATCGTGACGCAGTCCTACAGTACCACCACTGTCACCAGAACCCCGGATGCGTACAAGGCCTACCAGCTGGGAGGTGCGAAGCCTCCATGTTGTCGTCAATGCCAGATCGTCGCCGGCACCATTCAGTTCTTTTGGTGGCCCGGCCTTGCAGACGCAACCGCAACCGCAACCGCCTCTCAGTACATGACCAAGCCTGCCAACAATAACAACACCTCTGCACCAGTCACCGCTGTCGCAGCAAATGGCTTCGTCTTCACCTCGCCCAGCGTGTACATGGCCTTTTCTTCGCTGTACGCCACGAATCTCTGCGGCACCGTCGGATCTGCATGGTCCAGCACAACCATCGGCTTTCATCCGACCGAGATATCGACCGTGAACCCCTACAAGATGACCTACACCGGCTATGGCGTCGTCACGTACTCTGGTACCACTGAGACGGCCATCAATGACCTACGAGGGACGAGGCTGCCTCCATCGCCACTCCAATACACCGATTTGGCTCAAAACTGCTCCACAATCTCCGGATATGTATATTTCCCAGGCAACCCGCAGAACGACGTCAAAGGCGGGCTCGACCGGGACCCGTGCCATCCCGTGATTGCCCTGCCGACCGGTCTCATCTCCATGCAACAAGCGTGGGTGGATGCCTCCTGCGTGGCACGCGATGGACAAGGCGCCTACGATCCACCCATCGCTCTCACACCTGCGCCATCTGCAGACCAACCAACACTGCCCGCTCGGCCTGGAAGCGCGAGCACGAGAGTACCAGCATCTCAGACGGCGGTCTACACTGCGCTGCCGGATAGCAAGCCTACTCCAGGCAAAGGAAACGTTTACGGTGCTCCGTCATGGTCAGGCTCGCCAGCTGCCGGCGGTGGAGCGAACATTGCCATCGGACATGCCCCATCGACCGCAGACGTGCAAGTCTACACCATCATCGAAGTCACCACTGACCGTGCAGGATCCGCCCGCACCATGATGAGAACCACAGAAGCTGTTGAACTGCCCGCAACGACGGTCCCTGTCCCCGAAGAAGCGTCGTCGACCCGGTCCGGCGGCTACGATGTGGTCATGCATAGCATTCTCCCAGTAAGTAGTGATGCGCAGGGACACGCAGAGCATGGTGATGTTGGGCAAGCTGCCGAAGCCGCTTACACCGTGCTCCGCGATACCACTCTCGCGAATGGCATGGCTACTGCTGTGCCTGTTGTTGTAGTACTTGATACAACTCCAACAACAAGCAATGCACCCGAGCATGGTATACCCGACTACATCATGAATGGCATCGGGCAACCGCTTGATTATCCGTCGCAGGCGACTACAAGCGGCTCTCAACAGCAACAGCAGCAGCAGCAACAACACGGCAGGACTACGGAGGCGTCGATGAAACAGATTGGAACGACAGCGACAGAAACTGGCGGAAGAAGAACAACAACAACAACAACTTCGTCATCCTCATCCTCATCCACTACGTCGTCATCATCATCTGCAGCGAAAAAAGTCCCTGGATTTGGATTTGAAAGTAGCTCTTTGATGATGATGACAATGTGCTGGATCATCATGATGATATTTTATATTTAGTCCAAAAGTACATGTAAGTACGTAGCAGTTGTAATACCTTGACATATTCTATTGTATTAAAAAAAGAAAAGCTTTAAAAAAAGCTTATTATTTTCTTTGTTTTAATCGCTCCTACTCTTGCTCAATTCCAGGTAATACAGTTGACAATGCGTGCGCATCCAGGCGGAGACGAATCGCGAAGCAAGATAAAACTCCCCCTCCCTCCCTCCTTCCTTCCTCCCAATAATACCCCAAGTAACGTTCTATTCATTCTATATCAGGCGCCTGCCCTTCCTCTAATACCCACTTCTCTCGGGCTTATGGAGTGGATCCCAAGATCTTTTACCTATCTCTATATCTACAGTATCCATCTCTAACTCTTCCTCTCCACCAATTCAAAAACCTCAGATTTCATCGTCTGATTCCTATCATGTCTAGAATGTTCATCCTCCTCCTGCTGTTCACTCTCCCTTCTACGCGCCCACCCCCTTCCCCTTCCCCTCCCCCTAATCCTCTTTCCCGCAAAACCCGTCCCCCAAAAATCCGCCCGCAACCCATGCAACACGGCCACGACACCGACGCACGCGACGACAGTGGGCAATAACCACGTACTATAAATAAATTCGACGCCATCGAGCGTCAAATCGGCAAAACTCAACAAGGACAATGCCACACCGACCAAGGTGCCCAGGGCGAGTTTGAGCCATACAAAGGGTGTTTTGGCACGATTGCTCATTCCTGTGATGGCCATGCAGAGCACGACGACGGTGCCGATGGAGGTGAAGAAGTAGACGTAGGTGAGATTGAAGACTCCGGCAGTGGTGGAGGTGGAGGAGATGGCTTCGGTGAAGGCTGAGAGGTCGGAGAAGTCGATGGGGGAGTTGTTGGTGGCGGAGAAGTCGTTGGAGAGGTCTGAGGGGGAGATGAAGCTGGGAGTGGAGGAGGAAGAAGAAGAGGAGGAGGAAGCAGAAGAGAGTTCCTTGTGAAGAGCCGAGTGGAGATCGCTTCGTTTGATGGGAGAGTCGAATCCGGCAATGTTGAGAATGGACTTGTACAGGGCAAAGTAAATCCAGGAGAGAGCGTTGCGGGCCAGTTGGGGATTCTGCGCGCCTTGGGCGATGACGGCCGAGGCATTCGCCGCATTGCTCAGATCGTACGAGAGCATTTCGAGAGTTTCGGCCAGAGTGGACGAGGTGAGTAAACCTCGATAGATGAGATATTGGCTGGTCTCGTTCACTTGACTCCCGACTTCTTCAAAGTAGCCTTGGTCGAGTAACTCTGTCCATGTGGCGTACTGGAGACGGAAGTCGTTCCCGCGCACGACCGCTGCTCCCCAGGTGATGCATTGGGCGAGTCCTTCGACTGCCAAGACCAGAGCGACGTGTAAGGGAAAGTGCAGGACCGACCATATCTGTTGCATGATGGTGCCAAAGTGGTCTTCTTCGAGACCGTCAAAGTAGATGCAGTATATGAAGTATAGGATGAGCACGGCACAGACGATGTTAGCGACCGTGCCGGGTGTAAATCGGAGCGCTCCTTCACTTTGTACGATGCGTTGTGATTTGGTGGCCACGGCGATGACACCTTCGCCGAGGATGATGAGGGTGAGAAGTGACATTCGCTGGACGAGGTGGGTGCCTTTGAAGCTAATGTTTCGCCAAATCGATGAGATGGTGGTGGCGGTGATGGTCTCGAGGATGGCGACAATGTACCATATCACGTATGTGTGATTCTCCTCCATGGTAGCGTTGAAGGTCCAAAAGAGGCCGAGATAGGTCATGGACGCCGCGAGGTATGTTGCTGCGATGAGCGACATGGGCAGGATCGTTTGCTTGTACTGTCGAGTAAGCCACATGGATTGGAGATATTGCAGTACCAGAACGAGTCTCGAAATCATGAGGTACAATGTGAGAGATCTCTGGGAGCATGGTCAGCAAGTCTGTCACCGAGATATATCTGTCATGCTTCCAGCCTACAAAGTACCACTCCAAGGTGGGCGCCTCTGTATCCACATTCCCGCCTTCTGCATACTCTGCGGCAGCCTCGTCTCCTACATTGTACTTGGGACCAACCACAGCGAAGCCAATCATGACCAGGAATTGGACGGCCTTTGCTGCTCGCTCGAAAAAGGAATCTGCTGAGAATCTGACATCGTAGAGGCCAACCTGGTACCTGCGCAGAAGGGGGTATGTCAGCGAGTGAATTGAATGAAGATTAGACTGCGCTACAAACCAGGTGAACCACAAAATACAGACTACGACAGAAGGAGGTCAGCAAGATATCTCGGGACAATATGGGGATTGTGGACGCAGTGTCTTACAGAATCCCTAGAACGTAGCACACATCCCGTCAGTGATGGTAACAAACATAGATTGTTATACGCGTTTCAACTTCCGTACCACGTATTGCTTCAGAGTGTCTCCGTCTCGGACCTCGTGGACGGCCGTGAAAACGGTGAGATTGGCAGCGAAGAAGAGGTCGTAGAACAATTCCAAGTTGCTCGCCTCTCGTTGCTGTTGTAGGAATGGAGATCCGTGTATCGACCTGTCATCGCTTGGTCTCCGCATCATCGTTCCTTCATTCCTATCGTAGTTGGGCGATTCTGCTTTGATTCTGACTCTCGAGCCGCCAGCGGAAGTAGGACGTGGTGACATTGCGTTCAAAGCTGTAGCTGCTGGAGGGCTCTGGAAGAGAGGTAGGTGACCTGCACTGTGGCCATCGACTTCCATCTTGGCCACTGAAGGCATATGTGAGTGAGCAGGATGGCAATGAATACAGTCTTGTAATAACATGAGTCGTAATCACAGGTGGGATGTGCATGATATGTCAAGCTAGACATAGACATGGTTTCCGTGCAGACTAGGGGATGTATAACTATAGTGGTAGAGACTGGTTTCGTACCTGAACCTTGCTGCGGATCGGGTGAGAGAAGGATAGTGGCTCGCGCGTAGCACGAGTAGCGGAACAGCCTTTAGCAGTCACAACATGCTATCTCAGCTGCCACTTGATGGAATGTCTCGAAACAACTACTCCCAGATAGCTACGAGCGATGTCTACCAAGATACCAAGGGCGATGAAGACTGGTGCCAGTTACTGGCGAGGAATGTCGTTGTCCGATCGGAAGGGTATTACGCTGTCCGTGCTACCCAGGAGCGTGGGTACGCATATTTCTTTGGGGCGCTGTTGTGGGCCTGCCAGTGAGCATGTGAAAGGAGCTTAATAGGGTAGCTTCTGGCCCATGGGTGCTTCGGGTTGCGCAATCGGGGATTTAACTCTCCAACAAGTCTGTACATGTCTACTCTGTAGGTCCAGAGCCTTCCGCCTCACCTGAGCGCGTGCATCCATCACCTGGTCATGCAACAGAGCCTGGTGTATACACACAAACACGTATCGGTGCCTGCATGTGTCGTTGTTGAGAGCTCTGACGTCGAGCCCAAGTGAAGTTCCCTGTCAGCTTATGTTATTTAGACTTGACGTCTGAGCTCGACCCCAGTTAAAGGAGAAGAGAGGGTCGGAGTCATCCGGAGACAGTGAGCGTGTCGCACTAGAATTTGACATTGATGGCGATGATGACACCCAAACAGAGCAAGCGCTGCATGTGGGAGCATGTTATGATGGTGATCCCAAAATGGCTGGGTATGCTGCCCCCCGTTCACATGTACGCGTAGGCTCATTTCCTACTCGCTGTGCAAGACAGGGGAGCCGTAATAAAGAAAGTGTCCTCAAAGTGCACGAGCCATGACTGAATCGTCACAGGAGAGCCAACCAAGTGTAGCTATCCCACAACATGTCAACTTGTCAAGCTATGATTCCGAGTATGCTGTTCGTGATGCAGGGAAGCCGGTCGTCAAGGCTGTCGACACCTGTCGTGAATACGCGCAGCTGGTCCCGTCGCGGGGATGTCTGTGAGAGTACTGTTTGACCATGCTTGTGCAAGGTGGAGGCCCTGGAGGGAGCGGGGGGAGTTCACGTTGTTGAGTGTGGACGTGTGCGGTGGGGTGTTCTCGTTCCGTTCGGATGATGTTGTCGATGGGAGTGAGAAGAAGGTGAAGGTGAAACGGAGGAAGAGAGAGAGAGAGGTCACTGATAGAACTATGGAGGACCTGTGGATATCGCGGGGACCGTCCCGTGGCGGGGAGAGATCCTCCGTTCTGCGGGACAGGCACAGCTTCAGAGAAAAATGTTTGTTGAGCTCTTTCCCTCTTGATGACTACCTCTTCTGCTCTCCTACTCTCTACCTCCTACTACTCACCTTTCTCTCATAAACACCACCACATCTCTCACTCCACAACACCACATTCACCATTATCATGGCCGAGATCACCCACCCGACCATCGTCGATGGCTGGTTCCGCGAAATCAACCACATGTGGCCCGGCCAAGCCATGACGCTCAAAGTCAACCAGGTCGTGCACCACGAAAAGTCCAAATACCAAGACGTGCTCATCTTTGAATCCTCCGACTACGGCATGGTGTTGGTCCTCGACAACGTGATTCAGTGCACCGAGCGCGACGAGTTCTCCTACCAAGAAATGATTGCCCACCTCGCCCTCTTCAGCCACCCGAACCCACGCAAAGTGCTCGTCATCGGCGGAGGCGACGGAGGAGTCTTGCGCGAAGTCGTCAAGCACCCCTCGGTGGAAGAGGCGATTCTGTGTGATATCGATGAGGCGGTGATCCGTCTGAGTAAGAAGTATTTGCCGGGTATGGCAGTGGGCTTCAACCACCCCAAATGCAAAACTCACGTGGGAGATGGGTTCAAGTTCTTGGACGACTATAAGAACGAATTCGATGTGATCATCACCGATAGTTCGGACCCGGATGGACCTGCCGAGGCATTGTTCCAAAAGCCATACTTCCAGCTTCTGCACGATGCACTGCGGGAGGGAGGTGTGATCAGTACCCAAGGTTGTAAGCCCTGTTCCCTCTTTTCACCATCTCTGAGCGGTGATGCAGGTGTGGTTGTGCTGACTGTTTCCGAATAGCTGAGAACCCATGGTTGCATTTGAGCATCATCCAGCAGTTGAAGAAGGACTGCAAGTCCGTCTTCCCCGTTGCCGAGTATGGATGGACGACGATTCCCACCTACCCTAGCGGCCAGATTGGTTTCATGGTGTGCACCAAGGATGCGAGCCGCGATGTGACGAAGCCGTTGCGAACTCTGGACGATGCCGAGGAGGACAAGCTGTTCAAGTACTACAGCAAGAAGGTGCATGAGGCTGCTTTTGTGCTGCCCAAGTTTGCGGAAAAGGCACTGCGCGAGTAGAAGGAGGGAAAATTGGATGACATTGGAGAGCTTACCTACGATACCACCATATATAAAAAAAGGCGTTTATGAATGGAGGCGGCGTGTGGAGTACAGGTTCCTGTACCTAGCTTGTGAGCAAGACTGTGTAGTAGATGTGCCGTCAGTATACCATCATCCATGGATGCATGATACCAGTCGGATCCTCGGGACACTTGTGATACAGACCGCCTCGGATCGCTCCTCCATGTCGTGTGGACGTTCCCGTAAATGCACTGACATGAATCAGTCTCTTCACCAAAGTATATCTATATTCATCAACAAAATTACGCTAGAGGTAGCATCAACACATGAACCCCCGCACGAAACACATCAAGAGGAAAGCGTAGTCAGCGTAGTGAGAGAGTGAACATGTACAAAATGGCTGAGTTCATCATGGTTGATACTACAATTCAACGCTCACTGTCCCGCTGTGATCAAATCTAAAACAAAAAAACATCGTGTGCTGCTCGTGCCTTCGTGACGCCATTTGTGCCAGTGCTCCGTGCAGCAAGAGGCGCGTGATTTGCTTAATTATCATCGATTGTGTGTCTCGATTTCATTCTTTACCCCCTTCCTCTCCAAAAAAGTCTCCATCATGGTCGCGCGATTATGGGGTATCTCGATGGTGTAATAGTAGTTACTAGTAGTGGTAGCAGTGGTGGTGGTGGTGGTTATTGTCGTCACGTCCGCCCTCTCTGTCATGGATTTTCCGATTTCTAGTACTTGAGGATAATGTACCTGTGGAGATTGATCGTTAGTGGGCTGTATGCGAATGAAGAAACCCCCAGATAGAGAGGACATAGGGTGTGCTTACAGAGCATGGATGATACCCGGAATGTAACCGAGGATGGTCAAGAGGATGTTGATGAGGAGGTCAGCGCCGCAACCACGCTCGAGGAAGACTCCGACGGGTGGGATGAAGATGGCGAAGATGATCTTGATGATGTCGCTGGAGAAGTCGTCAGTTTACTGTGTTTGTGGTGACTGCTGCGCTGCTATCTGCGAACAAGGCCGCGCGCTTCCGAAGAGGGGAACGGATGGCTTACCTTCCGGTGAAAGGCATGATGTCGGTTGTACGGTGTTGGTGGTGGTGGTGGTTAATGTGTTGTGGTGGACGAGGTGTTGGGGTGGTGGTGGTCAGAGAAGATTTTTGGTGACGGTGGGTATGTGAATGGATGTGTGTGTTATGAAGAGAAAGGGAAGGAAGGAAAGAGAAGCTGGCGGTCAAGTAGATGTAGATGTACCTCCTACCGGTAGCTGACACAGATACCGCGGACCTTACCTTGAGGCTAGCTATGAGTCGGCGGTGACATCAGCTTCCCACCCACCTGCCACCTGCCTGCTTGTGTGTCAATCCAAGCCCCTCCAAGCCACCATTTGCCAAAATCATATGACGCACAGAGCGGGCCGTGCAGTTGCGGTGAGCCAATCACATGTGCCCTGCCCCTGCTGGTGTGGCATCATGGCAATGTGGCGCTGGGACGTTGTTTGCGTTTGACGTGTGGCTGGGGAAGAGGAAACGCGCAACCACCTCCACCTCTACAGACAGACAGGCAATACCTCCTAGGCTCCTACAGATACATACAATACACAGTAGGTGGTAATCCTTCTGCCTGTGCTAATCTGACCTCTCTCCCTCTCTCCCTCTCTCCCTCTCCCTCCCACCACCGCTCATCCCATCTCCCCACTTCTGCGCCTGGAACACGATGGCCGGCTCTCCGATCTCCGCTCTCCGCTCTCCGCGGCCCTTCCAAGGAACTGGAAGCTTCTTGGTTCCCTTGTCGCTGCATCATCGTCATCATCACGTGCATTGCTTCTCGTGCTTACGCTGGCTGCCTTCGGACACTTCCACTTGCTTCGTGTTTCTCGCAAACCACCTAATCAAGGTGCATGTACTACCAGAGTACCACCATGCCCTATCCTTGACATTTTAGATGCTATGCTTGAACGCTGCAGTAGGAATGAATATACAAGTAGAAATCACTTTCGCTCTCTCTCCCTCTCTCTCAAAAACTAAACAGTCCACTCCTCCTCTTTCCAAACGGATACACCACAATGGCGCTCAGGAACAGTCCCACTGTGATCCCAATGGCAACTTGAATCACACTGTATCCGACCGTGAACGCAATGCTGTTCAAGCCGTCCGTCGTCGCACTGGACGACGTGATGGTGCTCGAATTGGCCACTTGCGTTCCATTGGCAGCATTCCCGTTGATCTGATTCGCACTCGCAAGTCCACTAACAAGTGACCCTTGCACCGATAAACCAGACGGCACCTGTACGAATATCGCCGGGAGCATCGCTGCTGCTGCTAACGAATATCCGACTCGACGTGCTGCAGGCTTGAAGATGGATTCCGCGTCGCTGTTGGAACGCGTGCTTCCGCCGTACGAACTGCTGCCTTCTTCCATACTCTTGGGCGAGCTTCTGCGATTCTCCACCCGGAACACTCGTTGCCGGAACAATTTCCAGTGAGGTCGGAGCCGAGTTTCCCAAAAGTCGAGAGCCATGTTCTCCACCCGCCCTCCAATGCGACTGTACAGATTGGCCATGACGCCAATAGCCAGTGCTCCGAGCGTGTTGGACACTTGGGTATTGCCTTCAAAACGCTTGGCGGAAAAGTAGTTGACCACATATCCTGCAAACGCGATAATCATCATCATCGGCGCTTGTTTCCATTTGGCTTGATTGATGATGATTAGGCACATCGAGAAGCCCGGAACGAAAAAGAAGAACCAATACTCCGGTATGGTGTTGCGGCATGTCGTCTCGGACGTGGCATGACGGTCAATCATACCGTATATCGCCGTCCCGACCGTGATGCCATACCCAAGGAACAGTGAGTAGATGATGGCGTAGACCATGCGGACACTCCCAGCCACGATCGAGCGTGACTGCAACTCCAGCGAGGCACAGAGGACAGTGTAACCGGGAAGAATCAGAGCGATCGATGATTGAGCCAGCGCCGAGAAGCAGAAGAGGTCGCCACCTTTGATACTACCAAAGGCGCGCGCCAGGAAAGACGTAATGACGGCAGCCGCGATTTCGAAGACGTTGGCGTATAGATCCGACGAAGGTGCCACGTACAGCTGAAGCACTCCCAGAATGGCACCCAGGATGAAAGCGATGGGGAGATCGATGAGTCGGGCCCCAAAAGCGAATGGCCCCACGCATACCGCCGCCAGACCATACACAAAGATTCGAAATGGCCGGTTGAATTTGTCCTTCTTCCTCATAATCTCCTTAAGTCTGCCAGTGGCTTCTTCGACTCCCAGCTTGTCGTGTACCACTTCCTTGTACACCTCATGCACGTCACGCAGTTTCCCGAGATCCAGGCCCTGTGCAACCTTGACCAGCTTGACCTCGCTCGTATGTGTGTCTCGATCCTCGAACGACATAATCATGCTCCCTGGAATGTAGAGGAACTGCGCGTCGGTCTCGAGCACCCGGGCGCTCATCCTCATGTACTCCTCCAGCCGATGAGTGGGCGCACCATACTCCATAAGTGCTCTGCAGAGTCCAATGAGATACTTCTGCCTCGCGATGGTCTCGGCAATGTGATTGGTGATCCGGAACTGCTCTGCTTGCTGTTGCTTGGCAAAGCGACTCCATGAGTGTTTGCGCTTGCCCAGTCCAGGACGTTTGCTCGATTCTCGTTTGGCTTGTTCTTGTTGTTCTTTCAACCTCCGGCTGACTTCCTCTCCCAGGCCCGTAAACCCCGGCGAACTGAGGCTAGCCGAGGAACCAATAAGCTGAGCGAGTGATGCGGTGGACTGGCGATCGCGTGACTTGCTCATGTACCAAGGGTTGAGGCTCATACGCCTGGGAGTGCTTGCTCCAGACTCCGGGGGTGAGTGTTGTGGCGTTGACATGGCGCTTGTGTTTCGACTGTGATCGCCACTCACAGATCGAACATGTGCTTCTGGTAAGCCCCTAGGCGAAAATTGTCCCGCATGGCGACCTCCGTGATGTTGCGAGGAGTCACCGTACAGCTTCAGTAGATTTCCCAAGATGCCGCCTCTATATTGTCGAGGTCGAGGTTGGTAATCTTCCATATAGTTTTGTTCCTCCGTAGGGGTAACATTTCCAGGCGTCGCAGCTCCAGAAACGGTGCCAGAAACAGCTGCAGAACCAGGATCCAGTCCGAGCTCATGATTTCGAAACGCTCCACGTGCGCTTGTGTGCCTTCTGACAAGTTTAAAGGCTTCGGCCTCAGCGCCGGCTCTCCGCTGTTTGTCAAGACCAGCCAGAGAGCTCTCTTCATCGACGTCAGTCTGATCGTCATCGTCGAATTTGTTGAAGTCTTGCAGGGGTATGTCATCTGTCATATAACTTTCGTCTCTCTTGTTTCTTTCTGGTGACGCGTTACGGGAATTGGGCTCAGACAGCATTCGCTCCACGCGTCTGCCTTCTTCATATGCCCTTTGAGTGGCTCGTTGTCTCTTCGATCTCTCCCCAATATCGTCCGGGCCCTCGATATGCTCGGTTGGGTCCTCTACTCTGGGTGGACTTCGCGGTCTCCGTAGAGCAGGTCGAGGACGTCCTGGGACACTTAGATGTTGGAGCTGTACGAGCGACCCACGAATCTGGTCCGTCTGCTGTTGAGACAGCTCAGGCAGATGGGACTTGCTAATATCTCCGATCAATAAGTCGCCACTGCTGCCTCTTCTGTGCGGAATTGATGGCGTATTCGTGCCACTGGCCTCGGGGGATCCTGCATTATGGGGACTGACGCTTGCTGGCGATGTGGCACCACTGGGAGACGACGTCTCAACCCAGCTGGCACGCGGTACACGCTCGCCAGCAATATCAGCATTATTGGAAAATCCCACTTTCTTTTTGGTCTTGGAGGGAAGAGGACGATCCGATGGTGAGCCTCCATCAGCCGAAGTCATGACGCCACTTGAAGGGGGCGTGTATTTTGACAACAACTCTGCTGAGTCCCCAAACGGATCTGGGAACTCCTCGACGGGAGTACTCATATTGATCAAGTCGATGGGTTTGGTATGATGGCGCTAAAGCAGGTAGCTATCGAAACAATACACTTTCCTAATTCCCTGGTGTACCGAGCCGGATCCGTCAGAGTGGACGAGCCTAGCAAGCTGCCCTTTTTTCGGACAAAGGAATGCTGGTCGATCTGGCGTTGTTATTCGTGAGTCCCTTCGACGATCGCACTCCCAATAAGCGGCCTAGTACGACGAAGGTTCCAATTGGTGGTTCTTCCGGTTCAATAAAAATGACAAGACAGAACTGGAGTGTATCAAAGGTCAGACAGGGTGAAAGTATGGTTGCAGGGACCCCAATCGCGGCAAACAAGGTCTTGATGCTGCTGCTGCTGTGTGCTGACCAGCAAAAGTGTAAGGTGAGCGGAAAGCGAAGAGAGTTTGTCGCTCAGACAGACTTGCTTACACGGGAAGGTGTAAGAAAACGAATGAGGCCACGCGGTCGCGGAACGTTGAATGTCGCAAGGAGGTCAAATAGGGTTCGAGACGATACGGTCGGGTGGGCTGGCATGTGTTTGGACTGTTGGTTGGCGCTGTGTTGTGGTCGATTATCCCAAGCGCGACACACGACGACCATAGGGGACGAGGACCCATCTTTTTGGACACATCGAGCTGCTGGGAGCACTTATCAGCGACCCACCGTGTAGTGTAGCGTGCACATGGCATGGTGGCCGGCTACGCTCGCTTGTGCGTTGTGGTGGCACATTGTCCCAGGGCAGGGCAGGGCAGGGCAGGGCGAGAGAGAGGTTGTTGGTTGGCAGCCACCTGTTGCTATCGCAAGTATAGCAGAAATCGTCCGAAATTCCGCACAACCTCGCCGGGTTGCAGGCCTGCCAGCGGCTCGCTCGGTCTTTGAGGCGTTCGAGACACAAGTCTATTCCAACTCGCCGAAGAAGAAGCGCCGGGAAGCTCATGCAAGGGCGTGAGAATTCGGTCGACCAGGCTCACCACAGCCGGCACTATCCAGGAGGGTATCGGGTATCCCGTCGTAAATGCGAGCCCAAAGGTAATCGATCAGGGTGTCATGTTTAGGAGGATGAGATGATGATGATGATTCTCGACGAACAACGGCACTACGGCAGCGGCGGCGATGGCGACATGGCGCACCAACAGGCGACTCAGATTGAGAGTTCTCGAGTCGAGTTGTGCGTGGGGTGAACCGGCTACGGGAGGTGGTGTGTGATGACTGATGGGTAAGATGGGCGAGTGGTGGTGGTCGGTTGGTGCTTTTCGAATTTGCCCTTGCAACTTGTGTGTGTGCGAAGAACGTTCTCAACGACAGGCACCAAAAAGTCAAAACGATCGACAGCAGGGATGTTGCTCCCTTTTCACTTCGGCTAGATCTCCCAACCATATATCTTTATTATTAGATCGCCCTTTCACATGCTTCAACGAGTTCACTACTACCCATCACATCATTACTAAGAGGTAGGCTAGTGTGCTAGGGGCGCACTCCCCTCCGCTTCGCAACAAGACAGGATGATGATGATGAGGCATTTCACGATACTTCTTCCATATAAGAATTAGCAATAGCCGCATAATCCGCCGCTTGCACTTCATAATAGATGTTGCAACCCCTAGTAATGAGGAGTATCACATTTCCTCCTCCTCCACCAACCACTTACTCATTCTCGTACCTCCCCCCTACAACAATCCCACGCTCTGAGGTATGCGTTATGCAATTATTAAATACTATTGGTGGGGAAGAGGGTCCGGAATGGTGCTCCACCACCACCACCACCACCAACAGTTCATCACGTTCCCTATCAAGCCATGTGCAGCAAGGAGCAAGCAGCAGCGTTGGTATGGGGCTCTCCACAGCGTGTCACCACTCCGCTTCGACACGTACGCACACCAGCGAATCGATATGACTGGAGAATATGGCTTGAGTCAGGTCTCTGTCGCAGGTCGTAAGCACTTGCAGCGAGATATCTACTTCGAGAGAAACTCGACAGCTCTAAAGATCATCCCTCTTGATATCTATTGCCCAAGAACAATGCGGCTAGCTATGCGCATTGCCTATCCCACTCTGATCGAGGTTTCAATAGCTACTTGGGCCACCAAGTATTAGCTCCACCGCTTCTCAGATCCCCCCTTATGATCAGCAGTTCTCCCTGCCTCGGAATTTCCATAGCCTGAATCTTTGGCAGAGACTGTCTCATCGTCGTCTTCATCAAAGTCTATATCGAATTCAGGCTCACGCACACCACCCTTCTCCTCCACGCCGTCCACTTCCTCTTCACCAGTCCATCCTTTCTGCTCAGCAGCTCGAGTATTCCAGCGAAGCGTCCTCGAAATGCTATCGAACCACTCTAGGGGTTGACCCATTACAGTGGGAAATGGATACTGCGAAGCGCGCACAACAACTTCATCGCCACGGCCGAGTTCCACTCGGCCCTTGCCATCAAACGACACGAAAGCACCACCTCTGCCCGTCGAAGGTATGGCGACCTTGAGAGCCATGTCGTCATTTAATAGCATCGGTCTGAATGACAATGTATGAGGACAGATGGGCGTCAACAAAATGGCCGGTATATCGGGATGTACCAAACTGCCGCCGGCGCTCAACGAGTATGCGGTGCTGCCAGTAGGTGTGCTGAGAATGATGCCATCTGCACTGATCCTAGTGAGCAGACTGTCGTTCGCGTACAAATCCAAGCTGGAAATGTAGGAACTTGGACCGCGGTCAATAACCAGCTCGTTCAGTACTTCATGCGTCTCCCCCTCGATTTTAGCTGATTGTGGTCCCCCTTCAGCTGCGCTGCCACCACCATAACCGTCTGCACTGGCGGCCGTTGAAACGCTCGTTGTCGATGCACCGGACGATGGCAGGGCAGACGATGCGGCAGATCTGTATACCGTGCATGTGAACCGCATTCTCAAGTTTACTCTCATGCCCTCTTGCCCCATTACTGAACGATTCAGCTGGTCTTTGTAGTTTTTGAAATCAAAATTGGTCAGAAAACCTAATGAACCCAGTGAAAATGCGAGTACAGGCGGTACGATGCGTTGAAATAGCCAAGATGTATAGAGAACGGTGCCGTCACCACCTAGCGTCAGGACCAAGTCGAAGAGCTCTGGCTTCTCCAGACAGACGGATGGTGTCCAGAAGTGTACCATTTCCTCGAATCGTTGGTCTTGTGCAAGCAGAGACTCGAGATCAAAACGCTTCGACCGGCGAAGCTTGGAGTCGATCCACACATTGACGCCAACGTCCTTTCCATATCGCGGCGTCGCCAGTAAGAACTCTGCCAGCTCTCTCGTGAGCGCGACCAGAGTGTTGTCCCTCGCCTTCGTGACAATCATGACATTACGCACTGCCCGTTTCAACGGTCGTCTTTGAAGTTGTCTCGACACCTCGCGCACGCTCGCCGCCGTCTGCATGAGACGAGAATGCGACAGCTCGTCGTCCCCTCTGACTTCCTCCAGCACCTTTTCCATATTCACCGCGTCTCCGAATCGCTTGTGGAAAAAACATGGACTTGTCAAAGCGGCCAAGCGTGCCATCGAAGGTGTATCTGAGCACATGCTGAACCTCGCCATGGCGTCCTTGATATCTTCCGGCGTTCTCGAGCGCTTCTCGTCTGGCATCTTTTCGTCTGCTACGGTCTGCGTAGCAAATACCTGCGGCGAGGGCGGCGGTAGTCTCGAAGCGCCAGTCGAGAAGCGCCGCGGAGTGCTATCGAATTGTGGGAATTCGCGGTCAAAGGAATCGCGCCTCACGGGCTTCTTTGACAGAGCGTCGCCCAGCGCAGAGCATGCGGGAGTGCCACAGCCATGGGTAGGACTAGTCGGCGTTCCCGGAGTCGATTTTCGTTCTTCCATGGCGAAGAACACAGGGACGGGAGAAGTTTTTATGCGGCCTGGCGAGCGCGATGTTCTAGTAGGTAAGATGTCCGCCCGGTGGTGGAGGGTGGCATGCGATGCGATGCGATGCGATGCGATGCGATCGTGTCGGCGTTAGGCGGAGATGCGCACGTTCAGGTTGTGCAGCCGGGGGGGCATGGTGAAAACGAAGTGAAGGAGAGAGGGAGAGGGAGTGAGAGTGGGAGTGGACCAGGACAATGGAAGGAGGACAAGTCAGTCGGTGGTGAAGATAAGCAGCAGCAGCGGCAGGAACAAGACATGTTCGGACGTCGCTTCCGTGGAAGTGCTGTAACTCAGCTACGACTAATTTACTTGGGAGTTCTAGCGGCGGCCGGAGTGGTGATGATGGAGATTGAAGTGGGGTGGGGAGGGCACGGCTCGGCACTTGCCTGGTCTGTTCGACCAGTCTACCTTACCTTACTCTATTTCGCTGTCCGGTGCGCATACTGGTATCCTCTTCCATTTCCTCTCCCTCCGAGACATCACATCATCCTCAGACCTAGACACACCCACAACATGGCAACTCCTGGATACTCACCTGCTCGTGGCGTACGCGGGGTCTTCAAGATGAATATCAAAAAACTTAAACATCATGACTTGGTAGGGCTGCGCCGCTGCGGTGCCTCTCCGCTCGGGGTATATACAGGCCGCAGACTAGTCCCAAAGGAAAATTAATTATCAAATCACCAGCTCATCGCCACCTACTTCTTCTCAGCCTCAGCCTGCTTCTGCACCTCACTCTCCACTCCTCGCTGAAGCGTCTTTCCAGTATCATGCTGAGCCTCCCGTCGAGCTTGCTCTTCGCGGTCTCCAGTCAGCCCAGCAACAGCGCCGCCCACAGTACCTGCGACACGATCGCTGATACCAGAGCCCAAATCACTCAACTGGCCAGCAGCCTCTTGCTCCTTGCCCTGCGCATTCTGTTGCTGGCCTTCCTTCTTGAGTCCCTCCAAACCGAGCGCTCCGCCGACGAACTCCTTACCGGAGCCCATAGTTTGGTTCCAGCTACCCTCTGAACGCTGTGGGTCGTTGGCTGCCACGCCGGAGGCTGAGACCGAGTAGCCCCCGACGGAGGCGCCTGCTTGCGAGACGTCTTTGCGCGCATCGGCGACGTCTTTCTTCTCTGCGCAATACGTCAGCATCGCCGCGCTACAAGGAAGGTGTTTCAACACATTTGAGGGATCAGGATGCTATGAGTACTTACGCTCGCCTTGGGCCTTGTCGGCTGTGCTACCAGTGAGAGAGCCGAGTGCGCTCTGAGCTGCACCAGTCACCTTTTCATAAGTGGACTGAAGAGTGCTGGTGTTCTGGTCAGACATGATGATGATGATGATGATATTCTTGTTCTTGTTGTTTATGAAAACTCGACTGAATCGTTTCGCAAGTTTCAGTGTGAATTGTCTTGTTAAATGCAAGAGAACAACACCAAAGGTACAGTACTAGGTTCAGTATATATACATAGGTATTCTACCATCTCGCCACATGCATGCTACACGTCGTCCTCGTCGGGGTGCACGCGCCGACTTTGACATGTGGCAATGACGTATGGCGCTGTTTCTTCCCCTTGTGTGCACGACAGAAAAAAAACTTGGCCAGGCCATACACCCATTCCAGCCACATCCACACCCACATCACCGTGCGTGTGATGATTAAGGTAGGTACACGTAGGTCCCCACGAGGTCTGATGATTGTTCTATGTCTGGTATAAATGTATCCGATCGACGATGAATGCGTCTATCGTGGGCTCATGGTAGCGCACTGATGATGAATGGTGTGTAAGGTACCTACTAGGTGTGTCAACATGTCACGCACGCGCAAAGGGAAACGGAAAAAGATGCTTTCTCTGAGCCTGAACCAATTTCCTTTCTCAAAAGTGAGCGATAGCATATCTCATAAAATAGTAGCCCTCAGATGGTATCATTTCCCAAAAGAGCCAAAGAACACCAGAACACAGCTTGGACTCGGCACTTGCGCCACTTTCCAGATTCCCAGATTCCCAAATACCCCCATAAACCCCCCAAATAACAAGCAAACTCATGTTCGCCTGGCTCAAAAAACAATTCCCTGTCACTCATAAGGCTCATCCATGGTGTAAATTTTGGCGTGAACACATTCGCACTCTTTTTTCCAGTTCCTCCTCCCCCTCCTCTTCATCCTCTTCGTCCTCGCCCTACAACGTGATCCACTCCCCGCCCCCAAAGCCACTTAAGCCATCCCCATCAGCAGGTACAACAAACCCTCTAAACTTTTCCAACGGAGTCTGCGTCGTCTGGGTATTCGTCGTGGTCGTCGTTGTAGTATCGCGATTATTCGCCCCCCAATCCTCGATGTTACCCAAATCCTCGCTCCCGCTCAATACATCATCCGCACTCGAAAATGACAATACGCTCGGTGCGGGATTCAAGGAGGGGGTCCAACCGGGATTGTTATTACTACTACCACCACTACTCTTGTGACTCGTCCCACTACTACTGCTACTGCTACCCGTAGGGTTGGTTTCTGTTTGACACAACGCCCATAGATCTTGGGTCCACGCGATAGGTGTGTCGTTGCCACCGCCGCCTCCTACCGTTGCTAGATTGATGGGCGAGGCGGTGTCAATCAATGCGTCAATGGGCGGTCCGCCGTAGCAGGCGTCGTAGATGTTGGTTTCGCCGTTGTCGAGGGATCCAAGAAGTTTTTCCCAGTCGGTGGGTGCGGGTTCGGACTTGATCGGTTGGGTGTTGCGAGCGCTTGGTGGTGAGCTTGAGGGCTCAGAGTCGTTGCCGAATGAAAGATAGTCGAGGTTGGGGAGTTTCTTTGGTACAGTTTTGGACTTGGGCTTCAGTGGTGGTAGCGTTGATGACGGGGTGGTTGTTCTGTGGGAATCCGCGGTGACTTGAAGTCGTGGATACATGTTGACAGGGCTCCGGGCAGGTTCTGATCGCGAGACCGAGGGTGGGCTGTAACACGATTGTGGCTGCAGCGCTGGAGTGCTTTGGGTCTGTTGACTATATGGGTGTAGATCAATTTGGTGGACCGTTGCTCGCCTGATAGTCGTTAGCTCCGTACTTGCTACTGGTTGAACAGCGGTATGTGAGTGTGTATACCGTCCATCACCAGCATCAGGCTTAGGCAACCTTCCACTTCCGTGCAAGGTGAAGCGCGATGCGATAGCCTTTAGCTGCTTTCTAGTAGAATTGGCGCTGTCAGAAGAGAGCTGGCCGTCAGAGTTGTGCCTTGACAGTGGTGGATATTTCGTCCTGGGTGCAGTCGATTCTGCCACGGGAAGGCGTGGCACAAAAGAGTGGGCCAAACGCTCGAACTCCGTGGCACATGGTGCTGATGTCTTCTTCAGCGCGCTGATCACAGCAGCCAACATTTTGCTGTTATCTCTGAGGATTTTGGAGCTTGCTTCTAGCCCAAGTCCCTGGAACAGGAGACCGAAGCCAGAGATCACCAGGAGCTCGTCACGATTGAGGCAGAAAGAGAAGCTGAGGCCTCTCTCGTCAAGTAACTGCACGATCTGCACCATGTGCTTGCACGAGCTCGCCATAGTGATCATGGACGACTGTGATCTTGTTCCCAGTGCGGCACAGATGACAGGCCTTTGGATCAAGGACCGGATGTAGTGGTAGGTTAGAGACAGTAGAGGCGAGCGGCTGTTGATCGTCCCCGTGCTAGGTTTATCTTGTGCAAACTGAAGGCGAAGATGCGCTGGCAGACTTGTGCTCCAGTTCTCGAGCTCATCGGAAAGTTCAGCAAGCTTCTTCAGCGACAGTTGGTACGAAGTCTTGGCGGGAAATACTTCTTCAAGGACCTTGGAGAGAATGCGTGCAGCACCGAAGAGGGCAAGCGCGCTCGACACCTTGGTAGACGCGCCCGGTAAGGTTGGCTGGAAGCCCTGCTCGGTCACGTACTCGTCGTCTGCATCGACTGGCATCTCGCAGTGAACATCCTCGTCCTTGAGCTGTTTGGGCAGACCAAGCAGGACTGCCGTGAAACTGTCAACGCTGTACAGCGTCCAAAAGACCCTCTTCCTCGTCTCGCAAGTCAAAGTGTCCAAGGCGAAACGCTTTTGCGATTGATGTAGTCCAAGCCTGGTGCACAGTGTCGTTGATAGTCCCTTATAGGTGAGCAGTCGAGTGAAATCGCCCTGCTGCACACAGAAGAGTTGCGCCAAGACCAGTGCCTGTAGCGTCGCCATCGTGTTGTCTTGTATGGTCGCATCGAGGGCCGCCTTCCACTGCGCTTCGAAACTACCCAGGTCTGATGATGACCTGGCACCAGTGGAGAGAGCAGCGATGCCGAATACGAGATTCAGCTGTGCGATTTCTGCCTTGTCAGTCATCTCGTCTGGATCGGCCACATATCTTTGGTACAGAGTCAAGAATGTAGGTCGATGTAGAATCGGGAATAGAGGAGCCCATTCTTGGAAGAAGATGTTGATCATCTGATCGGACACCATGCGCGCAGGAGCCTTGAAAGTGACTGCTGTTGCGGGCGTGGTGGCATCCCGGTCTTTTGGCGTGCTGCTGGCAAGCAACCTCGTCACATCAATGTCCTGGGTGGAGCGACCGGTTTCCTGCACGCGGCTTTTGAACGATTCAATGAAGGTCCTTCCACTCGATGTACCCGCAAAGTACGAGTCCGATTTCTGGTCATCTAGCAGATAAGGAGATTGCTGTACTTGGAACAAGTCATCTGGAGAGGGGGAGTCGGGCTTCGCCATGGCCGTATTCTCGACCGACGCCGTCGACGACCTTCGCGGAGAGGGAAGATGCAGTTGTTGCGGCGACTGCGAGTGTAGGCGCGATAGCATATCAATCTTCTCATCCTTCTCGTCCAGCAGATCCTTGAGCTCTCTCACTTCCTGTTCAAGACTGCGTACCCGCTCCTCGAGCGACTCTGTGTAACCGCGGGGAAAGGCCCTCCGACTCAGCTTGTCACTGGTCTTGCACTCGAAGCCCACGTTGGCGCACTGGGAGCAGCATGGGCGGATGCCATCGCAGCGTATCTTCTTGCTTCGACATCTGCGCCTGTAAGAATGTGTATGGTCGTGACACAGCGGCGTGCCATCATCATGCGAGCGTCGTACCTGTCGCAAGCCTGTGCAATCCTGGACTGAGCATTCAGGCCCACCTTGATGACCTTCATTGGGAGAATTCCCGGCATACTGGGCGACGAGTGGGAACAGCGGTGCGCCGACTATAGTACCTCCTAGTAGTAATAGTGGTAGTGTACCGTTCCACTCGAGCTACCGTGCTGTCGGCTATAGCGAGAATCGAAGACAACGCTCTGCAAGTGAGGTACTAGCAGGCTGCTGCATGTGGGCGCTGCGATCCGGAGGGGCGGCGTTGGATGAGTGAGACGAGTCCCAATGAGGTAGGTCAGTGTGGTTTGTCAGGCAGAGGCCATGAAGACGAATTCTTATTATTACGATTGCATGTATGGTACCTGTAGCTTGGAGCAGCACGAGTACGTAGGAGAAACATGGCTGACAGCTGGAGCACACCGCAGTCGGGCAGGTTAAGTTTTAGTGGTCTGGGGGACAACAGACTAAGTTAGGTAGGGTGCTGGTGCTTGCCGTGCTGGTGGCCTGGTGCTGGTGCTAGAGAATGGCATGGACCCGCCCGCCGCCCGCCTTCTGCACGAGGCAAAATGGCGCCTGCCCTCACACGATCATTTTGCGGAGACGCGCTGCGCGAACGCCTTGTCTAGCGCGCCGCCGACCCGTGCCATTGGCTGCGCGCCGGCTTGACTTTGCAGGCGTGGAGAGAGTCCATGGGTGGGGTGACGCATGACTGGGCGAATGACACGCCTGCGATCATTCATCCACCAGAGTCCAGAGGAGTCGACTGTTGAGGTAGAAGGTAGTTGCGACCTGCACTCGTGTTGTTCATTTTCGATCCTGCCCGATGTTTCCGAATTGTACCTGTAGTACCGCCTAGTACCTTCTACCTCCTCCGACCTCGTCTCGGGCCCAGTCGGGGAGAAAACACACATGTTGCACAGCAGAGTGCGGTGGGACTTGCTCGGTTCTGAAATGACACGCCGGGTCGGCAGTCGTGCAGATATTCCACTCCACAGTCCACACTACACATACCTCCTACACTAAGGCACTTCCACAACATGGCAAGACGCTTACTAGGCTCCTTCGTGCTCTGCTCTGCCACCAACCTCCCTCATAGGTGGTAGTAGGAGGTATCTCGCAGACTCTCGGTGCTGCCCAGGCCACGAGATCAAGGGAGCCACACACTACTGCGCGGGGCCAAAAAGGCTATTAGCCCGCACCAAGCGCATCTCGCAGCAGCAGCAACAAACCGCTGACGAAAGCAGCAGCAGGGCGGCAAGGGAATGACGATCTCTGCGGGTTAGCAGCCGATGTATAACCTCTGCTCCTCTCAAAGGAGCGTATGCCTATCTGAATGAGGATGAAGATCGTACCAGTCTGCTGACCGCAAGCGTCCGCGCTCTTTTTGCCACCAAGCAACTACCCTGCGGAGGTGCATGTCCCAGCGAAGAGCATACTCTAGGAGGTATTGCATCACAAATGTATTAGAAAAAGCCCCCGGACTCGATTGCAGCAAAAGTAATAAGCTTCGTGGAGAAGCTGGTCGCCTCCAAAGTCAGCCTCTCCTTTGGTAACCTGGTAGGGTCTAGGCGTTGGTGGTGGTCTCGGACTGTACTCCTTCACGTTGGACCTCTCGTTGTGTTCGCGAAGCATCGGATCTGTTTCCATCCGTCATTCCTGACACTGTCAGCAAGCCCCTCTCAACTTGTCGGTATCTTGTACCGCCTACTCGATGGTCGAAGCGGGAAGGTTCACCAGCAATTATTTGTATCATCCCCAACAGCTCCACTGACACGTACCTACCTTACCCATGCAGCTCAGGTACCGCTGTTTCGAGATTTTGAGAGAGCATGTTCAGCGATGACGAACACACCTCTGGCGTCCCAACATAGCACGTCGCCAAATCGTGGGCACAACTCCAGAAGGATATGCTGACATTTCGCCACCTGGCGACTAGATGAAGGGCATATCTTGCCATATATCGTATACATTTCGGATAGAGCTGCTCGGCACTTGTTTTCTGCACCATGATTGGTCAAGAAAAGTCCTCCAATGGCGAATTTTGAGCGTCCCCCTTCGGAGTGCTGTTCATCTCATCGAGGTAACGCTTCACAGCTGGCGACTCTGCCAACTCCAGCTTCTAGAAGGCCCATCAGTACGAACTTTGCCAGTCACGCTGTCATATGCCTGACACTCACCTGCTTCTCAAAATCCTCATAGGCTCTTTCCAGAAGCTCAAACTCCAGTTGCCTCAACTTCATCGCCTGCTCATACACAGAATCTCTGACATCTGTCGCCTCGCCATGCGGTACATCTTCCATGGCGTCTTGAGAGCTATACAACACTTGCATTTGCTCAAACACTCGCTGCTGTAAGATGACGATTGCGCGTAATCGATACACGTCCCATTGATCACTTTGAGCGAGCAAGCGACGCAGAGAGGCAGCGCCATCGGGTAGTTCGTTGTCATTAAACGTAGCGCACAGTTCCGGCTCGACATCATCAGTCCGTTGCGCCAATTCAAATTGTAGGCCGTCGTCGTGGGTGAGGCAGAGGAGATATATGAAGTCGCCAGTCCAATCGATGGATCCGGAGGAAGAGGCAGAACGTTTGGCCTCGGGCGGGGAAGTGGCACTGTCTTCGTCGCTCGAGAATGAAGAACAGACGTCAATCAGCTTGAAGCCAGGAGCACAATTGGCGATCTTCAGTTTGGCGGTCCGTGAAGCATCATCGTCCGGGATGTTGAGGCTGAGGAACAGAGTTTCCGCCGTGTCCATGTGTTCGTCCAAAAAGCCGTAGGAAAAAAGCACTGTTCACTCACAACGTTAGCTGTGTACTAGGTAGGTCAGGTATACCGCAGCTCGAGGCTGGACGAACTGGCTGCACGTACTTTCGCAAGCGCCTTTCTCATCCCCATACGTGATGCAGACTTCGTCACGTTGTCTCAATGCTTTGTCTTTCATCAGATACAGACGATACTTGCCGTCCGCGCGATCATAAAAAGCGTTGGTTCTTTCGTGGGCAGCATGACTGGCCAAATCCATGCCAGGAATCATGCACGACCCGTAGAAATCTAGTGCTCGAGAGCGAAACATGGCGTCCACGTGAAGCCAGTCGTCAAAGGAGATGTGCGGCGAGGCGATTTTGTACCACCGAGTATTCGCCGCGGACTCGCAGAGAAGGTCATATTCGCGGTGTAAAGACTTTAATTTGGCGGAAACAGCAGGCGCGAGTGTGGTGCCGATCAAGAGTTGGAGTTCGGATGGGCTCCAGAATGTAGGAAGAAGTTCGCATGGGAGTGATTTGACGTAGCTGGAGGGGTGTCAGCGTAACGTAGCAGTACCTACCGACAGCTTTGCTGGGACTCCTTGGGCGCAAGAGGGGCATGAGACATAGATGCAGGTACTGCAAATGTGGAAATGGTGATATGCGTGAAAATGGCAGGGTGATGTATATGGGAGCCACGCACGACGAGTCGGTCGTCGACTTACTCTGTAAAAGCACAATGCACACCGACGGGCTCAGAGAGATCGGGACAGGACACAGAAGCTTGGAATAGGAGGAAAGAGAGAATGGCACCTCTGGGCGTCTATTCGAACATCAGCACATACTGCTGATCTCCGCTCGACGTGTGCCATATTGACCCACCGCATGACCCAACAGGTTGCTCTAATGGACGTCATCGACAACAGCTCGAGTACGTGTATGAGCACGAAACGGGAACAGACCTACTCTTCCAAAGTCCCCAAGACTCTCCAGGACTTCTCGAAAGTCCTTATCAAACTTTGCGTGTCGTCTGACAGCCTCACCGGACAGCACAAGGTCCTCGTCGACGCTCAGGATCTCTGTTGGAGATGAAGATTCAGCCTTCAAGTCGCTATCCGCCAGCAGACCCATTCCGCGTCCGGGGACAGTGGATGGCGAGGCATTGGTGAATGTAATGCCACTGGCTTCTGCCCATGCTCGGAGTGCAACGGTATCAAGTTGAAGCCAGCCTTCCGCTTTGCCACGCTTGATGAGCATGATGCACAGCAGCAGCAGCAGCAGCAGCGAAGGTTCACTTGTCGGATGGAAGATCGAGGTGTCTGACACCAGCAGATGTTGTGACGGACAACCTACGCGATCCCTGCTGTTCTCACCACAAAAATATCGGCTAGCGGTGGTTGCCGTAGTCTGGGACAATGCGGGACAGGGGACAGAACATCCGCAGTCGGCGCAGTGTTCGCGGATGGCTTGTGCGACTGCTGCTGGTGATGTCCGCGGCGGTGGTTTCTGAGTCTGATTCTAGTTCTGGTTCTGGTTCTGGGGGACAGCTACAGATGCGGATTAGGAGGAGGCGTTGTCATGTCGCCAGAGGGATACAAGCGGTGGTGGTGTTGGTTGCACTGTAGACAGAAAAGAAAAAAAAAAAAAACACAGTAGCGATGAGATTGTAAGAGTGGGAGGTGCCGGGCCGGACAAGCACGTGCGCAGGCGTTCGGCTGGCGGGCACAACAACAGGGAAGGAGCGTTGCGTTGCCATGCAAGCTCGCAGATCAAAGCAAAACAGACAGCACGGACGCTTCACAACAACCATAACCATTCCACATATTCAAGCTGCCCACCACATCCATCCATCATCACGTCGCCGCACAACAACAACACCACCACCACTACCTCCACCTCCACCTCCACCACCACTCCCACCACCACAGACCCGACCTCGACTCTCATGCGCCGGACACGATAGCGTTTGTCTGCTTGCTTGCTTGGGAGACGGAGCGCCTAACCCGACAATCGACGACCTCCAGCATTGGGCCTGTGTTATTGCTACTCCACCACGCATATTCTATCTATTCCACCGCCGCGCATTGTCGACCACGGTGTAGCAGGAGCACTAGGCATATCAGGACGCGATTCACATTGTAGACTACATACAGACAGTGCCCGGCGATTGCAATGCCTCACCAAGCCCGCCAGAGTGTGCAGGAGACGACCTCGTTCGGACAAGTCATCGAGTATATTCAAGGTATGTCATGTTTGGATTATTCATTGCCGAGAGCATTATGCGCTGCGAATCGCTCTATGCGTGTCCATGCTGCGTTGATGCTCTCCCGGAGCTTGGGAAAACAACCAAAACAACAACAACCAAAACAATAACAATAACAACAACAACCACCACCACAACAACCACAACAGCAACCACAACACGCTAACATGGCTGCATACAGATCGTCTCTATCTGGCATCTTACACGCACACGCCCGACGACAGCACGCCGTTCCCATATCCCGCCAAGCAGAGCCGTTCGCCACACAAGTCGAGGTCGTCGCGCGCGCAGGCCAACCCCCAGCCCGTGCCAGCAACGTCTCCCCAGCATCCGCCCTTCTACTTCTCCATCGACCACAGCTTGCTGTACAATGCTTTCCACGCCGACTTTGGTCCACTGCACATCGGCCATCTGTATCGCTTCGCCGTCCAGCTCCACGAAGTACTCGGACATCCAGACAATGAGAATCGCGCCGTTGTGTTCTGGAGTCATGCCGATTCGAGAAGTGCGTAGTCTCCCGCTCTCCCACATTGCTGAAGACGACATGCTGACAAAATTCAGGCCGAGCCAATGCCGCATGCATTCTCGCCACATATATGGTCTTGATTCAGAACTGGCCGCCCCATCTTGCGCTCGCACCCATCGCCCAGATGGATCCGCCCTGCATGCCTTTCCGCGACGCAGGATACAGCCAGGCCGACTACTCTCTCACAATCCAGGATATTGTCTACGGAGTGTGGAAAGCGAAAGAAGAGGGACTGGTGGGCTTGAAGGAATTCAGCCTAGAGGAGTACGAGAAGTACGAGCGAGTGGATATGGGCGACTTCAACTGGGTGTCCCCCGATTTCCTGGCATTCGCGTCCCCACAGCACCAGCCCACGCACATCTTCCAGCCCAGTGAACCGCTCTACAGCCAGCTGCCGCGGTCAGTGTCGGCAGTGAAGCGCGATCCGTCCCTACCGACGCCCTTCAAGAACGTGCTCACACACTTTGCGGAGCGCGGCATCGGACTTGTCGTCCGTTTGAACTCGGAGCTCTACTCGCCCAGCTACTTCACCGCGCTCGGGATCAAGCATCTGGACATGATTTTTGATGATGGAACCTGCCCACCTCTGAACCTCGTAAAGAAGTTCATCAACCTTGCTCACCAGATGATCAATGAAAAGGGCAAGGGCATTGCAGTTCATTGCAAAGCAGGTCTCGGCCGCACAGGATGCTTGATTGGAGCCTACCTGATCTACCGCTACGGCTTCACTGCAAACGAGGTTATTGCCTTTATGCGATTCATGCGTCCGGGCATGGTGGTTGGTCCCCAACAACATTGGTTACACCTGAACCAAGGCACTTTCCGCGAATGGTGGTTCGAAGACACCATGCGAGAGAAGATTATGGCGTCGATGCAGCCCGCCACGCCCACACGACTCCAGCAATCCAACAACAGAAGGCTCGCGAGCAACGGCCAGACTTTCACTCCTCCTAATGCCGAGCGTCAGCAACACAGTCCTCGTCGGGCACTAGGTGAAATCACGAATAACGAGGGCGCGCCAGCATCAGCATATACCGACCACATGAAAAGTAGCGTTGGCGTGGCAGATGAAAATCTGCCTGCCCCGACGCCTGGGCAGCCACGAAAGACAAACAAGGTCTACGGTGGTCGTAGAATCATGACCGAGAATCAGCCTTTCGCCCGAAGATCGGATGCCGAGATAGTTAACAGCAGCACACGATCGAGAGCCCCCAAAGATGCCAATGAGACGGAAGAAGAATACGCGCTTCGAATGCTGTCTCGCAAAGCAAGTCAGTCTCCTGTTAGTCGCAGCGCTGCCAAGCGGAGAGCAGTATCGTGTACGACCACCACGACGACTACAACCAAGTGGGAGGCGCCTTCAGACACCAGTGACGGCGAGAATCGCCCAGCGTCCGGCGATGAACTTGCAGGCATCACCAGTCCGAGCAAGCCGCCAAAGACTCCTTCTGCAAAGAGTGGTAGTGGGGTTGGTACCTTGAGCGTCGGAAAACGCTCATCGCCTAGCAGGCGTAGCACAGAAGGCAAAACCAGCGTACGCAAGACCAGCGGACGCGTAGGCAGTGTCGGGACTATGCGAGGGCACAAGGCTTCATGAGTTGTGTGACACGAATGATGTTCAAAGTGGTTAACGTGCAGTACAAAGAGAGCACATTTTTCTTTCTGGTAGCTGCTGGGCGAGGCGTTGGGTGATGTGATGTTGCATGGGAATCTCGTAAGGGGGCCATAACGAGGCACGGGTTCGGTCTGGGTCAAGGGGGGTGGGGCGAAAGCATTCGAGCATTCGCGGCGTTTGGAAGGTTGCATTTTTTTCTCCTTCGCACTACGGCGCGCAGCTGATTACTAGGCATCGAGAGACGATTAACATGAAGCTGTATTTGTCATATCAGACCTTTGAGACACCTTTTTTTTCTTCCCTCTCGAGCCAAGCAAGGATGATCTATTTATCGCTGAGATGATGGTAGTGGATGCAGTTTCCCATCTGACTGACACTTGGTAGGAGTCGTCGTCGGAAATCATGGTCTTCTATAAGGTATCCCGCGCACATCTCCCATAAGACTAGTTACTCCCACTAGTAGCTCGCAGACACCCGACAGACCCTTGCCCGCTGATTACGGAAGATCGACAAAAAAAAACACCGTCAACAACACGTACGTTTTGTGCGTTGCTACGTCAACCTAGCGCTACAAAGAATTCACTTGACTCGCCAAAAAAGCGGGGGACCCTGAAGGTGTTTTGGGCGTGTCAGTGTTGTCACTATACGGCTGGGGTGGCAAAAAAAGGTCTTGGAATTTTTTCATCGAGATTTTATTTTTTTTCTCGGGGTCTATTTCGCTTTTTCTGTGCTTGCTAGGTAGGTAGGTAGAGTAGGGAGGAGAAATTGATGTGGAGGCTTGTGCCCTCTCCCTGGACTCCCGGGGGGATTGATTGATTGCTGTTGAAAGGGGGGGGGGGGGGGGAGAGAGAGAGAGAGAGAGGAGG